ATGGGTCTTCCGGAAAGTCAGCCTCGTTTGGTGTCGCAAACATGAGGTCAGTGTCGATATTGGCTCCAATATCAGAGAAGGATCAGTTGGAGTTGGGAAATATCGAGCGCTAGCGGAATACCGGATAATCAGCGGGTATCTCCGCTATAGGTGCTTCTGTGACGGTAACTTCTTCCGCTATAAGATTGGCCAAGAACTGTTCTCAAGCTTGGTCGGCAGCTTGCGTTGACGAAGCAAGAGTGTACCTCCAGGTTGCTGAATCCGATGGTATGGTGGAGGCATGAGTGTGCCAATCACAAGGAGGTGTCGTAGGTTCTAGCTGTGCTTCCATGGCTGAGAAGATGCGCGCGAAGTGTCCAGAGGTCGAAGGGTTCATCGCACAGAACTTGCGGTTCGAAGGTGTGTTACCCTATGATCCATCTTTGGATTTGCTGTTGGGTATTGTACAATAGTCCTCGTATGGGAGGTACCGCTAAGCAAACTGTGAGAAAGGCTGATCATCGGATGGATGGATTGCCTCTCCATCATTGAGTGCGGGCATTGGAAGGTCCGCTTCGTTGGGTACGTTGAGGAGGTCCACTGGTGCCGTCGTATTGACGACGAGAGTTTTGTGTTTAGGCTGTCATCCGGATTCCATCAAGAGAAATTACGAGGGTTGCCAATCAGGGTCATTTCTGGCTCGCTGAACAACAATCTCGTGGAGTAGGACTCGTAGGATGAGCGATCAACCTCGTGAACTTGTACCTCGCGTGTAGCCGTATTGGTCGACTGTGTAAGGACGGACGCGATATCACCGGCGAAGGACGTTGGCGTTGAATGCGTCTTGTTGAACGCGAGCTGCAAAGGTCAGTGTCCGTCTTGTTGGACTTGTTTGGTGCGAGGAACTCTAGGTTGCCTGCTCGTGTGCGTGGTTCTGCCCATGTCGAGGAGGTCGTGGGAGTTGACTGAGCGGGATGGGCGTGATTGCCCAGAGTTGTGGTGACTTACGTTCGAACAGCTAGGTCAGCCGTGTTAGTCAAGGAAGCTCTTCTTGCCCTGCTCGGAGATATTATCCCATGCCTCTTGATCCGACTTGGATAAACGACCGCCATGTGGTTCGTTCATCATGACCTTGCGTGGCCACGAGTGTCTGTCTGATGCGGCTTGCATTAGGACTTCCACCGGTGTTTCCATATCATGGACGAATGCCTCATAGGTGTCGCCACAGGTTTTCGCTGTACACATCGTCGAAGAGAATTTCGTGTTGGTAGGTGCGACGACGTGCGTTGCTTCGAGAGCGTGTAGCACGTCGATGATTTGATTGTCATGCAGTTGTGCTTGCTCGAGAAGGGCTGCTCGAGTACTTGCTCGAGGTATACGCGGAGGTGTCGGCCTGCAGCTTTCTTGGTCTGCATTGCGAGTCGTCGTACGGAGCGAGATTTGTGCCTTGGAGATTGAGCGTTCCAAGAAACGTGCCCCTGTTGTTCAGTGTATGGCTCGTCGCTGATCTATTGTACTGCCGAAATTGTTCGAGGAAAGTTGGAGATGAAACCAGCTTGGGACCCTTCCATACGCCTTCTGCGATTCGGCGGAGGTGAGATAACACGAAATCTTATCCGAGCGCAGGGTTGCAACCATGGACTTGGAGTAATATGCGTCAATTGCCTTCCAGATCGGCGAGTGTCCTTGCTGGTTCCGTTGGCAAGGACGACAGACACTTGCCTGTGCTTCTTGGAAATGTCTTCGAAGGTCTTGTACATCCATTCTCGTTTGTTTCTCGTCTAGTTGACGTTGGTACCGTGAAGTCAGAATCAATGAGGTGGGAGAGACCTTGAGACTTGAGCGTGTTGAGGAAGTTCTTCCTCCATTTGATGAAGACTGATTCATCGCGAAACTCTCTGAACTCTGAGCGGACGGGCTTATTGTTCTTGTCCCAAAGTGCGATTGCACGTTCCCCATCGGTCATCGTGGCATCGCTGCGTCTCATTTGTTGCCATGGGACGATTTCGCCGTGTGGCTGGAAGAGTCAAACTCTGAAAGCGTCGAGTGCGTCGGCCGTCAGTGTTACGACGCGGATGGGTGCCTTCCTCCTGGACGACCAATGGTGATGCATCTGTATCGCCGCGAGCAGTAGTTTCTTCCTGGTGAGAGGTACTGGTCTTGGCAGTGCCGTTGGTGTTGTTGGAACTTGGAGATCCATAACTTCATCTTTGGTGAGAAGTAGGAGATCCATCCATCGTCGTTCCTTGTTCAGACAGTGCGATGCGCATGTGAGATGCAGTGTACCTGTGTGTGGAAGCGTCTCCGCCGCATAGGGTGCATAGGAATGCTTGAGCTTGGCTGCTTCATCGCCATCTTGATGAAGGTGGGGCAGTGCGTAACTGCGACTAGTTAATCTGCTAACGTGGGGAACTACTACTTGAATGAGGGATCTGTAGAGGTAGCTACCACCCGACGAGATCAACTGACACTATTCAAGACGAGTGCAAGGTAAATGCAAAGTTCGCTTCTTAGTAATTCATAATCTGTGTTGTGAGCTTGATTGATGCGATCAGTAAAGCTAGTTGTAGCGTGTTGGATCAATACATCGTGGTAGTTGATATGGAAGTCAACGTGGTATCTGCGGGAAACGGTTCGTTGGCAGGATGCTTTACTCCTGTCGAATACTCCAATTTACCGTGTCCTTTGGTTTCGTTGAGAACGTGTTCTTGCCAGCGTTCTCTGTTCCATCGTGTTGACTCATAAAACATGACTCAATCTACTCACGGATACTCTGAGTCGTGGGAGGAACTGTAACGCTTTCAGGGAATACAGTCGTTGGCAGCTTCTTGCAATGAAGCGAGTTGAGGTGGTGGTTGGGCATTGAATGCATCCAGGAAACGGAGACATGTTGCACTCTGCTGGAACTCTTCAGTGTTCTGAGCATCAAGGGCTGCATCAACTAGGTCACTCTCATCAATATTGGCAGCAGTGAGAATTGATTCTTTCCAGATCTCAAGATCTAAGCGAAAGCTGCTCACAACCTGCTCTAGACATGCCCTGTCAGGGAAGCACCTTTTTTGAAGGACAGAAAAGTCATTGGAGCAAGTAAGCCCTTCCCCACAAGTCCTCAAACGTCCACATCGCTGGCCAACACCACGTGGCTCGGAATCAACATGGACCTCACTTTGGTCCTCCAAAGTATTGTTACCACTGTCACTGGAAATGTTGGTAGCTTGGGCAGCCACTGCGTCTACTTCCTCCCGGCTGATGACATTGTACTCCCCTGAGACCACATGATGGGCAAGGAGGAATAGAAGGATAAGAACATGGGATTTCCACAACATGGTGAGTAGCTGGCTTTTCCCCTTGTTTAAGAAGTGTAATAATGTATTATTTTGCAAACAAAACAGATGCTGTTCCGATGGAACTGACAACTGTGCCTTTATGGAGTCTCCATGGCATTTCCATTTTTTTATTTTTGGCTGGTTCCGGCCGAGTGCCTGTATAGCCTTTTAGGTACCATTGCAACATAGAGAATCGTACCGTACCAGTTCGATTGAGATCATTAGGCGAGCATTAGGATCGTTGGATTCACTCCGATGTTTCTAATAGCTGTTCGAATAGTTACGGTTTGCAGCGAGGCACCGTCAGTTCCAAGATGGCCTATCGCGCAGCTATCATGCTACCGAACGTCAATGGCTGTTTTGCGATGAGAACAAAAGTCTGGGCAGGTGTGCGTATAGCTACTACTAGTACTGTTAGTAGACGGATGTGGCACGGAAAAGAGATTCCACGTGTGCAGCAGGTGGTGAAAAGTGTGGGTTTATGCACGTTTCGCATTCCCTATCGCTCCTGGGAGCGAGGGGGCGGGGAGGACGGGAGCAAGGCAAAAAGAACGGAAGAAGATCTAGCTAGTAGCGTTGGGCTAACGCTGACCCGTTAAAGGTGTAATATCCAGCCATGAATGTTGATCTATCGCCCGTCAAGTCTTCCGGATGGTTTGGCTCGATGATTCTTTCCGAGTAGTTTTCTAAAGTTAGGTTGACTCAACCGACTTGCTCTGGTACCATGGTTGCGACTTTTCGCGATGGTGTCAACCAAATGGCCATTTTTTGCAATCGGGCACGTCACTTTAATAATTAATAATTCATTCCTGTCTGGTGTGGAAGTGGGGAGGAAGAGCAAATACGACATGTACTAGCTACCAGGTACTAGCTAGTACTGAGTACAGTCGTATACCTAGTAGACCGGTATCGGTATTAATAGATCTACCGGTAGCTAGCTACTGCCAGTTACCGCACGGTAGTAGTAAGAGGGGGGCGAGATTACCGAAGACAATGTTTTTTTTTTTCGTCGTTTATTACTAGCTCTAGTACCGTACCTGAATTCTCATTCTTCATCCTTCATCCTCTTCTTTACCAGTACCGGTACACACGAAAGCAATGATAGGTGATGGTTTCTAACGAGAGCTATGCTAGCACAAGTCACACAAGCGCATCGCGGAAGCTATGCCTGGCTGTGTTTGTGAAATAAGTGGGATCTTCCATCGAATCGCAGGTGTGTTGCATGGTTGCATGGATAGCTGTCACGGTGGAAGCAACCGCAGAGGTGAAGGTATTACTATTTACAGTACCGGTACCACCGGTACCGTAAAGTACCGGTACCAGTACCAGCTGGAACGCATTGCACCTCGTTGCGCCACACAAGGTGTCTCACGAAATTTTAAAATGAGACTTCACACGGTCACCCACACGGAGATCCTCCAACACTACCCTACTAATATGCCCTCTACAACGGCCAACAACAGCAATGCTACTGCTACCACCACCGGCAGCTCACAAGCGAGAACCCCGCAAACCATCGTTGTTGGGAGTCGAGTCAGTGACAGACCCACCAGAGTGCATCCACAACCGCCAACAACACAACAACAGCAGCAACAAGACGATGCCATGACTAGCAAGGCCACACGACGCATGCGCATTGACCAATCTGAAGCAACTACTGACAGATCCACGTATCGTCAAGAGAAAACGGTCCATCCGTTCTCTCTTGGAGATGTCTTTCGCACCAGCATTGAAATGCTCTCCCAAATCATACTGGCTGCCCAGCTCGTATTTCTCTGTATTTGAAAACAACCATACATACGTTCCCACACACACTCTCCGTCTTGCCCCACACGCAAGAGCTCCGGTTATATACGGTACTCTCCCAGAGCAGAGCTCCATCAATGGCGACAAAAAGCCCGCCGCTATTCCTGACGCTTTTTGTGCAATGGGGAAATTCCATACTCGATCAACAAGGAAAGCAGAGTGGTCTGGTTTGGTGGTGGTGGCGGTGATGCCAGTTAGCTAGTTCTGATGATTGGTTTAGCAAGCAAGTATTGAGAAGGATCAGAATGGCTGGTTCGAAATCACCCGGTCATTTGCCAGGGGAAAAGGCAGAGCTTATAGTTCTGAGAGAAGAAAGCACAGCTCGGTCGCGAGAAGGAAAATGCAAAGGAAAGCCCACCAAAAAGTGCAAGCAACCCCCCCCCCTAGCTAGCTAGAGTACTGTAGGAATAAAGCCACCCGACGGTCTTTCGTCTGCATTGCAGACAGTACGTGTAGCTAGTTCAGATAATACTGTTGCACAAACAATGGTTCTCCCAAATGATATTCTACTTCAGGACAAGTGCTATGGAAGGGAGGAAGGATCCTTCGCAACAAAGTCTCAGCACTCAGCAGTTTCTTTTAAAAACCACGTTGGCTTTTAATTAATTTAAAAAAAAAGACATTGATCGAATTACCTTGATTCTCGGACGGGAACAATATGAAACCAGCGGGTACAAAGAGAGACTGCGCGGTCGCACACCGGGAAAACGATCATGCTCCGGAGCTTCCAACTCTTCACTTCCAAGCGCCAACTACTGTAGTTGGAGGTCGTCTTGTTCTTTAGAGCTGGACGACTGGTCTTCTTCTGCAATGAAGCTACATACCGTACTGTACCAATTCTCGAGTAGATCTAGCGGTCAAAGTCCAGCCATCCAACGCACGTCTTCTTGATCAGCCACTGTATGGTAGCTATTTTCGTAACAGCTGTCATCTGGTTCACGTCGACCTGGTATCCACGGTTGGCTTGATGAATGTGTGGATGGCTTGTCTTATTGGATGTTTATTCTGCCTCCAAGCATGTTTTGAGTTACCTTTTGGTATCGTTCCGGTACAGTATCTGGTACCCCTCTAGCTAGTAGCTATTAACCTTAAGGTAATAGCTCTAGCTAGAACATGGTTCGAGGCCTGGCTAACTAGCGTCGTGTAGCGGTGTCGTAACTACAATAAGTCCACCTAAAACCGAACCAACAACTAAAATATCTAAACAGGGGAACTACCCACACAAACGCATGCCTCAAAAACATTCCACTGGGGGTGTTCCAAAGACTTGCTAAACTCACTACAGTTACCAACAAGAATGCCAACCAAACCCTCGATGAGATCTATCCACTACACTTCGAGGCGCTGAAGAAAGCTGGACTGGTTCCAGACCAGATACCAACACTCCAAGAAGAAATACAACGATACTCCCAGAGACAAGAGGACAAAGCAAACGAACCAGATAGAGATGCCAAGCAACGAAAGAGGAACCGGAACCGATCATTATTCTTCTGTATAGGACACTCCAACGCCTGGACGACCCCAATACACAAGGTAATCAACGACCTCAAGAAGAGCCATGGCCTCGAATGGATCAGAACGTCTATGTCCTACCATCGATTCACCAACCTGCGAGAGATGTTCATGGGCGACCTATCGAGGAAACTCACCAATGACGTCATCTCCACCGAGTTCCAAAATGAAACCTGCAACTGCAAGCCAGGAAATAAGAAAGACGGCCAATGCCGATTTGACGACCGCAAACTGGCCATATACTGCATCAAATGCATAAACTCAGGCAAGGAATACGTTGGGGCAACCCAACGAAATGTCAAAGAACGAACATACCAACACTTCACCGACGTCATGCGTCTCCTCTACGGAAAACGCAAGTCAGATTCATACGCAAGACACTTCGCCAACGAATTCCAAAACTTCGCACATCCTTCACCATTCCGACTTAACGGCGACATTCAAAGGACAGCATCGAAATTAGCATCCTATGGCAAGGCAACCCCATCAGCACTGTCAAGACCTTCGGGACACGACACTGCAGCCTATGCAACAGGGAGCGACTCGAGATACTGAAACGATCCAGAGAATCGCCAGAAAAGCTGATCAACTCCTGCAACGAAATATACGGAGCATGCCGACGTAAACCTCGATTTCATAAGTACCACAATAGCCCAAGCACTGATGATTCCCAAGGGGGATGAAAAAGTCAAACAACCGAAAAGTTACCACAGAGTAAAGCCTGTGTTTCAGCGATTCGGCAGTTTGTGAGTAAACTTACTTAGTTCAGTCACTTTTTGCTAAAATCGTATGTCAAACAATATCTTGGTGGCAAGGGAGAATCATTGGGACTCGCTGGCCGTTTCATTTTCCAGAAAACACGTCATTCACATTCACCCATTTGGAAATTCTGCGAGCTTTGGTGTCAATGGATCCATCGCATGCATTGATTGAGTGCCATGCATGCTGTCTCATTTTTCTTGTCTTGTACTACTCAATTAACCCATCAACAGCATCCATGAATTCATCGTTAGAAGCCAAGGCAGCGTCTTTCACTGCAGCCGTGTCGTCGTTTGTGGTCCTGAATTGGGGTTCCCGTGACCAGGAGATGGAAATCCGAAAGAGACTGGGGTTGGCCATTCCAAGTAGTAGTAGTAGTAAGACATCGTACGTAGAGGAAGACCAGGAATCGGTCAGTCTACTGTTCAACGCCCGCGTCGGTCATTGCCGCTACGACAACCTGGAAAAACGAAAAGTCCTCGAGGGATTTGGAGCCTTGAATGATCCCGCCGTGGTCCAAAAGTATCCCTATTTGTGCAGTACGGCTGTTTGTATGGTCTTGCAATTGCTCAATACTACTACTACGGCATTCACACGCGACGAAGCAGGTCAAATTTTGAATGCGGCGCCACAGCTCTACGACACGGACCGACTCACGTTGCGCCGGTACTTTTATCTCCTTCTCAAGGAACTGGCGCCGTTGGATCACACAACACGAAGCAAGATTGACACGTTGGTGTGGAAATCGTTGCGACGAGATTGCAGGTACAGCAAAGTCGCCAAACATCGGGCGTATACCATTCGGGTCATGGCCACCATCTTGTTGCTAAAAGAAAAACAACCACAGCAAGAACAACCACAGCAACACTCCAACAATAACAAGAAGAAGAATGATAATGATACTGACGGCAAGCCTGCTGCTACCCTTCGCACTGGTAGCAGTATCCAACAATTCGAAACTCCCGTCAAACGCATCCTCAAATTACATCCCTCCGAAAGTTATTCGCCGAAATGCACCAGTGCCGTGCTTGTATCGGCCATTCATCTGCAACCGGTATACCCAGAGATTGTGCAAGGTTGGAGACAAGCTGCACTCTGTGCCCTCTATTCCAGTCGAAACAACATGGTCCATTTCCATGCATTGCAGTTTCTTTTATGTCTACGACAAGACCAACCAAACGACAACACAGAACAAGAACAATCATCATCATCATCATCATCATCGTGGAAAGAAACGAAACTATTGGAAAAATTGCACCGCCAAAAACTCGACAATCAGTATATTTGTCCTCTTTCTTGGATTACGTTGATTCGATATACCACACACCACTTACTGCCCATGGGGTCGGGTGCCTACTTTTTGACGGCCTGTCTCACCCATCCATCCGCATTGGTCGCATACGAAGCCGCTAGGGCCATGATTTGTTTCATGGTCGATCCACCCGATGTGGTCGTCGAACGAGCGCTGGAAACGGCCGAGGCACTGGCGTTATCGTCCAAACCTGCCGTGCGAAACGCCGGACGTGCATTGGTAGAGGAAGGGAAACGGGTCTTGGCGGACAAGTCCATTCATCTGGAGGGACAGTGGATATAGACTAGTCGAAAGCGCAAAAGACAAGTCCACTCCACTCCACTAAATTTGTGCTGGCATGCTCCGGAGTGACCAACCTCGTGTAATAAGAGAGAGAAGCCTGGTTGTGGAAGGCTCCCTACCCGCCGCCAACTTGGAAGATTGTCACCCCTCAACCGAATAGTGTCTTCCCAATTTTGCTTCTTGTCCTTGGAATCACAGACATCATCTCGGAGGTTGTCATTTCTGGGAGTGGCTGTCGGGTAGAAACACACTTGGGTGGGTACCAGGTACCGGTACCGGTAGGGGAGCATTTCCCGATGGTGCACGCCGGTCGATTGAATAGATCGAATCGATTCATTCGAGAGGGGGTGAGATCTATCTGTACTCTTTGCTGCTCAACACAACACAACCAATGCATGCTCACTCAAGACATTGTTTTGTAATCCAATTCCACTTTTTCTAAACATGCATTTATTTTATGTATGTATGAAGCCTTCGGTGGTCGTTTTTGCCCGTCGTGTACAAAAAAAATGTTTCGCTGGGCGACTTTTTGCTTTTGGACCCTTGCTTCATTGTCATTCCCCGGTACTGCGGCGATCGATCGATTGATTGAGGACATGTACTAACTAAAAGGTACTCTCTGTTGTGATGGTCATGAAAGCTACCTCGAACTGCGGGTCTTTGGCGGCCTCGTCCAGCAGCTCCGCTAGTCCGTCACGGGCACCGCGGACTGATTTGTTGCTGCCCAAGGAATCTCCGACATTACCGTCCGTTTCATGGGGAGGGGTCACAACAATGTGGCACGTATCAACACCCACCAAGCCAGAGGAATCAGTGGCTGTGACGCGAATGTCATAGACCCGTTCTGTGGTTGTGGAACTGGAGTGACACAACCCGGCACCCAGATTTCGGCCCTTGCACCTGATAGAACAATGACAAACAAAAGAGGATCAGTCGATCGTCAACCGATGCCCGGTCGAACGGGGAGAAAAGCTAATGTCACTTACGTTGTGGGCGCAACCAAGACTTTGGCCTGTTTTGATCCCCCGGTTACTGACTTGGCAAGGAACACGCTTGTCCTTTCATCGAACTCGTTGCTGCTTACGACGACATCAACGACGACGGTTTTCGAGCAATCGTCCTGAGCAAAACAAGTAGTCGGGGAGGTGAGTTTTTGGATCTGCAGCCGTCCGCATAGCAGCCAGGTTGTATGAACCAAGTTGTGGAACAACCTACCTTGATCGTGTACCAGAAGGTACTATCCAAGAGACCCCCGTCGTTGCGCTTCTCCGACAAGAGCAATGCCTTGCCATCGCTGCTTACGACAGAGTCCTTCGAGAAGCCACAGTGCACAACAGGAGACTTCGTATCCACGGCAAGCAAGAACTTCTTCGCCATTCCAATGGTGCCGTTGATTGCAGTTGTGATATTCTTGGTCGGAACTGGCAGAACTTCAAACTCTGAGCTGCATTGCAAAGCAATTGCTTCCGTGATATTGAGTTCAGCTCCATCATCGTGTGAACTGAGCGAGCTGTGAAGGAAGTTGATGGCATGTTCAGCCGACTGAAAGACCTGCTGTGGGACACGGATCAGACCAGATTCCTTGTCTTGCTCCCAACCCAAGGAAGGGAGAGGCCGAACCTCCAAAACTTCAGTGATCGAACCATCGGAATCAACCATCGTCCTCGCACTGAGGTGACCTAGCCTTCGTGCAGACGAACTTTTAACAGTCTCTTTGATCGTAATGATTTCTTTCTGCATGGCCCCCAATGTTTTGTAGAGTGCTCCTGTGCTGGATTTCAGGTTCGCGTTCAACAGTTTCATGTTACCAAAGACGGCAGCAGCATTCTCAGAGAGCGTATACATGTCAAAGTCGCTGATCTGGTCCTGCCCATATTTGTAGTCCAAGACAATAGAGGACTAATTTGGAAGCCAACAGAGTGAGACGTGCTCATGGGAACAGCTGCAGCACACGCCATCATTGGTCATTTAGAACTCACACTTTCATTGTCCCATTTGGCAAGGAAGGCGATAACCTATCAACCAAGCAGAGAGTCAGCAACGCAAGCAGCAGAGCAACGCCCACATCGTTTAGTTTCCACCTTACAATAGCGATGTTCTTGACAGTTTGGCATCCCTGAGTCACCCATGGGATTCCCGTTGGGCAAGTGAAAGCATCAAGCAAATCATACACCTTCTCCAGGGTCAGCGTCGATTTTTCCAGCTGGTACAGGACAACGACCTTTCGAAAGAGGGAAGGGAGGAGGGGAAGATGAGCCAAAGCATGCACCTACACTCAGAGCTCAACAAACAGGAATACAGGACCTGATCATTGTAATAATTAGAATTTTTCGCATCTGAAGAGGGGGGAAGGAGGGAACGAGAAGTAAGGAAAAGCTGGAAAAGCTTGTGCCTTGGGCCACACGACTGACTAACATCCAATCCAATGTCTCTTACTTACGGGTTTTGGGGGGCTTCAAATCTTCAGTTTCTGGCATGTCCGGTAGTTCGCCACTGGAGCCAGAGTCGGAACCATCAAGCTTTTCAAAATTACTATCATATCTCAAATAAGAAATATCTTCGCAAATCTCCAACACGTCGGGATATTCACTCGGGAATCCGAAATATTCCTTCAGATCTGCACAGGCAGCGAAGCTGGAGGTGTCATTGGCTTGGGGGGCAGCCCCCAAGAAGGCTGCGAATGTTGCTCTTTTGTTCGCTTTTGCCCACTCAAGCTCACTCTTCACACACTCAGAAAGCGCACTGCAGTCAACCGGGTTAGTGCAATAGGTTCCCGAGTAGATTTTGCAAGAGTCTAACGACATGGAGCACAACAAATGAATCAGAAAGATCAATCGGTTGATAACTTCAAGGACAACTGGTTCAGTCTCACCTTCAGAGAACCCGCCAAGGCCAGTTGCAATATGATTGCACTTTTCCTTGGTTTCCTCACAAGCATACTTGACCCCAAAGAGGTCTCCCCTGGAAAGGGAAGGAAGGAAAGCCTGGTAAGCGCATCCTCTTCCTTAGGCTGTCGCTACCGGCACTGAGTAGCCGGCTATGAACTTACTCGCGTTCCCATGGTTGGTCCAAGCAGCAGTATCCTGGCATTTCCTTTGTGGTCTCACTAAAGGCACAAACTAATCCAATGCTTTTCTTGGGGCCTAGGAGAATAGACATGGTGTCATCCATGTCGAACGGCTCCAAGGAATAGACAGACCCCTCCTCAAGTGTATTCGACACGACCCCGGAACCAACAACATCTTCGGTCGACGGATGGTAGCGCTTGTTCTTGACTTCCATCACTCCGCAGATGTCCTTGTTATCGATTTTGACAGTGCACTTGTAATCCCTGTTAGTGTCCGAATGCTGTTCCGTTTGGTCGCAATCCCAAACTATCTTGTTTGGGTAGGACCTTCCCAGATAGTCAACGTTGGAAATATTGAAATGCGATCTCAACACCACATCCTTGAAGTATTTGTTGACTTTGTGGTAGCAATCCGGATGAACGATCCGGAATTGTGAGCTTTGGAGAGGATCCAGCGTCACATACCTAAAGAAGGCTTTTGGTTCAATAGGAAACCCAGGCTGGCCGTATTCATCGAAGTCGTAACGGGTACCAGCAATTGAACGTGAGCGTTGAAAACGCTTGTCACTGTCCGGCTTAATTGGTACCCTGGCAAGACCATCGTCGTCGAACAGGATTGGATCTCCGATGTCCTCTGCACACAGTGCCATATCTTCGAATAAGTGGTAGGCCACATTCTTTCCAACCTTATTCTTGATTTCTTCGAGCTTTATGTACTTAGTGGAGCCTTCCGCAGAACAGACTTCTCGCCAGCTCGGACCAACGTACTAGAGAGCAGTCAACAGATGGGGGTTACAGAGTCGAGTCAGGGCAGAAGTTCATGCACAAAGGCCAGGACCACCAAAGCTACGAACCTTCTCGTAATACGTTTCGTTGTAGAGCTCACTCAATTCGTTTCTGAAAGTGTTGCGAAAAGTTGTGAGTATTCGATTTAGATTCTTCACAGGCGATTGATCGTATCAGCCTTACTTGTGCATCTCTCTCATCAACTTGCGACAATTGTTGACTTTAGAGCCATTATCTGTGCTGACAGTTTTCATCACGTCACGAATGGCACCGAGCTTGTCGAAGAAGTCTTTGTATCCTTGCTTTTTTGGAATCTTGTCGGAATCAATTACGCCATCATCACCGACATAGTCACCATCTTTCGGGGACAATAAGAGCGAAAAGAAGATGTTAGAACACTTGAGGAACGGTGGGAACGGAACATGCATCGAACTCACAAAAGTACGCCACAAAGTCAAATAAAGTGTATTCATTCATACAAGCCACGACTTTGTCACACGTCTCTACGAGTGTCTCGTTGGCTGTTGCGAGGTTGCGACCATGAGAACGGGTGCGGCGCGAGCCTTGAGACAGACGACTCATTAGGTCGTTGACAAAGGAGTGATCTCCATTTGTAAGCTTGTCATGAATGTCTAGATGACGACGAAGCTTCCTGTGTTGAGAATACTGCCGGATTAGTGGATGCTTCTGTTTTTGTGTGGGATTTTCACCTTCCAGGTCCAAGCGACGTTGAGGCTGGGAGGTGGTTGTTCCAAGATCCCTCGCTACAGCAGCCGTGACAACCGTATGGGTCTCCTCCAGCTCCTTAGAGAGCTGCTCAATGGCAATTTGCAGCTCCGCGGGAGCCATCTCCACCTCTGGGGTGCTTTGAAAATCCTGCACAGCTTTGTGAAGCATTTTGCTTGTTGTGGACAGTTTCTCCATCTGAGCTTCGGACGAGATCTCGTGAGCAGTCAGCATCTGGTCTGCCTCCAATACTTTCTTGACATGGTTGATACCATCGAGCACCTCGTACATTACTGTGGAATACTCGCGGACCGAACCCTGAAAGCAACACGTTAAAGCAAGGTGAATTTCAAGAGTCGCAGTTGTAGTGCCGAATCATTGGATTTGCTTTGCATCGTACCATGTTCTCGCTCTCGAGCTTCACGGGGACGAGCTTCAAGTCAAGTGGACTTGCATCCTGCCCAGTGACGAGCACCGGGGCCGACGCCCCAAAGACCGCAGTGGCCAATAGCCAAAGGTTCAAGCGCATGTTGTAGACAGCAGCAAGCAGCAGATCAAAATGCTATCAAATCAAGACTTGTTGGTTGCTACAAACAGCTGGGCAGAGTTGTGAGAGAAGATGGCTGAGGCTCTTCGGATTGTACCTTCTTGCTCCAAGGAGCACCTGGCATGCAATTGAAAGATACTATGATATGTTCAGCTGACACCAAGTCACTCAGAGCAAAGGATCTTTCCGAGAGTCTCCGCCACCAGTACGCATCCACGGCTTTCCACTTGACAGCACCTGGCAAAGCGCTAGCGGTAGGCACGCTGGAAGCACCTGGCAGAACAACACAAGAACCAACTGGTAAAAACCCAGTGTATTAGATCTTTCCTTCTGCGTTCCCGCACGCGCTCTTATCCCAGTTGAATCGAATCGAGTCACGAACTGACAATCCAAGCCATCGCATCACTATCATACGGTATATCCACAAGCTGCAAGCTAGCTAGTACCTGGTACTGTACCAGTATCTATCGACCAAGCAACATGGCGTGGGTTGTGTGGCTCTGTGACCCATAAATTTGAAACCATGGCCAGGAAGCGCGGAAGAACCAACTCTACTAACAGAAGAGAGTTTTAGGAGTCCAGAGCAAAAACCTCAAACAGTTCTTTCCTCACTGCAGCTTTCAATTCCCACGCAAGCACCATCCTCGTCTTGAAACCGAAAACAAGACCCAACCCGGCAGAAACCTTTACATACATGTAGACAGCTCCTTGATCGCGCGGGATTTGACATACCGGTAGGCACAATTCTCACTCAAAACTGCGTTTTGAGATATTCACTCTCACTTCTGATTTCCAGCAACTTGAAGACACGCGACGCGGTATGAACGATGCTTGTACCACTGATGAGGAAGCTGCAGGGAGAAGCAATGCATGCCACACGGCGCACAAATAGGCACCGAGTCCTACCAGTGCTAGAAGCGTAGAACACCACTTTAGTTGACCGTCCGTGGTTCTCGCATTCCCACGGTTCTTCCTGCTTCTGCAATGAGCTCCGGGTATTCTTGGGACTGATTGTGGTGCTCTGGATCTCTACCGACTAGTTGGTATCAAGTGAGAGTTTGAGCTTGGGGTCTTATAGAAATCGCAACCAGAAGGAGTTTGGAGGCCAGACCCTCATCCGGACACATGGGACACTAGTTTTGTTGAGCCGATTCAACAACCCCAAGGTTGACACCACTGTGTTGTTTCAGAGATGACTGACTTGCGACCTTGGGACCGCGTGGCTGGAGCATCCAAGAGGGACTCAGTCTATCCATTGGTGAGGCACGAGTAGCTAGCTAGGTAACTAGCTACTCGAGGGATTGAAGGTCCGGGCAGCGACTTGGATGATGTTGGGTTCTTCTTTTTGCATCCACACTCCTGCCGGGCTGTCTGCATGCCGCCATCTGCCCGGGAAAGCCTTGGAATAAAGCATCTGATTCGATTCTGTTTTGGGCCCGGAGCACATGGAAACGCAAGACCTTAATCTCTACTCGGAGTGCTACTATGCAATACTGCTACATAAAAAAGGGCCCTTAGCCTAAGGAACGACAAAGTGGTCATGCCAAAGCCCGGTGCTCGTTGGTTCTTGGTTCAGGTGCATGCCGCATGCTGCTCCGCATGCATGCCGAAGTTGGAGCATCACTGGCTCTTTTTCGAGGCGAATGCCTCAACAGCTACAGCTGCCCCAAGCAGCAGCTCCCCAAGCTCTGCTCATCATATTATCAGCGGTCTGGTCACTCATCATTCCGCAATCCGTACATGTATGCACACTTGCGCATTTTATAAGGGCAATACTCTGGAGAAGGGGTCCTGTAAATGTCGCACTTCCCGCTTTTGAGGCGTTCAGAGTCTCACTACATACATGCACCATAGCATACGGGTATGCATATAACGGTACCAGGTACCGGTACTGGTCTCAGGCCGCAGATGCTTCAAGCTTCAAGCCGCCAAAAAGAAGATAATTGTGTCGTACATCTCGATTTGATTTAAAGACTCTAGTGTCCTATATTCCGAGATCTACCGGTACCACGGTACCACACACAAAGGGCCATTTAAAACTCTGCTTGGAGAAATTTGTCAATTATTTATCGAGTTGCTGGAACTTGATTTTTAAGTCTTTCCGAACTTACTTGGATATGACACTAAATAAGCGTACCGGTACATACATGTTTCGCTGAGCTGTATGCTGGCCAGGCAAACTCTTCGCTTTCCGGGCATCCAAGTCCAGGCTTTCGAGGCATCCAAGTCCATGCTTACTCGCAGTTAAAAACTCAAGGAAGCTCACAATTCTGAAAAATTGGCTTGTCTGCCGAGCAATCCTGGGTTTGTGTGTGTGCATACCAGTTCTCAACCAGCCGCTAGCCAAAAGTTTCCACAGCCACTCATCGGATCTGTAATAAATACCAGCATCGATCCTCTTCATAATCCTATCTTCCGAAGATTGATCTACTCCAAAAGAAAGAAAGAAAGATGGACATTCCCGAAATACCGTTACCTCCAACCAAGACCCCGGCCGAAGAGGTCCATCAGCCAACAACGGCGACTCCTCGTCGAAAGCCAGTCTTTCCTCTTTGGACGGCTGTGACCCAGTGGGTGCATGGCTTGATTACCAAGACTGTTGTGGCACTCGCGCTTTGTGCCTCTCGCCGTCCCAAGACAACTGTGTATGGCATTACGTTTCTCAGTTTCTTCCTCGTCACAGTGGGATTCTTTACTAACTTTGAGTTGGTCTTGAAATTCGATGAAGTCTTTACACCCACAGGAAGCCAACCAGCCATGGTAAGAAGACTAGTTTGACTTGAACCGACGAATGAAACAGGGTCCGTGGAAGTACGTGCTGTGATATCTACCGTGATCTAACTTTTCTTGTCCTCGCACTTGTTCACATGTACGTACGTACTTGTTCCAACAGCACAAAGACTGGGTCTACTCTGAGGAGGGTTTCCCGAATGCTGTCCGCAAAGTTGCCCTCATGATGCACAAAGAGGGAGGCAATGTCTTGACAGTGGAGGCCATGGAGAGGGTCTTTGTGGGAGTTGACACAATCCGCCAAACGGAGGGTTACGAAGAACTCTGCCAGCAGGGAGCCTATGTCGACTTTGAAGGAGTCAAGACATGTCGTGTTCTCAGTGCCACGGGCTATTTCGACCATCACAAGCTAAGTGTCTTTCAAGAGCAAGTGCATTCGGACCAAGAGTTGCGCCAGGCATTGTCTCCCTTTCAGTTTGCCAATGGATCCCCCGTGTACCATGACTCTATCCTCGGCAACTGGAAGAAGGATGCCACCGGAAACTTGACATCTGCAGAATCCTTCCTTGTTGTAGTGGAGATTCCTGATACAGACGACCGTGATGAGTTTGAAGACAAAATGCTTGCCCAGCTAGGCAACCTCCGACAAGAATGGATCGAGAAAGACGAGGAATCGGGGTACCAAGTGTTGCAGATGGACTTGGTAAGTACAAAACCAAGGGTCATGCCACGAACGCACCCATACCAGGTTGGCCTGTTTGTGATTCGATTCGATTCGATTCGATCTGATTCGATTCCCGCACTCACCTACAATTGTGTGGCTGTTTCTCTGACTATCGTGGTTGGCAGCTCACAACGCATGCTTTTGAGGTTGAATACCAAAGGTGTGTTGCCAACACCAAACAGGGGCATCACCACCCAGTGTGATCACGCTTGTAACCGCCGTCATTCTGACTCTTGTTGTTGTCGCTGCTGCTGTTGTTTGTACAGGGCCATCGAAGGGGACTTGTGGCTCGTCCCGCTTGTAGCAATCATGATGTGCTCATTTGTGGCGGTGACCTTTGCTTCCTATGGATTTGGTAACGCCGACACCAAATCCCGGACGTTGCTGGGAGCTTCATCCGTCTTTACGATCAGCATGTCTTTCTTGGCAGGCAATGGCATTATGTTCCTTTGTGGAGTGCCGTTTACGTCAATCACCCAGATGCTCCCGTTTGTGATATTTGGGATTGGATTGGACGATACCTTCATCATTACAGGTGCTTACTTCCGGATGGATCCGGGGTTGGATGTGCTAACCCGCATCCGCATTACCTTCTTGGAGGTGGCACACAGTATTTCCTTGACCACAATCACCACTACTTTTGCCTTCCTCCTGGGTCTCATGTCCAGCTTGCCCGGTGTGCAGTGGCTTTGTTTGTATGCAAGCACTACCATCTTTATTGATTTCATCTTCCAAATCACGCTGTTCCCTGCATTCATTGTATTGGATGAACAACGAATCCTAGCAAAGAAACGAGACTGCTGCTTCTGGCTTCCCGAGAAAGGATCAGACGAAGACGAGGTTGTCCACGATGATACCGTGCCTGCTGGCAAGGATGATGATGCTGCTCTCGAAACAGATGGTTCGGTCGAGATTTCCACATCGACCGAGAACTCAGAGGGTTCTTCCAAGAGCATTCCAGAGCGTGTCATGAGTGCCTACGCCGACTTTTTGCTACGGCCACAAATCAAGGCTCTTGTTCTTCTCCTGTTCGCAGCACTCTTTGGATGTTGCGTTTATAGTGTTTCTCTGTTGACACAAGAGGTAAGTCAGATTAGCAGACCTCGTTGTCACCCTCCACACCATGTGCTGCGTCGCTGACTGTTATTTTTTCATCCTCTTTTGTGCCCCAGTTCAAGCTTGGAGACTTTGTGCCAGATGACAGCTACCTCAAAGACGTTTATGTTTCTTTTGAAAACTATGCATCTGTGGTCCGTCCAATCGCAGTTTACTTCCGACACATTGATCAAACCAACCCTGACATGCAAGCCCAGATGATCAAGTATGTCAATGACTTGGAGTCATTGGAGGAGCTCAGTGGCACCACAGTCGACTTGGCAGGGGTAGAAGGTGCCCCGGAAACTGATGTGAAGCCATTCTGCTGGGTCCGTGACTTTCAGAAGCTGGCGACTGAGTTTACAGATCAGCCAGAGTTTGCTTTCATTGAGAACCTGACGTTTGTTGAACAGCTCGACCTGGCACTTGCACAGCCCACTGTCAGGGAGATCTATGGGCAAGATATTATTCGAGATGACACGGGAAACATCACAGCATCAAGATGCTGGCTCTTCCTCACAGACCTGGATTTGAACTCTGTAGAGGCCCAGATTAGCCTACTGCACAAACAGAGGGCAGTTGGGGAGATGCAACCAGCCAATGCGGGCACGCCCAAGGGGGGGTGGTCATTCTTCTTCTTTGACGAGTTACTCTTTTACTGGGAATCATACGATGTTGCTGTGCAAGAGCTTTATTTTACAGTCATCTCAGGGATCATTGCCTTGACGGTCATTGCATTTGTTATGATCCCACATTGGACTGCTGTGTGCTTTGTTACCCCCATGATAATCGTGCTCTACACAAACTTTCTTGGGACGTTGCAGTTTTTCGGATTGCATATCAACGGCATCTTTTACATCTGTGTGTGGTGGTGGTTGGTCTCCTGGTGGACTTTTTATTGCACATTCTTTTGAGATATTATGAGACTTCCCCCGACAAGACCCGCAATGATCGTGTCAAGGAATCACTTGAGACAATGGGGGCATCCATCATGTTGGGAGGCCTGACAACATTTTTGGGAGTGGTGCCACTCTGTCTATCTTCCACCAAGATCTTCATGACAGTGTTTTTAGCATTTTTCGGAATGATTGTGTTGGGGATTGCTCATGGGTTGATCCTCCTGCCTGTGATTCTTTCCTTGGTGGGACCACGGACGGGCTTGGTTTCTCTTCAGGGCAGCAAACAGGCAGAGGCGTTGTCCTCGGCCATCGAGCAGACTGAAAAGCACAAGAGCATGCATCATCCTCAGCACCAATCAACCAAGGTTTCGTCTTCCACCGCTTCCATGGAGCAAGAATCCTTGTCCATTGGCCCCATATCCGTTGTAAAGATTTTGTCGGGTTCCATGGAGCAAGAATCCTGCAGCAGCCATGGCGGCGAAGAGCATCGTGCAGTGGCCTTGGGGATGGACGATATTACTGACGAGATCTCCGTCTAGCTCTCCCCACGAGCCAACCCCTTGGCACGATGAGCGCTCGGCCGTCAATGCACAGAAACAACTTTGCACAAGGCCCATTCTACATGTATCCTTCTCCATACATATTCTGCATGAGTTCTACCTAAGTTGTACGATTATAATAGAACTAGTAATACTACTACCACTCTATAGCTTATGCACGCTGGGGTGCAGAGGATCCGTGCTGCCAGGGTTCGATCTGGGCATCCAAGAGAGCTGACCAACCCAAGGAGGAAATGGTGAAAGTAGCCAGGGATAAAGATTGAGAGCACCACAACTGTCCCAATGCTGAGACCTCATCATAAAAGCAGCAGGGATGCGAGGTACATTGTAGCTGCACGAGCATGGGCAATGCTCAGTGCGGTGGAAACATGTGAGCCGACTACTAGAAGCCTGGCCCTTGGTGGCTTCCGTAGATAATCCACCTACTCTACTAGACCCCCCGTTACTGCTCTAGTAGAGCTTGGACATCTTCTTAGCAAAAAAGTGCTGTAAGAGCCCAGTCAAGCAACGACCAAAATTGTCGTGAAGCCGAAGCAAACGCAAACGCAAACGCGCCTATCGGTATTGGCACGGTACTGCTACGGTAAATCGCGTAACACACCTTCCAAATCGCGTTCGCCTTTTTGCGGTTGTTCAGCTCAGTAACTTGCTTATAAGGCTACAGAGGTCGTCGACACAGTGCAGCCCAGCAACACGAGCGACCAACGGCCAACACAGCTGTGCAGCACGATGACTGACTCTATGGTTCGTATCATCGGTGAAAAGAATAGTTTGGGAGAGCCGCTTGTGTCGTTCCCGCTCCTTGAAACGAATGCACCAAACGAGCGCTGCGCCTTGGCATGCATGGCCACATACATTCACGCGGTGACGGTCCTCGGACCACAACCAGCACAGAAATTAAAATATTCCCGGTATGCATACGGTACCTATTTAGGAGCCAAGTTTCCAAAAACTAGATTGATTGATTGAGAGTAAGTTGTGGTGGGGTCCAGGGAGCAGCCTTTGGCTGTGCTCTATAAGTAAGTTAGTTCGTTACTAAGTTGATGGATGGATTGATTGCTGTGGAGCCACATTTATTGTTTGGCTGTCGTCATCTTGTACCGTGCGGTATTTGTCAATCTTTGGCGGAAGCTTGATTCGATTCGTACGTGCTTCCCCAACGGCAGCAGACCAAGAGGAATCCTGTTGGTGCAGCGACAAAGTGAAACGCTCATCGTCGTTCGTTCGTTCCAGGTGCAGAATCATCACATCATACCGTATTGGATGGAAATCCACGAGCATCTGCCTTGCTTCCACCACCACAACAACGCGTCCTTTTCCCATGCTTCTTCTTTCTTCGTTGTCTTCTTGTGTATTCGTTAGCTAGCTAGATGCCCCCACCGACATGGAACTCGGGTTGAAACTCGTACCGTCTCAAATCTTCCTGTAGCAGCCCAGTCGTAGTACTATTGACGAGTCCATGTCCCATTTGTTCCAACCGTGCCAATTGTTGTGTGTGTGCATGAGGCAATCCTTCGTCCAACAAGATGAGTTCTCCCGGTTCCAATTCGATCCATTCTTCGTCGTCCGTCAAGGGCCTTGTCGCCACAACGGCAACTCGATCTTGTTGGGTTGTGACAGTTCCAAAATCGACGGTATAATCCAAATCGCACAAATGACACTTGGTAAAGGGATACTCTCGTACCGTGTAATGCAATCCATTCCAGACATCACTGCCAGGTCGTCGTCCGGGCCAACTGTAGACCCACAAGACGTGGGGTCCACAGGCCATTAAAAAGTTGAGGATGGTATCGTCGGGGGCATAGTCGACAATTTCCGTGGCGAGTTCGTGGAGGGTTTGATACAACGCTGGCAAACTGGGCAGCTTGCGATCATACTTGTGCCGCAGGGCATTGAGAATGGCACAAAATGCCGCTTCACTATCGGTGGTTCCCACGGGATGATAGACTTGAGTTTGATTCTGTTTGTTGTCTCCAAGTATCGGTAGTTCATTATTGTCATTGTCGTCATCTTGATTGTCATCAATAAACAATGGAACGTGTCCATTGTGTGCAAAGACCCATTGCACTCCCGCCCATTCTCGTGCAAACGGATGCACATTGGCCAAATTGACGGGTCCATGGGTGGCATAGCGAATGTGCGCCATCATGTTGACGGTTCGGATCGGATACTGCACCAAAAAGTCTGCCAAAGGCGATTCCGCCGCCGGTTGATCGTCGTGGAATTGTCGCACCCCGCCATTTTGATAAAATGCCAATCCCCAACCATCCGAATGAATGTCGGTTTCCCCACCTCGTTTGCAAAAGCCTTGAAAGGAAAAACTAAAATCCGTCGGTTGACGACACGACATGCCCAGTAATTGACAGTACAGACTACTAGTAGTAGTACTACTACTAGTGGATGTTGTTGTTGTAATAATACTGCCAAACGCCATGGAGGGTGGAGGTGTCGTCGTCGGCAAGAGAAATCCATGGGATGACGAAAAGGTCATCACTACCAGTAGTGTTAGCAGCAGCAGCAACCAAGACATGCTGCGTTTCTTGTACTTTTTGCTTTGTCAACAGAAGAAGAAGGGAGTTATGAGTGGTTGGATTAGTACTTAGTACTACAGAAGGGTTGTAAGGCTACTACTAGCTAGTAGTGCATGGCTTGGTTGTTGCTTGCTTTGCCAAAGTTCGTAAAAGTGACCCATGCCATCGTGCTGTGCTCTCTTCCCTCGTTCTTTCCCTTGGCATTTTGTTGGGAACCCCACAACGGATCCCAAGAATTCCATGGAAGATTTACCACCTGCGAAGCATACCGGTATGCCGGTATACCGGCACAGCTCCAGGCCCCCAGTATTGCGCATAACGCACCTTCTAAATCCGGCTCAGTGGTCTATGTGAGACTACTGAGGTTTTGTTTGGCAGGTCGCGGACACACATTGCATTCCAGCAATGTTAACACGAGCAACCAACTACTGGTACGAACTCAGCTGTGCACAATGACTTTGTACTAATCATCGGTGCACTTAAGGGGGTTCCAAAATAAGTGTTGGGTGAGGCACCAAAAGAGCGCTGCGCCTTGGCATGGCCACAGTCACCGTTACGGTCGGTCCTCAGCAGACCACAACCAGTGTGGGACGCACATCGGCCAAATTGACTTGTTCATGCATGCGTGGCATAGAAAATATGAGCCATTGTGTTACCGGATAGCTACTGGTGCACCAAAAAGGTGGTGATTATAAAACAAAACTAGATGCAGTGTGGCAACAAAATGTGATATAAAGACTGTTTTACTGACTTTTACATTTTATACAGGGGGCGAAGGGTTCATGCTCGGAGAGGTACTTGGAGACTCACTTGGATTTCTACTGGGCTTAATACTGACTGAAGGTCTGCTGCTTGGTGAAACAGATGGTGCACCACTTGGTTTAATGCTGACTGAGGGGTTCATGCTGGGTTGTGTACTGAGAGATGGATTGACACTGAGTGAAGGATTGACACTTGGCATCACAGAAGGCTCCCTGCTGGGTGTGAGACTTGGTAGGGCACTGGGCTGAGCACTAAGTGATGGAACTATGCTTGGAAAATTACTGGGCGCCAAGCTAACTGATGGCAATAAACTTGGACTTCTGCTTGGGGATAAGCTGGGTAGGGCAGAAGGCTCCCTACTGGGTGTGAGACTTGGAACTTCACTTGGCACCAAGCTAACTGATGGCAATGCACTTGGGCTTCTGCTTGGGGATAAGCTTGGCAGGGCAGAAGGCTCCCTGCTGGGTGTGAGACTTGGAGCTTCACTAGGTTGCAAACTTAGAGATGGAGGAGAGCTTGGCGGGGCAGATGGAAGAGAGCTGGGCAGGGCAGAAGGCAAGCTACTAGGTGCGAGACTTGGAGCTTCACTAGGTTGCAAACTGAGAGATGGTGGAGAGCTTGGCTGGGCAGATGGAACAGAGCTGGGCAGGGCAGAGCTGCTGGGTATGAAACTTGGTGTTGTACTGGGTGCTGAATTGGAATAGACCAGATTGATGTACACATCATTCTGACCAATGCAGGGAGTCAGGGTGGTGCTCACATCTGCAGAGGCATCCATTATGAAACTGACCTCACCAGTTGCAACCCAAGTGTTGAATTGGGCCTGTGCCACAACAAAATCAGCCTGTTCATAGGTAGCAGAGCACTGATCAGGTCCACCATTGTTTTGACCTAAGATGTTGCCATCTTGGTCAATTACATCATAGAACTCAGAACTAGAATCCAAATCTCCCCGGATAAATGTTTGAACAGTCACATCACCCACGGCAGGTGACAGAGATTCAAAACAAATATCCAATTGTTCCTATTCAAGGATACAGAGAAAGTTACTGTTGGAATCAGACCACCAGCAAATGCATATGTGTTCACATGTAGTCACTTACCCCATCTTGTGTAAGTGTGCACACATTTGAAGTTGTACTTGATGAACAAGGCTTGGTAGGAGCCTGGCTGGGAGTCATACTTGGTGCCAAGCTTTGGCTGGGTGCTGTACTGGGTGCTGGATATGAATAGACCAGATTGATGTACACATCCTGCTGGGCACAGAAAGTGCCCACATCTCCAGAGGCATCCATTATGAAACTGACAAGCCCAGTTGCTACCCAAGTGTTGAAGGTAGCCTGTGCCACAACAAAGTCAGTCTGGTCATAGGTAATAGAGCACTCCCCGACACCATTGTTTTGACCCAAGTTGTTTCCATCTTGGTCAAGTACATCATACAACTCAGAGGTGTCACCCAAATCACCCCGGACAAAAGTTTGAACAGTCACATCACTGGTGGCTTGTTCCAGAGAATCAAAACAAATATCCAATGCTTCCTATTGAAGGATACAGAGAAAGTTAGTGCTGCGATCAGACCACCAGCAATGCATATGTGTTCACATGTAGCTCACTTACCCCATCTGTTGTAATTGGGGACACATTTGAAGTTGTACTTGATGAACAAGCCTTGGTAGGAGCCTGGCTGGTAGTCATACTTGGTGCCACGCTTAGACTTGGTACAAGGCTTAGACTGGGTGCTGTACTGGGTGCTGGATATGAATAGACCAGATTGATGTACACATCCTGCTGGGCACAGAAGGTGCCCACAGCTCCAGAGGCATCCATTATGAAACTGACAAAGCCAGTTGCTATCCAAGTGTTGAAGGTAGCCTGTGCCACAACAAAGTCAGCCTGACCATAGATTGAATCGCAGTCACTCCCACCAGAACCATTGTTTTGTCCCAAGATGTTTCCATTTTGGTCAATTACATCATAGAACTCTGACCCTAAAGCCAGATCACCCCGGGCAAAAGTTTGAACAGTCACATCACTGGTGGCAGGCAACAGAGAATCAAAACAGAGAACAAGTCGTTCCTATCCATTAGAGAGAAAGTTAGTGTTGAAATCAGACCACCAGCAATGCAGGTGTTCACATGAAGCTCGCTTACCCCATCTTGTGTAAGTGTGCACACATCTGAAGTTGTAGTTGATGAACAAGGCTTGGTAGGAGCCTGGCTGGGAGCCACACTTGGTGTCAAGCTTAAACTTATCGGGGAGATTGTTGGCTCATTGGATTCATTCAGTTGGGCAGTGATGCCATATCCAATACCAAAGCCACCACCAAGGCCTACACCTATGGTAAACTCCAGGGAATAGAGTCCATTGAGATTTGACACCAAAGCACTTCCAATCCCAGCTCCCACTGCAGCATCAATGTCAACCACAACTGATCCTCCCAAAATATCCTGTGTGGTTCCAGTGAAGGCAAATCCAATCAACATTGTGAATTCAGCTCCTGCACCCGCTTCAGCTCCAAAGGTTCCCCGGATAAAGTCTGTTGGTGTAGGAGCATCTCCAAGGGCCCAGAAAACAGACATGGCAAGGTCTACAAGTGCACTCACTTCAATGTGAAGTCCCATGTAGACAACTGTTCCACCAGTGCTGGGTGCTTTGGGGATACAGTCATTGGCAGCTTCTTGCAATGAAGCAAGTTGGGGTGGTGGTTGGGCATTGAATGCATCCAGGAAACGGAGACATGTTGCACTCTGCTGGAACTCTTCAGGGTTCTGAGCATCAAGGGCTGCATCAACAAGGTCACTCTCATCAATATTGGCACGAGTGAAAATGGATTCTTTCCAGACCTCAAGATCCAATCGAAAGCTGCTCACAACCTGCTCTAGACATGCCCTGTCAGGGAAGCACCTCTTTCTAAGGACAGAAAAGTCGTTGGAGCAAGTAAGCCCTTCTCCACAAGTTCTCAAACGTCCACATCGCTGGCCAGCACCATGTGGCCGGGAATCAAAAAGGCCCTCACTTTGGTCTCCCAAAGTATTGTTACCACTGTCACTGGAAATGTTGGTGGCTTGGGCAGCAACTACATCCACTTCCTCCCGACTGATGACATTGTACTCCCCTGAGACCACATGATGGGCAAGGAGGAATAGAAGGATAAGAACATGACCTTTCCACAGCATGGTAGCTCAATGTTTTGCTTTTCAACAAAGTAAGTGCCATTTTGAGCAAGGAAATTTGCAGATGTTTGTTCAGAAACCCGACAACGCGTAGAATTGAATCGAATGAAATCAACCTTTCCTGATGGAGCGACGCTCTGTCAGGCTGGGTTAAAATACCACCTTTTTAACCACCCTACGCTAATTAATCTTTCCTAGTTAAGTAAGTAGCGAGAGTTCCAGTCGCGAAACGCCAGTTCTGATTCGGTTTTTTACAGACCGCACGATTCTTTAAAAAGTGATTGGTTAAGTAAACTGAGTTTTGAATCGCTGTTCTTCCGCTTCTTAGGTTAATTCTTAGACCCTTACGATCGGTTGGGTTCCATGGCTGTCCTAATTGTCAAACCGGTTGGTTCAAGCCAGCTGGTAGATCTATACAGTACCGGTACAGTCGCAGCTACAGTACGCTGTACAGTCGCAAGTGTGATCTGTCCTACCGTACCGTACAGAAATGGCCCAACAACGAGAGTCTCTCTGCCAGCACGCAACCTCTTTCGCGTGGAAGCTCTTGAGAGCTCCCTCCAGCCTCCTTACCTTGCATGTAGGCTAAGGCTGTGAGAAATACTCGTCGTACCCGTTGAGACAGTCTCCCTCTTGTGGTTGTGAGCGGTCTCTCTACTGTCCGTCCGTCAAGACTGTCTCTACAACATGCACCACCTCTCCTCCCTCTTGTAAGTGTTGCCGTCGTCGTCGAATTATTGCCGATGTCTTGTGGCCGATGCCGTCTTCTCTAGTTTCCTTTTAGAAATGAAAGGGGCCATTGATTGTGGTTCGAATGCCTTGATCTTTTCCACACTATTGTCATCTTGACCACCAAGACGCTGGCTCTCATGCTCTTTCAGCATTGTTTTGAATGCCTTGATCTTCTTTCTCGACTCGACTCGACTCGACTCTAGAGGGACGGATGGATTCGATTCCATCAATCCAATTTAGTCTGTCGATGACCGCTGGCACGGAGCAACCATGATGCGGATGCTTCGTTCGTTCACGGCGCGATTGATTATCGAACCATCCACAAGTATCATAGACTAGTACCATCGGCTACCGGAGCGATCTGCTGGATGCATTGATGTTCGAATGGATCCTGCGTTCCAATCGATCGATGATCTTTTTCGAAAGTTTTTGAGTTGGATGCCCCAATTTCCATGCAGCACCACCCACTCCTCTACCTGTCGGGCAGATGGAATGCTGAGAGGGTTACAGTCGGAGCACCTTTTCCTTCCGCTGTATCCATGGCAGAACGACAACAAATCGAAAACCCCAGACTGATTTTTACACAGTGGCTGCATGGTATGGCTACTACCGTAGTGGATGTTGTAATACTACCAAACGCCATGGAGGGCGGAGGTGTCGGCGGCAAGAGAAATCCATGGGAGATGACGAAAAGGGTATCACTAGCGTCAGCAGCAACCGAGACATGCTGTCTTTCTTGTACTTTTTGCATTGTCAACAGAACAGCAGAAGAAGAAGGGAGTTATTAGTTGTTGGATTAGTACTTAGTAGTACAGTAGTGTTGTGAGCCAACGGACTAGTGCATGCCTTCCTTGTTGCTTCTTGGGAAAAGTCTGCCTACATGTGTTGATTTCTTGGTTCTTTGGTGATGGATCGGCACCCCAGCCTGGGGAACCCGGAAATGGGACCTACATGTAACCAGTTTTAAAACAGTTTACGATTTATTTGTCATAGTTTACCCATGACTGTTTATCCATGAGTTAAATCCTTGTTTACTCATGATTAAACAAGCGAGTTGTTGTTTACTCATGAGTAAACAAGACAAGGATCTCGTGGGTAAACAGTAAACAGTGTGTTTTTTCTAGTGAGATTTTTAAAAAAGGACTTGTGAGTAAACAAGGAACTCGTGGGTAAACAGCTTGTTTCCCCAAGAGTCATGCATAAACAGCTTGTTTCCCCATGAGTCATGCATAAACAACTGTTTACCCACGAGTCATGGGGAAACAAGCTAGCAGCTGTTTACGCATGCTCATGACTCGTGGGTAGGTAACCACGACTCTCACCGTAAACCGTTACAACACCTCATTCGTGCCTTTTTCCGGGTCGCCCCGCTATTCCATGGAATTTACCCGTGGTGTGCATTCACACCCAGTGAGTTGAACCACAGTTTCAGTCCCGCGCACTAACGAGCGCTCATTAGTGCGCGGGACTGAAACTGTGGGACTGGATATTAGAGTGGAAGCTTTTAAATCCTTGAGTTTCTTCAGTACCGTCACACATAATTATTGGATGCTTCCAGTTCCGTTTCACGAAGTCTTATTGCAAAGACTTCTCCGTTCCCAAGCAGGCTCAGGATCAGAAGATGGTTTGCGCTCACATTTTCAAACGATTTGCATGGTCGAGTCATTGAAATTCGCATGTACCAGTACCGGTACTAGGTAGCGTACTGTACAGATCGATCTGCGCGCGAGTTAGTTTCACGAGCAGGCACGAAGTGTCACGGTGCTCGCATCGAAGAGGATCCAAGGCTACTATGATAGGCAACACCAGTGAAACCTCCATCCATCATTTAGTCTTCGGGTGCACCCCCTTGGATTGTGAGACCTTTCCAGTTCCTCGGTAATGTTGACGGCCAAGATATGACTGCCTTCCCACGGTCCATAGAAACAATTGAGGGATAGCTTTGGAATCTGCATCGATCGTCAATAACACTCTAATATTCGCCACAACGCTGTTGTCAGTTAAGCTTGGAATTCTCTCCTGAATACCATGAAATTTCAATGAGGGACTTACTTTTTGCCTACTCCAGTGCTGCCAACCCATGAATCTTCTTGCACAAGGGTAGCTGCCCTTTTTCCTGTTGATAGAGGCAACATGGAGTGTAAATAGAGAGGTTGTTAGCATTGCAACATGCTGGAACAGTCCTTTGTATATATATGTAAGAGGAACAGTCGTCATACTGTACGAGTTGGTGGCTTACGTCGCAGCGACCCACAGCCAAGGGTTGATTGTTGCATGTAATGCCAAACCAGGAATCTTTTCGTATTCTTGGAACCGAGGTTGCTCCTGTTGAAGAGGCTTCAATAATAAACAGTAAACAAAGAAGTTGTTAGTAGCGTCTTCCAGCGATCGTTCAAACCAAAATGAAAGAAAAAGGAAATCGTCTCTGGTAATAAGCCTTGCACTCTTGAATAGGACCTCCAGTAATGGTATTCGATCCACTGATGGGTTCCTGGATTGTCCAATGTCGTCCAGTCGGTCTGCACACAAACGCCATTGTTGTGTCATTTTTACGTGAATTTCCTCAGGCTGCCGCGCCGACCAATGCATCGTCGCATATCCAACTATAATAGCAGACTTGACTCGACTCTTCTCTTGTTGTATAGAGAGGGAGACAAAGGATAAATAAAGAGGTTGTGATCAATCGTTCGAGTCAATTTGGTATCGCGCGATCTTCTTCCAGCGAGTTTACGTGCCTCTTAATTCTCCTGTCGAACAACGATAGATGAAGAGTAAATAAACATGATACTGTAAGCGGCAAATGGTCAATCCGTTGTCATCATCGGCGGTGGCAGCAGCACGAGTTACTACTTGCATGTTGTTATCTGGATCCATCGATCGATCCTGCTGCTGCTGCCGATGGTTTCTTCGCTAGCAGGCTCTTCTCCTGTCGTAAAGTTAAGAAGTAAATAAAAAAAGCTGATTCTTAAGAATCTGCGTCTTGGCATCTTGGAATCTTGGAAATGATACCCAACACCAAGTGCACATAACATGTAACTATACCATAGAGAGTCTTACTGCTGCTGGTTGAATGGATGCTGAACCATTGCAGTGGCAAGAGCTAGTGCAAGATGTCTTGGCTTTGGTGCACTTGAAGCAATACAGTTACTCAGTAGTAGATTAGCTAGCTAGGTATCAAACTCCAACAGGAACCACAGAAGGAGTAGGCAGGCTATGTTCAGGCGGCAGCAATATGACGAATGGAATGAAAGGGATATGACAACAGGATACTAGTACATGTATTATGAACTACTCAGTATGTTGGCTGCTTTTTTTAAAATACTTGTCTAGCTATTGTGCAGGCACACAACTTGACGGTACTAATTAGTAACTAGTACCAGCACTGGTACGGAGGACAAGACAGAGCCTTTCACGTTCAGGCATGCCGCGGATTCTCAAGAATCGGCATTTTAAAAAAGCAAGAATCGGCATTTTCGATGACCCGATTCTTAATTAAGAATCCTCTTTCCCCGCCCCAGATTCCTCGCACCAGATCTAAAATCTAAAACCTCGAATTTCGATCTCTTCGCCCGTTTACTAGCTAGCTAGCTAGTAGTCCGGTATTTGTTTTTTGCCGTACAGTACCTGGTACCATGTAGGTTGTTCCATTGTGATCTTTTCGTGCTCGAAACCACTCCAAATTATTCTGAGGGGGCAGCAACAATTAATTGCAGGTGACTATCATAATGATTCGCTACGAAGCTACTGTAGTTTCATAATGGTGGTACGGTACCGGTACCGGTACCGGTACCGGTATGGCTTACTATTCGTAAGGAACTAGTCGTCTCGGAAGCAACTACTGTAACGAGTAGATGAGAGATGTAAACGACTGCAAGTTACTAAGTAACATCTTGAGTCCTATAAAAATAGTATCTGCGTCGTAGTATATTCCAGAGCTGCTTTATGGATGATTGCTTGGGCGATTGATGCCTGTCCTAATTACCACCGGGATCGGCCTTGTCGTTTCCGTCTGCGGTGGGATCGCTTTCCTCGGGTGCTGCAGCGATGGCATCATTGGTCGAATCCTCCCTACTATCGCTTGAGGAAGGTAGAGTGCTACTGTCCTCTTCGTTTGCATCTCCTGTTGCCTCCAAAGTTGCGGTCGTTTGTTCTGTCGTACTATTGTCAGTACTGTCCGTTGTGCTGGAAATGGCTTTGACAGCAGCAGCAGCTGCCGCCGCCAATAATCCTTCCTCCACAGCTCCTCCGGCCGCTGCTTTTGTGGTGGTCCTGGTCCGAGTCGCCGCCGCCGTCGCCATGGTGGCTGTTTTTCGAATCATTTGCATCTTTCTTTGGGCGGCCAACCACGCCCCAATTTCAGGCGTCGCCGCCACCTTTTGGGCCGCCACCCATGCCGTGAGCTCCTCCGATGCAATGGCGGCGCCGCGGTATTTATTGCCAAAGGCAATTACTCGTTCGTACAGTCCTCCGCCCGCGGTAACGAAAGCCGTGCCAGCGGCACCCGTGGCTTTGACCGCGGCATTAAAAACCACGTCCCCCGCCGCGAAACTGACGGCAGTACCCAGCAAGGTCATGAGAGTTCCACGGCGACCGACTCCTACTCCATTATTATTAGATCTAGTAGTGGTTTCCTCCTTTGATACTTCTTCATCGTCGTGTTTTTTAGAAGCCGCGAGAGCCGAAGAAGCATCCCCAAAAGTTCTTCTTGTGGAAAGCACGCGAGTAGCAGATGCTTGAAAGACAAATGCTTCGATACCTGTAAGCAGCAGCAGCAGAAGGCAGGCTGCAGACGCCGAAATACTTCTAGTATGCTTTGCTTTCATCGTGGCTACTCGATCTTTCAATATATAGGAAAACATGGCAAAGGTGCTTCCCACCGGTGCCCAAGAGCAATCAAAGAACAAAAGGAAAAGAAGATCCAAACACGAATGGGATCTTGGGCTCGGTGCAAATAATAGATCGACACGTGTAACATCGAACCTACCGGATGGCAGGTTTCTTCTGACATCATAAACCTACCGGGTTTGCTAGCTTGGCAGATTTGTTCCCAAAATAGGGAGATGCCAACACCATGACAACCAGAGTCTAGTATTAGTCGGGAAGGTGGCCTTCATACCTTTGGAAATGGTCAGCTTACTACTCTATAGCTAGCTAGGAAAGCACTTCACTCCTAGAAAGGCCTTTGAGGTGGTGTATGCCCATGCGCGCCTCAACCAAGGCCGACGCAGCAGACGCACACTCACATGCAGGTCATGCACAATGATCGAAATTGGTGTGACACATGTACCATACCTTTATACTCTATCAAGATGCTGTTATCTTCTCTTTACAACGGCTAGCTAGTCCTCTATTCCACCAACATGGCAGGCTCCTCTTTTTGGAAAGGCTGGAATCAGGGGCAGCGTTCTCGACGGCTCTTCTTTAAAAATTGACCCATCCTCTTTCGCTCGTAATTCACGGCGAAGCTTCCATTTAGTTCACATCTACCACTGAAGCATCAAGCGGACACTAGCTAGCTATCGATGCTACCGTACGCTACTTAAATTGCTACAAACAATCAGTGTAACAAGCTGCATTCTTCTTTTGACTTGTAAACGAAAAAAAGTGCCGAGGAAGAAAACGTTCGACGGTTCACTGTCGACAACCGCTTCTACTACGGCTATAATAAATCCCCCATCAGAATTAATTGATTGGCAAGAATGTGAAGTGTATTGTTAGAGAAGCCCACAGCTAGTTCCACGACATGTACGGTACCATACTTGCAACACTTATAAGGAGACTGCATGGATCCGAGAAACAAGGCCTGCCGCTGGTCCACGTATCAATGACTGCTTCCACGGATCCGTTTTATTCATCGACAAACGTACCACATGACATGTGCAAGCAAAGAAGTGGCTTGTTCATCTCCGCTTTCGACCTACCCTCTTCGCTCAACAACAACAACTCTACCATACTATGTATACTGCATTGACTTGTTCATAAACTACGAAGTCTGCTCAATTTTTGTGGACGTCATGCCAACAATGAACAATCTCCTCTCAGCGGATCCACTCCTACTACTGGTAATTGATTATTATTTTGATACCGGCGGTCCCTTTACCTTTACTCTATCAAGATGATGTTACCTCCTGTTTACAGTGACGGCTCCATTTGAAGAAGAAGAAGGCTCCACCATGACATTCTCCTCTTGTTTGCATACGGTAGGCTGGAAACAATGGCAGGCACGAGCTTCTTCCGTTCGACGGATCAATAATGATTGCTTCTACGTTGGATATCTGGACTTCATTCCTCGACCGTGGTGATTGCTTGGCCCGTAGCAAGAAGCAACTACTCTATGCAGAGTTCAATCTAATACCGGAGCGACGACGTACTACCGGAGTGTTGAGTGATCGACGACTTCCATACTGGCTCCTAACAATATCGACGTATCCAAGACTCCCACGGATCGAATCGAATCGAATCGATCCATCGGCTTCCGCTACTGCTGGCTACTACTAATGCAACAAGCAGCAGGCACTCAACTACTTCTTTGACTTGTGGGCTGGTTGACAGACAACAAACATCACAAATCTGCTCCTTTTTGTGGCCATCAAGTCAACAATCTCCTTTGACAGGGAATTATTCAGGCAAAAAGCGAATCGATGGGCCACTCCACTCCGTGTTCGAGCCGCAGTTGGGATGGTAGTCAAGTCACGGCCACCGGTAGCCAGTCGCTACTGCTGTCAACAACAACAACAAGTATCAGAAATCTCGCCACTCTCACAAAACAACCATGTCATTTCTTCCGCCCGAGCCCTGCAATGCTTTCATTGGTGGGAGCCACTCGTTCGATCATTAACTTGTGACAATGACGTTGACAACACACTGCAATGGAGTGTGTTGTTGGGGACGGAGCTCAGGACCATTGGCAACTGTACTGTACTGTACTGTACTGTACTGTACTGAACGGTACCACTACACCAGGCACCACCACCCGGACAAGTGCGGTATCGAACCATTCTAAAGATCTTGAATGTGTGACTGGTACATGTTGCGAAGTCCTTGTGTGTGTATCATGGACTATTGGTGTCACTCATGTGGTTGCTTCCTCCAATTCCAATACAAATTCCTACAGTAGCGCGCTAAGATTGCTATGCAGTCCTTCCATTTCCAGTTATTTGTTTTCCTCTACCAGTAGTGGCAACAATGAAACAGTCAGTGTCACACCATTCTAACTTGGACTCCTTCATTGTGGTTACCTAGTGGAATAGACCAGATTGATGTACACATCCTGCTGGCCGACACAGTCGGGTAGAGTAGCACTCACATCCTCAGAGGCATCCATTATGAAACTGACCTCACCAGTGCCACAGTAAAATCCTGCTGATCATAAGCTGAACCAATTTGATTAAGCCAGCGGAGCTGTGTAACCTCGGCAGAAAGGTTCACTGTAGAAGCAGATAACCCTATTAGCTAGCTAGCTAGCTAGCTAGAAGCAGATACCTGTAGTGCTGATAACCCTATTAGCTAGCTAGCTAGAAGCAGATACCTGTAGTGCTTAGCTAGTGCTTAACTTGCACTTAGCTAGCTAGAAGCAGATCCCCTAGCTAGAAGCAGATTCCCATAGCAAGCTAGAAGCAGATACCCCAAGCTAGCTAGAATACTAGTTATATAGCTTTTGCTAGCTGTAGAGTTTTTCCTGGTAGAAGCAGATCCCCCTACTAGGATTCATGTAAATAGCTTAGCTGGTTTAAAAGCACCATCCTAGGATACTTATTTAGTTTTTGCTGACTTATTTGTATTCTAACCCTACCGTTATACCTGCAGGGGCCACGGTAGCAGGAAAAACAATTAAAGGGGTTGAGGGCTCTGGCAGCAAGACTGCCGAGGTTAACACCACCATTGTTTTGACCCAAGGTGTTTCCATCTTGGTCAATTACATCATAGAACTCTGACCCTTTGTTCACATCACCCCTGACAAAAGTTTGAACAGTCACATCACTGGTGGCAGGGGACAGAGAATCAAAACAAATATCCAATTGTTCCTATGGAAGGATACAGAAAAAGTTAGTGTGGGAAACAGACCACCAGCAATGCAGGTGTTCACATATAGATCACTTACCCCAGCAATTGAAATTTCACACACATCTGAAGTTGTAGTCGACGAACAAGGCTTAGTAGGAGCCTCGCTGGGAGTTGCACTTGGTTTCAAGCTGGGCTTGGATTCATGCTTGGAAACTGGCTGATTGATGGGATCAATGATGGCGTTGCACTTGGAAGGGTACTTGGTTGCAAACTGACGGAAGGTTGCAAACTGAGGGAAGGATTCATACTTGGCTGGGAGCTGGGTGTTGTACTGGGTGAGTTGTCATTATAGACCAGATTGATAAACACATCTCCTGGCATGGGGCAGGCAAGGGGGGGGACGGGTTCAACATTTGCAGAGGCATCCATTATGAAACTGACAAACCCAGTTCCTACCCAAGTGTTGAATGTGGCCTGTGCCACAACAAAATCTTCCTGAACATAGATTTCACTACAAATTCGACCCCCACCCCTGTTTCCACCCAAGAATCCTCCATCTTGGTCAAATACTTCATAAAATTGGCGGGGTCTTCTCAAATCACCCCTGACAAAAGTTTGAACAGTCACATCACTGGTGGCAGGGGACAGAGAATCAAAACAAATATCCAATGCTTCCTATGGGATGATGCAGAGAGTGTTAGCGTTGGAATCAGTTCACCAACAATGCAGGTGTTCACATGTAGATCACTTACCCCAGCAATTGAAATTTCACACACATCTGAAGTTGTAGTAGATGAACAAGGCTTGGTAGGAGCCTGGCTGGGTGCCAAACTTGGCACCAAGCTTAGGGACGGTGCTGAGCTTGTAGATGGTGCTGAGCTGGGTTGCAAACTGACTGACGGATTGACACTTAAACTTGGTGACATACTGGGTGTTGAGTCAGCATAGACCAGATTGATGTACACTTCCCCTGGACTGGGGCAGTAAAAGAGGGGGATGGGTCCGGTGTCGTCAGAGGCATCCATTATGAAACTGACATAGCCAGTTGCTACCCAAGTGTTGAATGTGGCCTGTGCAACAACAATATCAGTCTGATGATAGGCTTCATCACATTCACCCCCACCATTGTTCCTAACCAAGGTGTTTCCATCTTGGTCAATTAAATCATAGTACTGATCAGTGGAGCTCACATCGCCCCTGACAAAAGTTTGAACAGTCACATCACCAGTGGCAGGTGACAGAGAATCAAAACAAATATCCAATTGTTCCTATGGAAGGATACAGAGAGAGTTAGCATTGGAATCAGTCCACCAACAGTGCACATGTTCACATGCATGTAGCTCACTTACCCCAGATATTGTAATTGAAACCTCACTTGAAGTTGTAGTCGATGAACAAGGCTTGGTAGGAGCCTGGCTGAGGGTAACACTTGGTGCCAAGCTTATGCTTGGTGGTAAACTTGGACTTGTACTTGGTACTTGGCTTGGTGCTGAGCTTATGCTTGGTGCTGAGCTTGTAGATGGTCTCGAACTTGGTTGCAAACTGGTTGAAGGATTGACACTTAAACTTGGTGACATACTGGGTGTTGAGGCATCATTATAGACCAGATTGATGAACACATCCCCCGTAAAGAGGCAGATAGCAGGGTCGATTGGTTCCACAAGTCCAGAGGCATCCATTATGAAGCTGACAAAGCCAGTTGCTACCCAAGAGTTGAATATGGCCTGTGGCACAACAAAATCAGTCTGATCATAGGCTTCATCACAATAACCCCCACCCCTATTTCTACCCAATGAGAATCCATCTTGGTTAATTACATCATAGAACTGGAGGGGGAATGGCAAAAATCCCCGGACAAAAGTTTGAACAATCACATCACCTGTGGCAGGTGGCAGAGAATCAAAACAAATGTCCAATTCTTCCTATGGAAGGACGCAGAGAGAGTTAGTTTTGGGAATCAGTGAACCAATAAGCATGTGTTCACATGTAGCTCACTTACCCCAGCTTCTGTAAGGATGCACACATTTGAAAGTGTAGTTGATGAACAAAGCTTAGTAGGAGCCTGGCTGGGGCTCAAACTTAAGCTTGGTAGAGCAGAAGGTGCACTGCTGGGGTTGCTACTAGGACCAGCACTGGGCATGAGCGATGGCAATGCACTTGGCATGCTGCTTGGGGATAAGCTTGGTAGAGCAGAAGGTGCACTGCTGGGGTTGCTGCTAGGACCAGCACTGGGCTGGAGTGATGGTAGAGAAGAAGGCGCACTGCTGGGGTTGCTACTAGGACCATCACTGGGCTGGAGTGATGGTAGAGCAGAAGGCGCACTGCTGGGGTTGCTACTAGGACCATCACTGGGCTGGAGTGATGGTAGAGCAGAAGGTGCACTGCTGGGGTTGCTGCTAGGACCATCACTGGGCTGGAGTGATGGTAATGCACTTGGCATGCTGCTTAGAGATGGAAGAGAGCTTGGCAGGGCAGATGGAAGAGAGCTTGGCAAAGCAGAAGGTGCACTGCTGGGTTTGCTGCTAGGACATCACTGGGCTGGACTGATGGCAATGCACTTTGCATGCTGCTTGGGGATAAGCTTGGTAGAGCAGAAGGTGCACTGCTGGGGTTGCTGCTAGGACCAGTACTGGGCATGAGTGATGGCAATGCACTTGGCATGCTGCTTGGGGATAAGCTTGGCAAAGCAGAAGGGGCACTGCTGGGTGCCCTACTAGGAGCAGCACTGGGCTGGAGTGATGGTAATGCACTTCCACTGATGCTTGGGGGCAAGCTTGGCTGGCCTGAAGGGATGGCTGAAGGGATAGCTGAAGGGACAGCTGAAGGTGTGTTGCTGGGTGTCCTACTTGGAGCATCACTTGGCTGGGCTGATGGCATTGCACTTGGCATGCTGCTTGGGGATGAGCTTGGTAGATCAGAAGGGAGGCTGCTGGGGGGAGTGCTGGGGGAATTGCTGGGTTGCACACTGAGTGATGGAACATAGCTAGGCAGGATAGAAGGCTTGCTACTGGGCTGAGCACTGGTTGATGGAGCAGCAGTACTAGTTGGCAACATGCTGACTGATGGGGAAATGCTGGGCCGAGCACTGGTTGATGGAGCAGAGCTAATACTTGGCAAATTGCTGACTGATGGGGAACTGCTCGGGGATGTGCTCGGGGAGATTGTTGGCTGGTTGGATCCATTCAATGGGGAAGTGATGCCATATCCAATACCAAAGCCACCACCAACGCCTCCACCTAAAGTAAACTCCAGGGAATAGAGTCCATTGAGATTTGACACCAAAGCACTTCCAATACCAGCTCCAACTACTGTATCAATGTCGGTCACAACTGATCCTCCCACAATATCCTGTGTGGTTCCAGTAAAGGCAAATCCAAGCAACCCGGAGACTTCAGCTCCTGCACCCAGTTCAGCTCCAAAGGTTCCTCGGATGAATCCTGTTGGTTTTGTATTGTCTCCAAGGGCTGAGAAAACAGACATGGCAAGGTCTAGAAGTACACTCAGTTCAATATGAAGTCCCATGTAGACAACTGTTCCACCAGTGCTGGGTGCTTTGGGAATACAGTCATTGGCAGCTTCTTGCAATGAAGCGAGTTGAGGTGGTGGTTGGGCATTGAATGCATCCAGAAAGCGAAGACATGTTGCACTCTGCTGGAACTCTTCAGGGTTCTGAGCATCAAGGGCTGCATCAACAAGGTCACTCTCATCAATATTGGCACGAGTGAAAATGGATTCTTTCCAGACATCAAGATCCAATCGAAAGCTGCTCACAACCTGCTCTAGACATGCCCTGTCAGGGAAGCACCTCTTTCTAAGGACAGAAAAGTCATTGGAGCAAGTAAGCCCTTCTTCACAAGTCCTCAAACGTCCACATCGCTGGCCAACACCAGGTTGCTCGGAATCAAAAGGGCCCTCATTTTGGTCCTCCAAAGTATTGTTACCACTGTCACTGGAAATGTTGGTAGCTTGGGCAGCAACTTCATCTACTTCCTCCCGGCTGATGACATGGTACTGGGCTGAGACCACATTATGGGCCAGGAGGCAAAGAAGGACAAGAATATGACATTTCCAACACATGGTGAGTAGCTTGATATTTTCAAAAACAGGTGCTGTTCTGAAATTCTGTTTGGAGCTGTTGATAATTTATGTGTTGTTGCCAATTCTACGTGTAAAGCACTTTTCAAGATCGGTGGCAGGAAAACCGGTGGCTCTATCGCTCTGGAGGTTCTCATTAGTACCCTTTTCTCTAGTTGGGATTTTCCGCTTAGAAAAGTAGCGAATTATGCGATTCTGTACCTAGACGCCAGGTGCTGCAGGCTCGATTCGCATATGTGCACACGATTCAAACTGAGTAAGTAATCTTTGCTCCAATCGCCCATGACCGTTGGCAGCATCCTTTCGATTCAGTTCGATTCTTTGGCCACGGGACGGGTCGGGATGAGCGATGAGCGGCAAATGCACCTACCGGTACGTACCGTACAGTTTTCAGTCTGCCCCCGCCATCGCCACTTATGGAGCTTACATGTAGAAGCAAACGCATGCCAAGTCCTGCTAACTGTTAATGACATCGATTCAAATTCTTTGGGCACCGACCCGAGACTACTGGAAAATGATTTATTGCATAGTTTTAAGTTTTTTCAAGCATAAGTAAATAGGTTGATTCCATTCATAGCCTCAACCCTAGTCGACGTCGTGGGGCTGGCCTCTTTGAAGCTCAGCTTTCGCTTTGTGGATATCTTTATCGTAATCTTTACCATTTACTCATCAACGAGATCAAGATGATGATACCTCCTTGCGGGTAGGCTCCTCTTGATAGGATACGCTGTAGGCTGGAATCAGCACAGCGAGCTTCCGTTCGACGGATCGATTCGATGACTGCTTCCAAGGGGCGACCATGACGTTCACGGAGCGATTGATTTGTCGGCAAGCAGCGACCATCTACCAGTATCGGCTACCGGTACTGGTACTATCTACCAGATGGATTGACTTTCGGATACTGCTTTCTGATCGATGACTTTTCTTTCACGGAGCGACCATGACACTTCTGCTAGTCCAGTGCTACTACCGAGGAGTGCGACAAGCTGCTGATACTACTTTGGCTGTCGATTATTACAACTATGTATACAAACATGAAATCTGCTCAATTTTTGGACCAACAAACCCCCATTCAAGCTTTTTGATTTGGGTGCCCCAAAGTCACCAACTCTTCACTCGAGTTTTCCCGGATTATCGCCGGTGGTAGAGGACGGTTGAACGCGGTACTGTATGCATACACGACAGCGGCCGAATTATTACCAAAATTGGTCAACGGTGATGCAGGAAATAGGAAGCTGATTTGGGTGCATGCCCCAATCTTCCTGCAAAGTTACCCTGTCATCTACCAGGCTCTGCCAGGGCAGAAGGAATGCTGAGAGTGACAGTTGCAGCACTTTTTCCATACAGAAATCCGTGGCAGAATAACAAGTAGCCAGCGTCTTGGTGGTGAAGGGGGCAACAGTGTGGAAACGATCAAAACGTTTGTTCGAGCCAAAGTCAACGAATGAATGAGGAAACACGGCAACACGAAAAAGGACTCATTTTTGACAACCAATTTGGCTGCTGTCGCCTCTCTACGGACTGTTTCCTGCAATTAACAGTGGCTTGAGCTGAGCACCTCTACTCTATTCTACCATAAAACAACAACATACGTGTCTACTATACCGGTACCGTACTCTTGTACGTGCGTAAGGGTGGTGTCAGGAGTGAGTTTATCATTATACGGACGGACTTACTTTTTCGGAGAAGACTCATATGTGTTTTGTTTTTGGCCAAAAGGAACTGGAAGTGGTCTATAAAAGCAAAGTGAATCCAAAGAGCAAGCGAATCCAATCAATCGGCCAAAATAGCTAGCAAATAAAGAAACAGGATGGAATGTTACCCTCATGGCAACAGCGTTGACCAAAGGCATCGTCTCTATGATAGCTGAACCAATAGCCAATCAATCCTTTTCTAGAACTAGCTCCCCATCAAACACTCGCCACCTTCTGACAGTTGCTCAAGCGAATTACCTCGGCAGTCTTGCTGCCAGAGCCCTCAACCCCTTTAATTGTTTTTCCTGCTACGGTGGTCCCTGCAGGTATAAGGGTAGGGTTAGAATACAAATAAGTCGGCAAAAACTAAGTAAGTTTCCTAGCTAGGATGGTGCAAACCAGCTAAAGCAATTTACATCCATCCTAGTAGGGGGATCTGCTTCTACCAGGAAAAACTCTAAAGCCAGCGAAAGCTATATAACTAGTATTCTAGCTAGCTAGGGGTGTCTGCTTCTAGCTTGCTATGGGAATCTGCTTCTAGCTAGGGGGGATTTGCTTCTAGCTAGCTAAGCACAAGTTAAGCACTAGCTAAGCACTAGAGGTGTCTGCTTCTAGTTAGCTAGCTATAGGGGTATCTGCTTCTGCACTGAAACCTTTCTGCCGAGGTTACACAGCTCCGCTGGCTTATCAATGACTCGACCATGTAAATCCGTTGAAAATGTGAGTGCAAACGATTATTTAAACTGAGCCCCTGACGGAGAACGGAGAACTTTGTCCTTTAATTAAATGCGAAACCGGAGCTGAGAAGGGAGAAGACTTGGATTGGCACATGGCACGGAAAGATCCATTAATTAAGTTTAAAAGTGTGAAAGGGTACCGTACAGTACTAGTACTGATCAAGGATTAATACAAAGGATTTAACAACTTCAACTCTCCATGCACTTTTTCGCAGATCCAGACTGCCAGCCTTCCACCAACCACCAAACAGACAAGCTACGACTTTCTTTGAAATCAACATCGACCATGAGAATAAGAAATACGAAAGGAAGGGAATGGGTAATCCTTCGTTCGTTTTCGAACGAACGAACGAACGAACGAACGAACGAACGAACGAACGAACGAACGAACGAACGAACGAACGAACGAACGAACGATCGATCCTCCGGTCTTTTTTGTTGTGCTTTTCACGATGACCGTTGAATCAATCGGTGTTGCCCTTTGCGCTGCCGATCCTCTCGGTGTGCCCTTTGCCGCCGATTTCCTCCTCCGTGAGTGTAAACTGGCTCTCTCCGTGTGGCACTGTTGCCGCGGAATGATCGGCTCGAGCACCTTTAGTCGCCTAAATGGAGCGACGTTTCGTCGTCGCCACCGCCTCGTTTACTCTCTTCCACCGTCAGGCCACATCTACAGCTCAAACCACTTTCCCGTTTACATAGCAGGAATCACGACACATTAGTCGCTCCTCGACGACTACAGCGACACCGTTCTTGCCAACCACAACAAACAAGCCATCCTTGTTTGCCGACTGCGTCAAAGAAACGGCCATGACGACATGCAATGCCATTTCCTAAAGGACCCGTTTTCAAGGGAAATTGCCATGAGGGAATGCCCACAGACGTCACACCACCAAACCAACAACTATCTCGTCCACGGAACTCAGTTTTGATTCTTTCAACAGCAACTTACAGGTATTTGTGGCCTTCGATTACAACGACGAAGGACGCCTACAATTTAAACCACGTTGCTGCAACGACACCCCGCGGACAACAAGCAAGAACGACAACAACAATTTCGCCCGCATCCAACACTGCTACTCTCCACGCTTCGACTCGACTCGACTCTGCATTTCAGAATTGCCTGCTCAAATTGCCCTCGACAGAAACAACCAAGGTCTCTCCCAGCTCCATCAGCCAGTGAGCTGTCTATATCTCTTCTCCATTACTATGTATTGGACCCAGCTCTGGCTCCAGAGCTTGAAACCCTTGCAATGGCCTTGTAATTTGCCACGGCTCACGTCGCATACGACACTATTCATATTCACTCCAACAAATCGAATTGATCGGCCGACACGAGGAACGCACGCATGAGTGGTAGGGACAAAGCCACGACCATGCAATCAGGGGCGGCTAGCTAGCAAGAGGACTATAGCAACAATATTGTAGAACTCAATTCGAGTGGCACTCGAGGAGATTCAGCAGCGAAGAGGATTTTTCTTGCAGTTTGTGAGGAGATCATGCGAAGCATCCCCCGCAGGGGTGAGCGAAACAAGCAAGCCTATTGATCGGCGAGTCCGTCCACAACAAGGTAACAGTTGGTTGGTGGCTTGAGCCGAGTGCATGGCTGGAAGCCCTGGAAAATCTTTCGAAAGAAGACTACGTTCGGAGGAAGACCTAACGTAGGGAGCAATAAAGCTTGTACGTACGGGTTCGTGGCATCTGCAGAGAAACAAGAAAAGTCAGGCATCGGCAGTGCTGTTAAAAGTCACAGCAGCAACGTACTGGTTGGAAGCAATGGTTCCAAAGAACGAAGCCGCCTATCCATAAGAGCAGGAGTTGTTCGGACGAGCTCATATAGGTATCAGGCAAAGAACTGCTGATGGAGTATTGGTACTATGAAAGAGACCTCAAGAAGCCAGTGAACCTATGAAGCAATCAAGCTTGGGCATACGGTACCGAACGAGAATGGCATCCACTGCAAGAGAATGGCTGTATGTTTCACGAAGACAAAATGGCATCAAGAAACGAACGGAGCCATGCATCAAGGTTGTACGACGAAGGCAAAGTTTGTCTTGACAGCTCTTTGACCCAGTTTGCAAAGCAATGATTCCATTTGCACTTGTTACCCGCTACTACTGGTAGTGGCAAACATCCAAAGTTGGACTCCTTCATTGTGGTTACCAGATCAATGCACACATCATTCTGGCCAACACAGGAGGATAGACAGGCACTCAGCCACCTCCTCAGAGGCATCCATTATGAAGATGACAATGCCAGTTGCTACCCAAGCATTGAATGTGGCCTGTGCCACAGTAAAATCCTCCTGATCATAAGTGTACCACATTGAACACTCCCACCATTGTTTTGACCCAATGTGCTTCCATTTTGGTCAATTGTTTCATCGAGCATTAGTAGGACCAAAGCTCGGACCTGAGCTGAGGCTTGGAGCACTGCTGCGGGTTGGGGTCGCCGTTGGAGACTCACTTGGATTTCTACTGGGCTTACTACTTCGTGAAGGTCTGCTGCTTGGTGAAACAGATGGTGTACCACTTGGTTTGATGCTGACTGAAGGGGTCATGCTGGGTTGTGCACTGAGAGATGGATTCATACTTGGCATTGCAGAAGGGATGCTGCTGGGTTGTGCACTAAGAGATGGATTCATACTTGGCATGCCAGAAGGCAAGCTGCTGGGTGTGAGACTTGGACTTGCACTTGGTAGGCTACTTGGAACCTGGCTTGAGCTTGGATTCTGGCTGGCACTTGGTGGTGAACTTGGATTTGCACTTGCACTTGGAGACTCACTTGGATTTCTACTGGGCTTACTACTTTGTGAAGGTCTGCTGCTTGGTGAAACAGATGGTGTACCACTTGGTTTGATGCTGACTGAAGGGGTCATGCTGGGTTGTGCGCTGAGAGATGGATTGACGCTGACGGAAGGATTCATACTTGGCATAGCAGAAGGCAAGCTGCTAGGCATGCGACTGGGGACTTCACTAGGTTGCAAACTGAGAGATGGATTGCCACTTGGCAGGGCAGAAGGCAAGCTGCTAGGCATGCCACTGGGAACTTCACTAGGTTGCAAACTGAGAGATGGATTCATACTTGGCATAGCAGAAGGCAGGCTGCTAGGCATGCCACTGGGAACTTCACTAGGTTGCAAACTGAGAGATGGACCAGAGCTTGGTAGGGCAGAAGGCTCCCTGCTGGGTGTGAGACTTGGTAGGGCACTGGGCTGAGCACTGAGTGATGGAACTGTGCTTGGAATATTACTTGGCACCATGCTGACTGATGGCAATGCGCTTGGGCTTCTGCTTGGGGATGAGCTTGGCAGGGCAGAAGGCTCCCTGCTGGGTGCGCTGCTTGGAACAACACTAGGTTGCAGACTGATAGATGGAAGAGAGCTTGGCATGCTGCTTGGGGATGAGCTTGGTAGAGCAGAAGGTGCACTGCTGGGTGGCCTGCTGGGAGCAAGACTGGGCTGGAGTGATGGTAATGCACTTCCACTGCTGCTTGGGGTCAAGCTTGGCTGGCCTGAAGGGATGGTGCTGGGAAGGCTGCTGGGGGCAGTGCTGGGGGCAGTGCTGGGGGCAGTGCTGGGGGAAATGCTGGGCTGAGCACTTGTTGATGGAGCAGAGCTGCTAGTTGGCAACATGCTGACTGATGGGGAAATGCTGGGCCGAGCACTGGTTGATGGAGCAGAGCTACTAGTTGGCACCATGCTGACTGATGGGGAAATGCTTGGGGAGGCACTGGTTGATGGAGCAGAGCTACTAGTTGGTAACATGCTGACTGATGGGGAAATGCTTGGGGAGGTGGTTGGCTCATTGGATTCATTCAATTGGGCAGTAATGCCATATCCAACCCCAAAGCCAGCACCAAGGCCTACACCTATGGTAAACTCCAGGGAATATAGTCCATTGAGATTTGACACCAAAGCAGTTCCAATACCAACTCCAACTGCAGCATCAAGGTCGGTCACAATTGAGCCTCCCAAAATATCCTGTGTGGTTCCAGTAAAGGCAAATCCAATCAACATTGAGACTTCAGCTCCTGCACCCAGTTCAGCTCCAAAGGTTCCTCGAATGAAGTCATTTGGTGTAGGAGCATCTCCAAGGGCCCAGAAAATAGACATGGCAAGGTCTACAAGCGCACTCACTTCAATGTGAAGTCCCATGTACACAACAGTGCCTTCAGTGCTGGGTGCTTTGGGAATACAGTCATCAGCAGCTTCTTGCAATGAGGTGAGTTGAGGTGGTGGTTGGGCATTGAAGGTGTCTAGAAAGCGGAGATATGTTGCACTCTGCTGGAACTCTGTAGGATTCTGAGCATCACGGGCTGCATCAACAAGTTCACTCTCATCAATATTGGCACCAGTGAGAATTGATTCTTTCCAGACCTCAAGATCCAAACGAAAGCTGCTCACAACCTGCTCTAGACATGCCCTGTCAGGGAAGCACCTCTTTTGAAGGATAGAAAAGTCATTGGAGCAAGTAAGGCCTTCTCCACAAGTATTCCTACGTCCACACCGGTGGCCAATGCCACCCAACTCGGAATCAAAAGGGCCCTTACTTTGGTCCAAGGGATCCTCCCCATTCCCAGAAAGTTTGGTAGCTTCGGCAGCAAATGCATCTACTTCCTCCTGGCTGATGACATGGTACTGGGCTGAAACAACATGATTGTCAAGGAGGCAAAGAAGCACAAGAACATGGGATTTCCGCAACATGGTAGCTGGCTTTTGCCCTGTTGCCAGGGGGGAAAGAGTTTAAAAAAGAAAAGGATGCTTGATTATTGTTTTTTGTGCTGCAAAAAAGGTGCATGGACGAGTTACAGAAAAAGAAAAGAGAATATAGTTTTCGGAACTTGTGTCATTCTCTCGGTGCCAGCACCCAATTCGTGATCAGCGAAGAGTGACTGACTAAGTAATTTCTAGAACTCTATCTCGAATCGATCGCCATGGCGCTTTTGATTTATTCTTTTAGGCCACAGGATGAGTTGCGGCTTTGAAACGTTCTAATAGCCAGCAACTCACCTGTGAGGTACTGCTCGCTGGCAAGTGGTTACCTACGGCAGTGGCGGCTGGCCGCGCACCGCGTCAGTCGCAAAGATCGCCTGGTTGAGAAGGCTGACAAGGTGTACATGCAGTGTTTGGCAACACGGTGAGTGGGTTCCCTTTTTCGCACGACCACAGCAACAGGAAGACATCCTGACAGCTCCGAATGATCATGTCATTGTCTCAATTGATTCAACGGGGAAACTCTAGAGCTGGCTATAGTTTTTGAGCTTCATGGTCGAAGGGGTCGCAAATCCCTGCAGTGCCTCCAACAGATTTTTTGTTGTGATGCTCTACCAGTACCTACAAGGAAGCTGCAAATGCAACGACAAAGAGTCCAATTCTGGTACTGTAGCCTCTCCCATCTCGTCTAATTCCGGAATAGATCGTTGACATCCGTCGAAGAATAACACAACGAACGTTCCAGAATGCTGCCCTGTCGCATTGCCGAGACGCCCGTTCCACCGTATGACACCAGAATGCAATCAACTCCTTCACACAAACTGGGCTTGATCGTGTGTCTTGAAAGTGAAGACCGCATCAATTACGCTGTAACGAGTCGATTCGAGTCGATTCCCCTTATTGACTGCGCGGCGAAGAGCTGTGCCCCGCTGCTGCCCCACCATCAAAACTTGTGTTGCATGTCTGACGCGGAAACGAACAAACAAACAAGGGTCCTTGTCGTTTGCTTGCTGACCACCGTCGCCTTGACGCCCTTTCATTCGATCCAAGGTGGCTGGACGACGTGTTGATTGATGCCCAGCCACTTTGCCAGGCAAGCAATCAATCATTCCAATGGTTTCAAAAAGTCTTGTATTTCCTTGCCAACTTCCACAACGGGAACCAACATGTCTTTGACTTGTTGCAAAGGGATTGTCGTAATGGCGGATTCGCAGTCATTGATCCCATAGGCCATGATGAGTTGTTCTTGTTCTGGCTCTTCCATGCTGCTGCGCCTGTGCAATAACTCCATCCCCGAAATGAATTGCACAATGTGAGCATTGGGGTCCCATCCGACATCCTGAGGAGCCCTGCCATGGCTGTCGACGGATGGCAAGACAAACTCGGCGGACAAGGCCGTCAATTGAAACTCGGCCGTACCGTTGTTGTTGTTGCTTGGTTTCCGCCGCTGAATGGTGTAGAAAAAGTGTGTATAGTGATGACCAAACCAAGCAAATATGCTGGGCTCTGTACTTCTGGGACGGTGAAAGTGTGCCACACCCAAGTACTGGGGTGGTTCGTTTTGGTTTTGGGTCGTAGTCGGCAACCGGACCATCAGGCCATTGGTTCCATGGGCTTGGGGGTCTTTGCGTTTCTTCTTCTTGTTGTTGAGTTCCAAGAGGCGTCGTCGTCGTTTTTGTTTGGGTAGGTGGACATCACCCACAGGGATCACTGTGACTGGATCTACCCAGGATACTGTAAACAAATGAGGCTTCTTGGCTTGTTGTTGTTGTTGTGGTTGTTGTTCGGGTGTACTAGTATAGGAAACGTCTGGTGAATCGTACAAGAGCGCTTGATTCCTTCCCTTTCCCAACGTGACAATCTCCGATGCCCTAATGGTGGTTCCAAAATAAAAAGTGCTGCCCAGAAAAAAATCGAAATGAATGGGACTGATATACTGATCCTCCCATGCCCAATCGTGACTGATAAAGCTAATATAGACGTGTCCTTGATAGACAAAGAGTCGTGGGTCATCGAGAATGGTAATGATTTCTTCTCGTGTGGGATCTTGCTGTTTGCGATTATTAAGTTTGTGGATTCGAAATCCTTTGCGTCCCCAGTCGCGATCGTCGACCAAGACGCGAAGAGTCGCTTGTGCAATCGTCGTCATGCGTTCGTCGAGTAACAAAATGAGGGAACGTTTATTGTTGTAGTCGGCTTTCCAACTCGTGGGGATTTTGTCATAGACACACTGCAAGAATACCTTGTTGACCACCGCCACGACATAGCTTGTTTCGGGATAATGGTACAAGATGGTGGCTGCCACGAGGGGTGCATCGTTCCAGAGACGGTGTATAGATAAGATACTGGGATTGGTGCCATCGGAATGTTGCTTCTGTTTGGGTTTGGGCCACCATTCCGTCTGGTCAATGCAGATTTTTATGGAGGGTTGTGTTGTTGTTGGTAACAGCAACATGTGGGGCCATTTTCCAAAGATATAGTCCGAGTCTTTCAAAAACGAAGGAGGGTTGTCCGTTCTTGTGGTGTTGTAATAGCGAGTGGGGGGGTATTTGCGTAGTTGACACGTGAAGTTGTTGTTGGATTTTAATGTTGATGGGTTTTGGGGTTGTTTCACAGTTTCCAGAAAGGCGTCCAAGGGTGTCTTGTTGTTGTTGTCTTGATCTCGATGGCTCACTTTCGTCTTCCAGTATTGTTGGTGAATATTATTACTGCTGCTGTGGATTCCTTCCTTTAGATTGCAGAAAATGTGCATCTCGTTGTAGTAGAGAATCAAGTACGTCGATAAGGCCACACAACCAAGTAGACAGACAGCAAAGAACCTGGAATTCTTGGTTTGTGCTCGTAGCCGATGTATCATGTTCCCTACTATCATTGTAACATGCCTATCATTCCTCATCGTCAAAATACATGTACCTGTAGGTGGATACCGCTGCGGGTATGCATTGGAGCATCTTGGTTTGACCGTTGGAGTTTGTGGTGGCTGTCAGCAGGGAGGCAAAATCTTTCGAAAGATCTTTGGATCTTTTGGATCTTTTGGATCTTTGGATCTTTGGATCTTTTGGATCTTTTGCTTTATCCAGTCCCATTGACGCTGGCGAGCCGGCCATTCACTTAACAAGAGATACGAACCTTCTTTGGAATTCTACGCTGTCAAAGGGTTCGGTTCGGTTCAAGCCGGCGGGGGGAAGAAAAGAACCTTTGTTCTGAAGCACACATAACTTTGCCTACCTGTACGGTACTAGCTGCCTTAGCTCCTTAAACCCTTCATTTCTTCACATTTTTATTATTGCAACAGTCGTCACAGCGTTGACACAGCCTCAATCAATCGCCTTCAAGCACAAAACAAACCATGACAATCACCTTGGCCGAACCTACAGCATGAAGGCACCGCCATGGTTGGACCTCCGTAATACCTGACCTGTCACACTTGTGGGCATTCACCCTGACTTGTCCGATGGTCAGAAGTTTGCCACGGCGTACCAGACGGAAACCAACAGAGTTTGCCACGGCTGCAGCAGAAGTTGCGCAAGGCAGAAGCGTTGCACCTCCAAATCTTCTCTGTTGTCCTCTGACTACATACTGTACAGTACTTTATTGATTGATGCGTATAGTGTACAGCCATCCCAAGCCACTGCTAACACAGGAGCTGAAAGTGAACTGGAAGGAGACTTGGTGAAAAATATTGATGACCCTGATGTCTCGGGAATTCAATCTCTTCTCTTCAGGACAGCAGTTTTTTTTTCAAACTTCTCTTGTTTTGAGATTTGCTTGGAGTCTACTGTATGTGGGATATGAACGTGGACTACATCGATCGCTTTTCATGACGAGGATCCGCCTCAGCTCCCCAAAGCTGGCGTGATGGGCCGTGCTGTGGTGGCAGCCTTGTCATACATCGTCTCATGATTCCGGGACAGCAAATGGAACGAAATGTTGAAACCCTTTGCCTCGATCCACAATGGCCACATTTTTTGGAGGAGCACGAAATGCACAATGGACTGCCATGTTGCATTCATGCTGAGTAGTACACTTTGCTCGAAGAAATTATCCTGCATGAGAACCTTTCTAACTAAGCAGTGGTGACGCGGATGGTCAGATCTCTCCCTTTCATTCTGCCCCGGCAATGTCGACATATCCCCGGATGCCACACCATCCTCTTGAGCGCTCGGTGCTGGGGTTTCAGCCTTGACTTCTTGGCAAGACCAATACAAGTCTCGCACTTCCCAGGAAAGCAAATTGAAGGAAATGCTGGAGCCCTATGCGTCCATCCACGATGGCCAAACTTTCTGACGAGTATCTAGCAAGAAAACAAGCGAGGCATGACAAAGCTACAAAAGACACCTACTGCACGTACGTTTTCGCCAAATTGTTTTGAAAGCAATGCTGCATGAGAACGGTACCTTCTTTATAAGCGCTCGTGATGCAGATGGGCAGATCTCTCCCTTTTGTTCAGGCGATGTCCACTTCTTTCTCCATACGATTTCCCGTCCACTCGAGCACTCTACAAGACTCTCATCCATGGCAAAGTGTGGCCAACGGACGGATATCCTCGGCACAGCTTTGTGTGGAGGTCATTGGTTGGTGCCACGATGCACTTCAGGCGTGGGTCCGTGAATTCATACATGCCTGGACGACAACTAGCTATGATGCATGGCCAGAACGGTGGGCGGAAAGACCAGAAAATCTTCCTTGGCTGTGGCACGCAACACACACTTCAGCATGCTGGACCCAGAAGCAGATCTGGTGGAGGCTCTTATGGAATTTCGATGTGTCTACTGTGGCTTGCGCCTTTGATAGGACTACGGTCCATGTTGCACCAAACGGCCTTCAGCTTGGTCCGAAGAGCTGCCGCCGTGACGCCATTTGTTTGCATGCATGGAGGAGAAGCAGGCCCAACGTCGAATCATAAAGTATTTGCTTTGAGGAGAAGCAGACCCAACGTCGAATCATGAAGTATTTCCTACGTGGCTTTTCCCCTGTCATCATTGACCCTCATTGTCTACACGCTACTCATTGCACGATGGCACCACATTTCCTTGGGACTCCCGTTGCCTGAGCGGAACACCAAGTGGCTGGTAATGTCTGGGAATAGGCGCTGCTTTCACCAGGAGTCCTTGAACTACTGCGAGAGATGCGAAATATTCATCGGACCCGGTATCACAAATATTCCCATTGATCATCGGGCGAGGGATGGCGGGGAGATGCCATGGACCCCACCCATTTTCAATGCTGTTGCGCAGCACATGTCACATGGCTACAAATTGATGACATTGAAGAAAGTGATGACGATGCCTTGGCGTTCTTTGCTCGCCTCAATGATTGGGATGACACCATGTGCAAAAACGTCCAGGGAGTTCCGAAGCACTTGCGTGAAGCTTGCCAATCCTGCAGTTTTCGTTTACTGGTTGCTAGCTAGCTGAAAGAGAACTCTTCATCAGATGAGGCAGCTTGGAATGCCGCTGGCGCTGATTTGCTGGAAGACAGTGCAATACCGGTACGTCAATTTGGCACTGGGAACATTTACTTCCAACCATCCTTCTTCGGAGGTGCGAGCTCACGCTCGCCATTACATATACAAGGTTCAAGCCTAGCTGCAAATGCCAAGAACACGGAATGGCTCCGATACGTGGTCCAACATCACGGCGAAATAACCCCGGAATGTTGAAGAAATCCCTTCGACGGTTTACATACCGGTACCGGTATGCTGTCGGATGGACCCATTATGACAAGGGTGATCAACTTCGAGTGGTATTTGACCGAGCACATTTCTTCATGGGGGCTGGGCAGATGGACATGGGCACGATACAGAGGCAAAGACAAGGCAGTGTTTAGATGTGTGAGTGTGTATCAACCATGTCAAAACAAAACAGGGGGAGCCACAGCGGTGTGGGCCCAACACAAACAATACTTCCAGTCTCAAAATGACGATCCTGATCCTCGCTCAGCATTCATCGAGGACCTCGACAAGGAACTAACAGAATGGATCAACATGGGAGATCAAATTTTCCTCGCTGGCGACGTCAACGAGTCCGTCTTTCACCATGCGAAATCATCTTTGACCGACACGATCCAACCAATGCTCCAACTACCTGCTTGCGAACTCAATCAAACTGAATAGTGGATGGAATGCGGGGTACTCCTAATATTCACATACAGCACGGTGGATATCTGGAACCATGCGAATTTCCAGGCCGTTCTCTTCTGTGGATAGACATCGCCTACAATGATGCACTAGGCCATGTCCCTCCTGATCCAACCAGCCCTAAAGCTCGTCGATTACAGCTTCATGACTCCAAAACCACCAAACAATACCTTGACCGTTATCTCAGAACAGAAATACCATCTGAGACAAGGGCAATTCAGACTCGAAGCTTCTATCCGCTTTGGACACCCTTGTGTTATCAACAACAACAACAAGAGGCTGAAGCCATCGATTCTCTCAAAATGCATGCTTTTAGCAGAGAAGAAGTGCCGCAAACTCAAAATGGGCACGATTGGCTTCTCTGAGGCCACCGAACATCCAAAGCTTCGTATTGCATTCTGGGAGACAGCAATTAGAAGAAGGAAAGGACTAACTGTCGGTGCTTCTCTATGGAACAGGAAAAAGAGAGCGGCCCAAATCAGTGAACTGGTCGATCACCTGTCTCTTGATACTTCGATCCTCCGTCTACAGGCAGCTCGCAAAGAATATAAGAAAGCCAAGAAAAACCACAAGGAACACAGGATCAAGTTTCTCGAGCAACTCAATCCCAAGGATCGCGCTCGTCTCAAACGGAAAGAGGCACAACGAGAGTTGGCACAAGCATCAAAGAGAATCACAGGGAAGTCAGCATCCAAGGGCGTGACCAAAGTGGAGCACAACAACCGAGAATGCACAACGCGAGAAGAAATAGAGAGCACGTTACTTCAAGTCAACAAAGACAAATATCATTCCTCCGAGATCACTCCATATCTCCAAAGCCCTCTCATTGATGAGTTCGGAACTAAGGGGGGCACAGTAGCGTCCTCAGCTGTTCTCAATGGCACATACCTTCCTCCCATCGGCACAGACCCAGACACATCCCTTCTGCTTCAACACCTTAGACGCCCAGATACGTCCAATCAACCACCTGAGTCCCTAGCCACTCCCAGAACATCTATTACTACGGACGATCATATCAAAGGATGGAGGAAAGCTAACGAGCGTACATGGACTGTCTAACCTCCACTTCCAACGCCGTCGCCTTGCCGAGGTGGATGCCTCAATGAGGTCAGTAGCCTACTCAACGGGATACTCCTACTCCAGATGGAAGCGTGGTCTGGATGTACAACTACTCAAAAGGGAAAACGACTTTCGGGCAACCAAACTACGGATAGTGGGACTGGTGGAAGCATATTTCAACATGAACAGCAAAGCCCTCGGCGCCCATGCCATGCACGCAGGAGAGCGAGCGAAAGTTCTAACACGCCGCAACTATGGTGGAAGGAAGAAACTTCGAGCAGTGGAGGTAAACATGAATCAGCTTCTCGCCTACAACAGCATTGGTGTCAGAAGAGGCAGGGCTGACATCATGTCTATTGATGGCAAAGGATGTTATGATCGCATTGCTCACGTGGTTCTTGATTTAGCTCTTCGCAGATTCCCAGCGATACAGTCCATGATTACAACCATTCGAGAGATGACCCCACCGTGCAAACAGCCTTCGGCGTATCATCCAACACATACCGGTACGGTGCCACCCTTGTTAATGGATCCCTTCCTCCACAATGCGTTCTCCAAGACAATGGAGCTGGTCCAGCTGGATGGTTTGCAATCAGCACGGCAATGATCAGTGCGATGAAGTCACTCAGCTGTGGATACTCCCAATGGTCCTTGATTGCTCAGCGTGCAATTGAAATAGTGTGTTTCGCTTTCGTTGATGACAGCGCATCGTTGCTCATGTAAAGGGTGGGTGGGGGGTCTTCTTTTGGCGTGTTTGCATGTTTCTAATAATGGTAGACCGTTTTCTTTGACTCACCGCCTGCTGGCTTGGCTGCTTGGCTGGAGATTTCAGCTAACAAAGGGTGTCGTACCACGAACACTGTGTGTAGGGCTGGCTACTATCTAGTCAGCTGTCAAAAAGTTCTTGTAAGCCGACTGCGGAGAGGCAAGGACAGCCGGGGCCGACCGAAAGGTGTCCCTCAGCTCCTGCTCTTTTAAATGCACGTACAGTGTACGGTGGCTACATGCGGCCGTGTTCAGACTCTGGCATTCGCGTGCCTTCCTTTTCGAAACGTAAGGATCTATCCTTGAGTCCTTGGAAGCTCTTATCGGCAAGGGAGCAGAGACTCGTGTCGGGCTAAAGCTGCTTTTTATGCCAGCTAATATTGCTACGGTAGTGGAGGAAGTCAGAAAAAAAGTCCCTCCTCGACTTCTATTGTTGCTCGCTGCTGGCCTCTGGAGCGTTCTTTGCAGCTGTATGATAGCCAGGAACGCTATAAAGAGTTGGCTAAAGGTGATGTTTGGAAGCAAAACACTTCCCGGAGTGACGAGTCGACGAATGCATCCATTCTATTCTGCACGACCGAATGGCTCATTGTTATTCGCACCTGGAACTTGTTCAGTCCTCTTCTTCGGGTGGCGGTACAAAAACGAGTGACTTGGGGAGTGAAAAGTTGTGAAATCCTTCGACACCGGAATGATAATTGTATCCACTGCTTTTGAATCCCACCCAGGGACATGCGACATCCATGCATTCCAGTGCGTAACAATTGATGCCAACTTGTCCGGCTTGTATTTGTGCCGCAATTCGTTGGGCTTTGGGTACATCTTGGGAGTATACGGCTCCCGACAATCCGTATTCGGTATCATTGGCCAGTCGAATGGCTTCCGTCTCGGTACCATCAAAGGGCATGAGTGCCACGACGGGTCCAAAGGTTTCTTGCGTGTAAATGTCCATGCCCTTGGTAATATCGGCCACGACAGTGACGGGATAAAACGATCCGGGCTTTTCTTCTGGAATGGGACTCTTGTAGAGTACCTTGGCACCCTTTTGGACGGCATCATCGACTTGTTTCGCCACAATATCTCGTTGCATCGTGGATACCAATGGTCCGACATTGACTCCTTCGTCCATGCCATTGCCGACTTTGAAATTGTCACGGGTATACTTGGTGACCAAGTCACAAAATGGGTCGTAGACCGACTGTGCCACATAAATGCGTTCCACGGAACAACAGACTTGTCCCGTATTGGACAGCGAGTAGGTGGCGGCATCCTTAGCAGCCTTGTTCAGATCGGCATCTTCGAGTACGACCATGGGATCTTTGCCTCCCAATTCGAGGACAAATCGTTTCATCGACGGGGCGGCACTGCCGAGAATGTTCTTTCCCGTGGCGGAGGATCCCGTCATGCAGACCATATCGACGGTGGGATGCGACACGAGGTAAGCTCCCACGGCACCATCGCCTTGGGCCAATTGGACCACTCCCGGTGGCAAGACGGATGCCAGGGCGGAGACCACCTTGGCACCCGTCTCGGGGGTAACTTCGGAGGGTTTGACAATGGCTGTATTGCATGGCAACCACAATAAAAGCAAAAAAACGAAGATGAATAGATCAATAGAAAGATGAAAAGAGGAAAGCAAAGAAAAGAATTTGAGAAACATACATGACAAATAATTGCTGCAGAATACTAGTAGAAGTGGTAAAGATTTCTGACCTGTATTTCCCGATCCCAATGCCGGCAACAATAGATACAGAATTTCATCGACGGGAAAATTCCATGGCGACAGAACAACGACCACTCCTACGGCTTGTCGTACGACCAGACAACTGTTGTGTTGTTTGGGCTGTAACGAGTCTTGAAGCAGTTGCAGAAATTCGTCCTTTTCGAGTGCCTCGTCGACTTCTTCCTGGGCTTCCGACAAGGGCTTGCCCATTTCTCGTGTCATCAAGGGAGGCAATTCTTCCTTGTGGAGTTTCGCCAATTCGGCCATTCCGTCCTTCAAGAGTTGAATGCGTTTGGCCACGTCCAACAATGCCCACGCGGGTTGTGCCGTCTGGGCCGTTTCGAGTAGAGCATCCAATTCGGCCGTGGATGAACAAGGCACCTTGGAAATCACTTCATCCGTGGCGGGATTCTTGTTGACAATCACATTGCTGCCATTGGCATTGTCTTTTTCAATCACCACTCCTTGACCCATCTTGCTTCTTCTCGTCTTGTTTTGGCTGGGTAGAAGTATCAGATGTAATAAGTGTGTGGGTGGTCGAATCTTTAGGCAATAAAAATAATAATAGTACAGCAATAAAAAGATACGATGCATTGGCGTGGCAAATAATTCGCATTTAGCCCCCCTTGACCCCCAACGGTACAGGACCGTCCGACGGTTTTTGCTCAGGTTTAAAAACTGCTCAAATCGTGGTTCTGGTTAAGGGAATGTTAAGGGAATGTTGAAGCTTTAAGGGAATGTTAAGGGAATGTTGAGGATTTAAGGGAATGTTTTAAGGGAATGTTTATTTAAGGGAATGTTCATTTTATTAAGGGAATGTTCTATGGGGTTTACATGAAGGCTTAGAGGAATGTTTCGAAGCGTTAAGGGAATGTTGTTAAGGGAATGTTGATTTAAGGGAATGTTAAGGGAATGTTAAGGATTTAAGGGAATGTTTTAAGGGAATGTTTAAGGGAATGTTTCAACTGCAAAATTTTGAGTTTTTTTAAAACCTGAGCGAAAACCGTCGGACGGTCCAGCTAACCCTCCAGTACCAGGTATTTTGTTATTGTACGTTCACGAATGATGAGCTGCAATCCCAGCTACCATAGCTATGGTGTAGTAGCTGGGATTGATGGCAAACAACTAATCCAATACTGCCATCTCCCCCTCTATTCTCTCAGACTACACTACCATTCCTCACAGATCCTACAGTACAACAAGTGCTTCCCCCACAGGCATCTTGCAGATGATATCTTTTAATTCATCTACCAGTGGGAGCTACACCTCCCCATCCTCCCTTGTTTGGCCATCTCCACCATCCCTGTCACCACTGTAAAACCCATCTCCTTGACCCCCCTGGAGGACCATTTCCTCCATTGCACCCACTACAGCAAGAACGGTTTTCAGTGATGACATTTGTGATATCCTCGGCTCTACCACCTTATCTCTCACTTTGCCTCTTGCTGAAGTCACCCCATCCAAAGATGGACTTACATGCGACACAGCAGCTCTCCTTGATTCCTAGCTAGGGGTTCCCCAGCAACACCCAGGAGATGTTGGCATTAGTACATTAGTACCCTTTTAGTAAAAACCCACATCCCTTCACCACCCTCCCTTACCACATGCCACATCCCTGGCAATCAATGTTACCATCACTAGCTAGCCCACTAGAAACATCTTGTGCCTGGTCTGCCCAAGACCCTTTTACAAGGAGTGAGGGGGGGCTAATAAGCTGGGCAGAGTAGGTCACTTACTTGTGGGTGGTGGGAAATGGAATGTGGAGATGGACAGGATGGAAGATAGGGGGGCCCGGCGCATGCGGAAGGCTCCGTACCTGTATGATGACGACACATTCATGACATGACCCAAAGATATTTTGATCTCCGAAAAAGATTCGAAGGCACGCAGAACAGATGGCAAACAGAACAAACATATCCAAAAGACACACCCGAAGGATGCTTTGGTGATGGCTGGTTGTCACTCCAGTGTTTTTGCCGAGTTACAGTTGCACTCCAGTTATATTATCTTACTAGCTACACTGTAGCTAGTTGCTCAATATGAACCAGTTCCTATCATTGTCGATGCTCTTCTTGGGGGTGGTGCTTGCATTGTTCACTGAAGGATGTCGAGCCTTTGCTCCTCGTCCTTCCATTGCCACCCTTTTAAACACTAATGCAAAGACGACCACCTCTTTGTTCTTGGCAGACATGCCACTGGAAGAAGGCGAGGAGGAACTTTTCTTCTTGCAGCATAATAAGGAAGATGATGATTTGGATGATTTGGACGATCAATGGATGGCATTTCAAGAGCAACGACAACAAGTGCCAAAACAAGTGCGTCTCGCAGATTTGGCTTTGGAAACAACAACAACAACAGAGACACAACAAGCTACGAATGACAACAACAACGGTGCAATGCAAGAAGTGGCCATGGCGGGAGCATTCTTTCTCGTTGCAATCACATGCCTGGTTGGAGTCTACTACAGTGGGACAGCACCCGTACTCGTCGCCACCACCAACCATATGGATATCATTCCGTACTAACTAAACTTACACGCTGAAACCGAGAAAAGCAAGAACAACAAGAAGGAGAGAGGCATTGCCCATGGTGTTGCGTTACGTACCCAAAGAAAAGCAACATCATGGATTGATGTTGGAATAGTTTTAAGATAGATTTTGATTGGTGGAAACCAGTTCCTCTTGCCGTATCGCCAATGACTTGACTATTGGTTCCATCTGTGGTAACTCTCTAGCTAGCTCTACTCTTTGATCTATCTGACTCGCTCATCAGTGCTGGGCTATCCAGTCACTCTTTGCTAAAATCGTATGATCTATCTATTTTACCTACGTACTGTATGAAACTTGGCCTTGAATTCATTAGAAAGTTTGGGTTTTTCTCGAGGCTGTCAGGATTTCGGGTCCCCTCTGGATTGCAAAGGCTGTAGTTGAAGGGTCACAAAGGTCCTGGCTGGCTGACTGCACTGAACGGATTGCCTTGGCTTGCCATAGGATCTTGTTGTTGGAAAAATGACGTTCCTTTGTACGTACATGTACTACTAGCTAGAGTTGGGTTGAGTTTATTGAAGTAGCGGCAGTTGCAAGGTTTGTATCATACTTCAAATTCAGTCAGCACTCTATGATAGCTATAGTTTCTTATGACATCTTTATTGGCACGATGGATGAACAAAGAGCAACCGAAGAGGAACTACGTTCCGGTCTGGTCCGAGATGCATGGCCGAGCCAACCGCTCAATTTCGTATGATTTTCGTTCGTCTGGGTGCTTCTTCTAGCTAGCTGTATAACGATCAGGATGGGGCTGCAGCTCGACCGGTACGGTAGAGAGGAACTGCTTGCTACATTTAGGCCGAACCAAGTCAAAGGAGAAAGAGTTGCCATGGGGATGCCCGTGCCGCACTGCAAAGTGGTGTGCACCGAGGACCGAGGCATGCACCGAGCCCACGTTATCGCGCAACCTTCCACCACGCGCGGCGTGGGCGTGACATCCAATTCATGACGAAAGATGAACCGTCATCAGAAATAGAACAGAATAGAACGCCATCGAGAATGGAAGCCTTTGAGAAGGGCAGATGCCAAGCCATGTCAACCATTGGGCAATGACAGAACAAAAGAAGAAGAATTGTCCCCACCAAGTGAAGCTTGCCATCATGGGGTTGGGTATTCATTCATAGAGTACTTTCCTATCGCATTATTATTGATGCATTGACAACAAGAACACCATGAAGCTGTCTTCCTTTGGTTGTGCTGGTCTGGCGGTGGTGGTAGTTTTGGCTACCTGTATCCCTGCTGCCCAATGCTTTGCTGCCCCGAGGCTGTTGGTTGTGGCTTCCTCTCTGCCATCGACGACAAGACTATTTGCGGACATTCCTCATGGTGATGGTTCTGATCAAGATGCCATGGACTTGGAGAAGGACGATTGGAAATCATTGCAAGAAGACCAGATGAGCATGGAACGAATCCAGCAGATGCTGTCGGATCTGGCGTTGCCGTCATTGCCGGACTCTCACCAGCAACACCTTCAAGTGCTTCTCTCCAACTTGGCACCCAAGGATTCGCTGTTTGACCCGTATTATCGACCAGACAAAGATCCTTCGGATGACCAGGTATTGGCTGTGGGAACATTCTTTCTTGTGGCTGTGGTGTGTTTGACGGCTACCTATGTAACCAGCGAACCGTCGTTCGCCGTCGGTGACGCCCTGTTGGACGGTCGCTTCAATGTTTACACGGGTGGATACTTGTTCTATTAGCTACCGGTGCCTAGATTCGAGACGGAATCAAGACGGTTGATACCCACGAAATAAATGAAGAAAGCAAAGGGGGGGAATGATCGCCACAAAAGATGACTCCACTCACGCCATCTGGAGAGTTTACCGACGATGCATTTACAGTAATAGAAGGTACCAGCCACGATCGAGGAGATCCATGGACTATTATCCGGGATGCGTGCTCTTTCAATCGGCTGTTTCGTGAGACATACAGTAGCAACAAAAGAATGTATTACTCGTTCATAGCCATATCCTACTACTAGATACCTGTTGGAAAGCATTCACGTGCAAGGTTTGGGACCTATCCGTTCAGCCGCTCATCTCGCTTGGCCTAGCCCTACCGGCAGCTAGCTAGCCACATGCCTTCTTTGTGAATGACGGAGCTATGATACCGAGAGGTCATGCCTTCATCTGATCTGCACGTAGTAAACCATTCAATCGCGCCCTCGTACTGAAGTTACAAAATATCCAATCGTTGATTCACGGTTTTAGATGTGGCCACTTGTGCGAGAGAGCCGATTGCCACCTTTAAAAATGCCAACCACCTCTACGGTACCCGTATCCAGGCAATTGATTGGAGGGCAGCCCGGGAGGAAAGAATGCTTTGTCGCAGTAGCAACAGTGGTAGCGCTGAAGTGGCTGCATCTCCAATGATCCTCGCAGGAACCTCTGATGTGCAGCTTACGCAAAGCTGGCTGCAGAGGCAGGTGAGGAATAATCCGATTGTGTCTTCCAATTTCTTCCGCAAGGGAGAGCCAATCAAGACTATTCTTCTTCTTGCTTGCTCTGCCTTTCATTAGACCTGTTGCGCGCGTTATCTGCTTCATTGCACTTATTTCGGAGTCATGATTGACACCGTCTATCTCTCTGCTGCTGCAAACGAAAGAAGACACCCAGCTAGCTGGCAAGTAGCTGACCGGCTTTCATGTAGCTTTCTTTTCCACTCACACGACTTTCGCATGCTTCCAAATGGGTTGTAGTAGAGGTGCTTCCCGACAGGGCATGTCTAGAGCAGGTTGTGAGCAGCTTTCGTTTGGATCTTGAGGTCTGGAAAGAATCCATTCTCACTGGTGCCAATCTTGATGAAAGTGACCTTGTTGATGCAGCCCATGATGCTCAGAATCCTACAGAGTTCCAGCAGAGTGCAACATGTCTCAGCTTTCTGGATGCCTTCGATGCCCAACCACCCCCACAACTGGCTTCATTGCAAGAAGCTGCTAACGACTGTATTCCCAAAGCCCCCAGCACTGAAGGTACTGTTGTATACATTGGGCTTCCACATTGAAGTGAGTGCACTTGTAGGCTTTGCCATGTCTGTTTTCTGGGCCCTTGGAGATGCTCCTACACCAAATGACTTTATCCGAGGAACCTTTGGAGCTGAAGCTGGCGCGGGAGCTGAATTCACAATGTTGATTGGATTTGCCTTCACTGGAACCACAGAGTATATTTTGGGAGGATCAGATGTGACTGACATTGATGCTGCAGTTGGAGCTGGGATTGGAAGTGCTTTGGTGTCATATCTCAATGGACTCTATTCCCTGGAGTTTACCATAGGTGCAGGCCTTGGTGGTGGCTTTGGTATTGGATATGGCATCACTGCCCAATTGAATGAATCCAATGAGCCAACCATCTCCCCCAGCATGCCCCCTTCAGTGCAACCAAGTTCAAGACCCAGCAGTGCCCCAAGCAAGACCCCCAACAGTTCTCCCAGTAGTGCCCCTAGCAGTGCACCCTCTGCTCTACCAAGCTTGTCCCCAAGCAGCATGCCAAGTGCATTACCATCACTCCAGCCCAGTGATGGTCCTAGTGGCAACCCCAGCAGTGCACCTTCTGCTCTACCAAGCTTATCCCCAAGCAGCATGCCAAGTGCATTACCATCACTCCAGCCCAGTGATGGTCCTAGCAGCAACCCCAGCAGTGCACCTTCTGCTCTACCATCACTCCAGCCCAGTGATGGTCCTAGTAGCAACCCCAGCAGTGCGCCTTCTGCTCTACCATCACTCCAGCCCAGTGATGGTCCTAGTAGCAACCCCAGCAGTGCGCCTTCTGCTCTACCATCACTCCAGCCCAGTGATGGTCCTAGTAGCAACCCCAGCAGTGCGCCTTCTGCTCTACCATCACTCCAGCCCAGTGATGGTCCTAGTAGCAACCCCAGCAGTGCACCTTCTGCTCTCCAAGCTTATCCCCAAGCAGCATGCCAAGTGCATTGCCATCAGTCCAGCCCAGTGATGGTCCTAGCAGCAAACCCAGCAGTGCACCTTCTGCTTTGCTAAGCTCTCTTCCATCTGCCCTGCCAAGCTCTCTTCCATCTCTAAGTAAGTCTCACACCTAGCAGCTTGCCTTCTGCAATGCCAAGTATGAATCCATCTCTTAGCGCTATACTCAGTGAAGAACCCAGTCTCACACCCAGCAAGGCCCCAAGTATTCTTCCATCTCTCAGTGCTATTCCCAGTGAAGAACCCAGTTTGGAACCCAGTTCTCCTCCCAGCTTGGTCCCAAGTATGAACCCTTCACAAAGTATTAAACCCAGTTGAACCCCAAGTGCTGAACCCAGCATGAACCCTTCAGTGAGTGTTAAACCCAGCCGTACTCCATCTGCTTCACCAAGCATGAACCCATCAGTCAGTGTACGGCCCAGCCTTTCTCCAAGTGTAAGTATGAACCCAAGCTTAAGCCAGAATCCAAGTGTCAGCATGGCTCCGTCCAAGACTTGAGTTACAAATACAGTGTCAGATGTGTGCCCACAAACACAAACTGGGGTAAGTAAGCTACAGATGGGGACACCTGCATTGTGGGCTACATGTGAACACCTCCCTGCATTGCTGGTGGTCTCATTCCAACACTAACTCTCTCTGTATCCTTCCATAGGAATCATTTCGAATTTGTTTTGCTTCTATTTCGCCTGCCGCTGGTTCTGTTACTGTTGAAACATATGTCCGGGGCGATGTGAATGATGCTAGTGAGTACTATGATCTAATTGACCAAGATGGAAACACCTTGGGCCGAAACAATGGTGGGACCCAGTGCACATCATCCTTTCACCAGGCAGATTTTACTGTGGACCAGACCACATTCAACACGTGGGTAGCAACTGGCACAGTCACTTTCACATTGGCTGGCTCTCCACAGGTGGACTTCTTCATCTGTAGTGTAGGCCTACTGGATGTGTTCATCAATCTGAACTATACCCCTATGTAACTCATCCCAAGTTTGAAGAGAGCTGCGCTGGCTGTTCCATGGTTGCCTTAGGAGAACAACTAACTGAAAAAGTCCCACAAGGCATGCATCTTCAAATGCAGCTGAGAGCAACCTATACCATTCCTTTTGATTTGTATTGAATCTGTTCAGCATGAAATTTAAAGTCAGAAAAAGCATCTTTATCACGTTTTCCCACGTTTCTCTCTTTTGTTTAGATTGTATTTCCTGTTTCCTGGTGGTCCTGTGTTCTTGTCACTAGGGTTAGCTTAAAAACAAATCTGCAATCTCTTCATAGGTTAGAGGCAGTTCCCTATAAGGAGGGAGCAAGAGCTGTACTCGTACCACAAGCAAATGCAGCCAGGTGTCACCGACATTTCGGCAACTGGCTGATCGAGGTTTGATGGCCTTGCAATGCATGGTGAGCCTGCGAGGATCGGAAGAGAAAGCATGGCCAGTCGCTCCTTTCCGCTCCTGAATGCGGGCTCTTTTCTAAAACGGTGCTGCTGCTGCTGCTGCTGCTGCTGCGAAGGAATTCAATCCTGCTGGCTGGAGGCTTGCGAGCCAATAAAAATGCTACGGTACCGCTGCTGTCGCCTTTGGTTACTATTAATAAAAACAACGCATCCCGTGAGGTCCAACAGGTAACTAAACCAAGAACCGATACTTTTCACTGATTGAGCTGTAACCTTTTTTGTTGCCAGAGGAGGTGGTGGTACCTAGGTAGGGAAGCTGCTGTGAGGTACATGTGACATACATGGGCGCTGGATGCAGAGCGGCCAAGAAAAAGAGAAGCTGCCTCCAGCCAGAACTCGGTAGCGTTCGGTAGCGTTGTCCAGCTGTTGGTTCCGAAACTCTTCGCTTCTACGGGGAAGCTTGACTTGCCCCGTTGAACCTTTAACCGTGGAACCTTCTTTTGCCACTGGTTGCACACTAGGGCAGTAGCTTGGAAAGAAAGCTTCTGCTGCGGTTTTGAGAAGACTGGAATTCATTGGTGCAAAAGATTTACGTACAGTCAGACTTTGGAGCACTTTCCACAGCATTGAAGTGAGTTTCTCCGGCGTGGCGAAGTGCTGTGACGGATTGAGAGCTTGATGAGGCTTCTCTTGGGAGAATTGCGAATGCGTGGAGCCAGTACCAGCTATGACATACGGGTACTAGCTAGTCTAGTAGCCAGCTACTGAGTACTCAAGTATCTAGCAAGCTACAGCGTAGCCATCACAGCGTAGTGCGGGTACTAGCTATTAATAGAAGCAGCTGGTAAGACTCGAGTGTCGAAGCAAGAGAATCGAATCGAATCACGCAAGGTGAGTCCTGCCAAAACTTTTAATTATATTTAATTAAATTATCAGAATTTGATTTCAAATTGTGCACCTCAAGAGTGTTGCCAAGTGTTGCCGGCAACGTTGCCAGTGTTGCCGGCAACACTGGCAACACTGGCAACACTTTTGTGGGACTCAATTTCAAACTGAATTTTGATTTCAAATTGAGTCCCTTGGCGATCGCCGGCGATCGCTGGCGATCGCTGGCGATAGCTGGGGATGTCCTTTTGAGTTCAATTTGAAATTAAAGTCTACTAATTTTTAATATTTTATTAATTTACAACTTGGATCTTTTGACATGTCTCAGCGTCTCAGCACCGACGCCGCCAGATAATAATTGGGACTGAGAGATGGCAACAGCTGGTGGCCCTTCTTCCACATCATGCGATAGCCTCGTTTGTGGAAGTAATACTAGTACAAGGAAGGCCAACACCAACTCCAGTGTTGATAATGAATGATTCAGGATCTATCATCAGTGACAATCTGATTGGCTTCGCCAACACAGGCGGCCATCACATCCATGAAGCAAACAACAAACCGAAATCGATGATGGGCTCACAATCCAGAACCCAGCAGCATCGCACCTTTCGATAGCTCCTCAAGAGTACTACTCGTGAGGATGAACAACAACACCATGAAAACCCAGCTATCTATTGCGAACCATGGAGATGCACTCCTGCTACCCAAGAACGAAGATGAAGCCGTGAATGGTAAGGATCACTCCGAGACAGAGAGTTGCTCGTCTGCCGCAGAAGACATGAGCGAATGTGATGGAGAGCACGGGAACGAAGCTGATGATGATGATTACAGTTTCTATTCGACCGATAGTGATGAGTCGTCTCTAGGAGAGGAGATCCGACGCGCTGAAGCTGCGGGAACGTTCTCCATGGAGCGAGTGACGCTGATGGAAGAACAGCGTCGCAGTCGCTCGCTGCCCAATGTGATGGCAATGATGGTTGGCCCGTCTGACAACACCAATGATGGCACTGTGACCAGCCCGGAACAACAGCAAGCGTTGACTGCCTTTATGGCCCGCATGAATTCCTCCGCTTCGTACTTTCAAGACCCTCGTGCACAGCCAAGACAGAATGCTAATACTAATCCAAGGCCATCCGGTACTGCGGTCCGTGCTAGCAAAAGTTCTGGCGCCCTTCAAGACTTGGTCAAGAATACCACAAGCAAGGACCGCATGAGCCCCCACGTTCGCCTCCAAGAAATCTTGAAACACAATCGCAAGCCCCAAGACGATGATGATGCCATGTGGGATTCCTACTTTTTGCCCATCGACGATGCACGCGTCAATGCCTACACTCCTCCCGTGGTGGCGGCCATGCGTGGACAAGATCTTGCCAAGCTACGTCAAACCGTAGAAGAACAAGGGCCAGCTTCGATGGAAGCTTGCAACCGGCAGGGAGAGACCTTGCTCCATCTGGCCTGCCGAAGACGCAACGCCGAGTTGGTCCGCTTCCTTGTGGAGGAGGTTGGAGTCAGTGTCAAGGTCCGCGATGACTGGAATAAGACGGCGCTTCACGAGTTGTGTTGGAACAGCATTCGCAACAACCCTGCTCAGTTCGAAGCCTTTCAGAGCTTCTTGGACCGAGCCCCCGAGCTTCTCTTTGCCAAAGATAGGAGGGGTTTCTTTTGCCTCCAGTACTGCCCCAAGGATTCTTGGGCGGACTGGTGTCGCTATCTGGAGCAAAACAAGGAGTCATTGCGATGCGCAGCTGAGGTTGCCACCGCCTCTACCACTCGAAAACGCAGCCGCGATCTTTAGAAGACTACGTACAGACAGAGCCGCATTCTTTGCGGCAACCACACACACAAAGTCACTCTATGACTTCCGCACAACTTTAGGGTCCAAAACTGAACCGCCTTCGTGCACAGAATGAATCATAAGCAACAAATAGCAACTACAACTAACAATAGATATACCGTATACCGAACTACACTAACCAGGTCTGTTTGTCGTTTTACTTCGTGGGGCGCCCAATCTTATCTTTTGCTTTGGTGTGGAATCCAAGGGGGCGGGGGGTACACGTGTACTGGATCTTCAGGCGTGCTACCAATAACTTTCTGAAAAGACGACGCAATAATGGGAAACTGCCTACTACTGGTGAGCAGACTTGACTGTGCGAAACATCTGGGCATCCGCTTGTGGCTTGTCGTTCTTCAGCACTTCTTGCCTGAATCGAATCAGTTAAAATAGATGTTCAGTTTTTGCAACCAGCCAGCACTTCTTGTCATGGCAACCGCACGAAGTCACTCTACAACTACTGTACGGCTTTAAAGTGTAGCACAAAATGTAACAAATAAATGCCAAGGGTTCCTATAGCTAGGCGTCGTACAGAACGCTCTCCAGGTCTTCGAATGTAATCTCACTTCTCGTTGGTTGGGGATACCTCGGAATATCTTGACTCTTCAAGAAAACCTTCCAGGGACCATTTTCTTCTCCGGATATAACTGATCCAGCCACAGCAAAGCATCCAGGGTGTACAACACCAGAGACATAGGTGTCATCGATTGTCAGGCCCTTTCCATCTACGTAGTGCCCATTCAAGCTGGCACTGTCCACAACAGTGTTTCCTTGGAAGTGCATTCGACTGAACTCATAGATAGCATAGCCAAAGTACCAAAGTTCCCCATCCACCTCTGCTCCCATCATCCTGGCATAGCAAGGAAACAAAGGCGTTCCATGCAGGAGAAGGTCCAGCCAGTTTCCCCCACGGAAGATCCAGGCATGGTTGATGTAGACTGCAAAGAAACCATGTTGCACATTCCTTGGCAGCCTCATCATTACCCATTCAACTGCCCTGGTAAAAAGAAGCCACAAAGAGAATTGAAGAACAACGGCGGCAGCCAAGCAACATCCAGCAACACCAGCTGATGAGCTCGTGAAAAAGGCATCGCAAAACTCGTAGGTAGGTATGATGGTTACAAAGAGGATAATGTTGAGCAACAGTTGCGACAGTTCTGGAAGTAAGATGTTCATGAAGATGGTAGGGTTCAGGTTTGGCTTTGTTTGGTTCAAATCGTATATGCTGTCAGTCACATTCGTCCTTGAGGGGACCGTAGACTGCAGAACCTTGACTCCAGCACGGAGGTTGGCGTGGTAGCCAATGCTGCTGTTGATGATCTCAATCTTGGAGTCAGATTTGTAATTGAGATCTAATGAGATGGTGGAAGCAAAGGAGTTCCTGATCTTAACAAAATCAACCTTGGAAGGGGGAAAGACCAAGTAGGGGATGTTGAGGTTGGATGCCATATCAACATCAAGGCCGTGAAGGAAGAGGATGATGTTCCAGAGTTTTGACTGGCCAAAAAATGGAGTCAGGGCCCAAGTGGCACATTGGAAGTGGAAGTCACATGCCCAATTGGTTGTTTTGTGCCAGAGCGAACCTTCATACTGATCAGATGGATCTCTTTTTCCTATCAAGACCCATTTCAGAGCAATGCTGGACACAATTGCCAGGAAGGATGAGCCTGGAAGCAGCAGCAGCCAATACAGAATGGTGACATATTGCCAGGGAGGCAAGACATGGACTAGGAAGGTATGGACCAAGTAAGAGAGTGCAAAAAAGTAGTATGCTTCCAGCATTGTCCATACAATCTTGAAGGCATCCAAAATGAAATCCTCCTTGCGTGTTGGTTCTGGCTGTTCATGGTGGCCAGCATGGTATGCTGGGACTCCTCTGGCAAGGACTCCATTGGGGACCATTGCACCTTCCGCAACAGCAGTCAATCTTTCCACCTTGCTTCCATCCCCAATTGTAGCACCTGGACTCAACATCCCAGATACATGGCAATTGGACCCCACAACAATGGGACGGAAAGTCAACTGTGGGCTCCCTTCAGGACGCTGGGAGAACTTTCTGCACTTTAGAGAGTGTCCAATGACTGCATTTTCTCCCACTTTGACGAGATCAAACTCCCTGATGTAGGCTTCAATCTTTGACGACCATGCCATGTCAACTCCAAGCAGCCAATAGAAGACCCAGATGAACTTGGTTTCCAAAACAAAGTTTCCCACCAGAGACTCCCAGATTTCCAACAGTCTGTCAACAAACCACCACCGGATGTATCTCCAGGACAGTAGCTCCATTTGCTGCGGTTGATAGGACCCAACCACAGAAAGCTTGCATAGCACCACTAGGAGGGAGAATGATAGAATGAATAGGGGGAATAGTAGAGGCAGAACCATCCAAAACATAGGGCCATTGCATGCTCCAGTTCCAGCTGAGTCACAATGTCCCATGACAAATGATCCCAGAAAGTACGACGGAACAAATGCAAGCAAGAGCAACGACAAGATCAGAATTGACCCAAGAATCTGCGCAACGCCAAGCTGTAGTTTGCTGCACATTGATCTTGATGGGTTCCAAATGAAATCAGGATGGTTGCAGACTTCTTGCGTGGGGAATCTCTGGCCCTTGGAAGCAGCTAGAAAGATTTCAAGTGCCTCTGGAGTTGGGTATAGTTGTTCAAAGTTGGGAGGTAGGGATACATGTAGCCCTTCCTCAATTTTCATTCTGAGTTCAGCACTCTTGAGAGATGTAAGACCATTCTCAGCCCATGTCTTTGGTGCATCAAGGTTTGTCCCCAAGACTGATAAAAGTACACATGAAAGATCCTGCTTACTCCCTTCCTTGCCAACAGACTGGTTACCAACCATGTTAGAACAGGGTTTCTCTGGATTCACATGCTTCTCCCCATGGCTAGACTTGCAGTTAACAACACTACTCGGTCCAGGGATACGGGTCTTGGTACTCTCAATCATGACAGCGTTTCCACGAAAATCACTACGAAGTACAATTGAAGTGCTCTTCCAATCACCAGATATGGTGGTTTGCCTTATCTCACTCCTCTTCAGCTTGCCAGAGGTAGTCTTGGGAGTGACACCAGCCTTGAGAACCACAACCTCTGAGACAGACAACCCATGCACCTGAGATACATGGTTGGCAAGTAGAACAGCAAAATCTCCATTTGATGACTTGCTCGTATCCTTTCTTGTCTCTGCAGTAATGCCAACACTGGCATCACCATGCTGAAACACCGTGGTCCTACCTGGACGGATTATGTCACCAAAAGTAGCATTGATGGAATGCTCAACATCTGTTGGATAGTAGTTCTTGCCATTGATGATGATTACATCTTTGACCCTTCCAGTCACATAGAGTTGCCCCCCAACAACCTTCCCCAAATCACCAGTGTCAAGCCAGGTACCATCGTAGCCAGGAACTGTGTTGGCAAAGGTAATTTTGCTCTGCTCAGGCTTTCCAAAGTATCCAGCTGCCACTCGAGGTGACTGGGCCCAGATAGAGCCAACCTGTCCTTCCTCAACCTCTTTTCCATCCTCAATGATTCGTAGCTTCAGGGTTGGGGAGTCCACTTCCCCACAACAAACAAGCCCTTCAGAATCTGGGTTGGCAGTTCCACCAGTGAGAAACAACACGGCCTCAGCCAGACCATAGAGGTTACAAACATTTTCTTGCTTGATAGAAAGGGTTTCTGCCACAGCCTTCACTACATGACTCTGGGTGGGCTCAGCTCCAAACATGGCAATCTCTATGCAACTCCAGTTAGCTTTTCGATTGGCTTGTTCCAACCTCTTGAGGAGCAAGGCGTAGGCAAAGTTAGGAGCACACACATGGGTTGCCTGGTAAGTCTCAACCATGTCTGACCACAGCAGAGGCTTGGCAATAAAATCCAAGGGAGATGTCATGATCACATGATGGCCCACATAAACACCTGCCATGAATCCTCCCACAAGACCCATATCTGAGTGCAGGAATGGAATTTGCCACTGTCAGAGAGATTCATGTGTTTTGCGGTCCAAAGCTTCCTTGAAACTTACCATGATATTGGGGGAGCCAAAGGGCTCCAACAGAAGAAGGCTTCAAGTTGTTGAAATTTTGAATAGCCCTGCAGTTTTCGGCTAGATTATGGTGACTAATCATAACTCCTTTGGGTTGGCCTGTACTGCCAGAGGTGTATTGGACAAAGCAAGCATCATCTAGCTCTCTCTTGTTCATCTCAAAAACGTTGGCCTTGTTCTTCTTGACCATTAGCTTGTCCGTCCCAATCCACTTGACTCCTGACTTGTAGAGAACACCAGCTGCTGCCATGCCAGTAGCAAAGGCTGTTGTGGTAAGGGCAAACTTGGCTCCAGCATCCTCAACAAACCCACGGAATTTGGGCATCTCCGTCTTGAGTTGGTTAGGGTTGGGAGGATAGGTGGAGCATGGTATGACCCCAATCTTCATGGCACCAAGCATACCAGCCAGAAACTCAAGGCCAAATGGATAAGCCACCATGACCCTGTCTCCTTTTTGGCATCCCAGCTTGATGAGGTGATGAGCCACAGCATTAGATTGAACTTCCAACTGGTGGAAGGTCAGCGTTTTCTGCTCCTTGCACTTGATATCCACCCACGTAAACAATTTCTTTTCTGGTGTCTCCTTGGCATGGTGCGAAAGAGCTTCCAAAATGGTTGAATAGGACTTCATCGTTCTAAGCCACGAATAAGACTTCACTCGAGTTGTTTCTTTTTCAGTATACTTGTGTGGGAACCGCCGACTTCGATTTTATGAGGAGATGGAACGATGGAACGAGAATGCAGCTGGAGTGTTACCTGCGGAGGACACAGGCGAGTTTTAGAGGGGTCCCACTTGTTAGACACAATGACTTTTACTTTTCTCTCAGGATGACCATTCGGGTTTCTACTAAGCCCTATTATTCATTTATCGAATCATTATTTAGAAATCTCTTATCTCCTCTTCTTGCTTGGTGCCCACGAGGCATAAATACGTGAGGAGCATTCAGCTTACATTAATGCCGCGAAGCCTTAATGAATTTGATAGTCAAGTTTGTACCAGTACCAACGTACCAGTCAAGACTCAAGCGGTGTCGCTCCATCTATGAGTATGCCATGGTTGATAATGATCAACTGGGGGTTGGTGGTTGATCCGATTTGCGGCCTGTGCTACTGGTTGATACTTGGTGCTTTTAAAGGGATGCCATGGTTGATACTTGGTCCTTTGCTCAAAAAGCTCGCCGAAAGGGATGGTTGATGACCATGCCAGAAGGAGCAAGGTCATAGAATCATTAGAGCAAGAAGTGGCAAGTGTCCGCAAACACGGCAGATGCCAGTTTGTATTGCCGCTTCCAAGGTTATAAGTTACTCCATCCAACCTGGGCCCTGCTTCATATAGGCACTGATCAGCTGGTGGATGGAGGTGGCATTGGGGTGTGTGCAACCGGTTCGTACCGGTTGATACTTGGTGCTTCAAAAAATCAATGACCAGCATTGGTTTGTGGTTTGTGCTTATCGTTTTGTACTTGGTGTCTACTGCTGTTGAGTTGGCTAAATTGTGCAATGGTGCCAGCAAGTATTGCCCATGATTCTCTACAGTGAAAACAGTAGGATTGACTGAATCGTTCCTTGAAGTTGGTGGCTTTTGAGGTTGGCTGAAAGCTCTCTCAAGTGCAGCATGATGGTTGAAAGAGTTTATGGATTGGTGGCTGGCGTTGTTGTGGATCGCAGTGCTCCGCGGTTTTAAAATTGGTTAGTTAGCTAGCTGGAAGCATCTAAGCTAGAGGACCTGCACTACTACAGGTAAAACCTAATCACAACCATGAGAAAAGTCCTACATTCGCTGAGGCCCTGTATTCCCTGTATTCAGTGGCGTTGAAAACCCCAGTTCTCTTTCGTCTTAGTTAGGGTTAAACGCTTTAGGTCCAGTACCCGTGGCTCTACGTTGGTAGCCTTTGCATTTCTGGGGCGAGGATGGTGAGCTGACACCCGCCGCCACAGGTGTCTAGCATCAAGCACCTGGCCATCATGAGGAACCCTGTCACTCAGAAACAGCCCAACATCCAGCGATTGATTGTTGCCTACAGCAGGCCACCCAACCTTGGAAATCTACTCTCAAACTAGATGACCAAACTGGGGCCCCAGCCTCCTCCTGCTACCAGCCCGAGCAGAGGCATTGGGGCCCCGGTTGGAGCCGGGAGCAACCCCAGGTTGCAACCTAAAACCTATTGAAATTCCAGTGCCTAGCTTTTTAGTCCCTAATGGTCAGGGACCCCCTGCTGCTTGCCACTGATGAAGCATCTTGCGAAACTCACTCTTTGATCCTTCCTGAGTTTGGATCTCAAGCAGCACTGCTTTCAGTAGAGACTAATTCTGTACAAGGATATTCAACATCTGTAGTTCGTTTTGCATCAACGCGACACCGTCAGTCTTACTGACTTGCACGACCATTGAGTCGTCCACCGCAAAGACAGCTCCAGTAGAGCCCTCCCCCAGACGAGTTGTAACCTGTTGGCCAAAAATGTTCGGCAGGGTGACAGGAATGTATCCAAAGTGACAATTCAACAACCTCTTGAGAGACTTGAGCGCATTGATTGAATTGATTTCGAACATTGGTGAAACACTGTATTCCAAGTCTCTCGTACACTGGACGACAACGTACCTCTTGCTGTCCATACCGATTCCCCAAAAGTACAGGCTGTGCCCTTGCACAGCAAGCAATGCGATATAAAATTTGAAGCACCATGTCTCGCCTCAAGGCATCCGAGGATCTTAGTTTTTAAAATTCGATCGGCACGTCTAGATATTCCATTGCGAGGGTTGCCCACTGAGTAGCTTAGTAGTACTAGGTCAATGTCATGGCACCGACCAGAAAAAACAATCCCCTGAGGCTTCCTATAATCTCGCCAGCTTCTATCGTCTCGACTGACCAGATCGCACATGATGGAATTAGACATGCTCTGGACATGTTCTTCTGAGGACATGTTGGTATTTTGAATTGTAGTAAGCAAGGTATTGAAGTCAGTACTAGTATCCATACCTTCTGTCCAGCTGGAGTACAAGTTTTCCACTTCGGCAACAGGCAATAGCTGCTTCGCAGCCCATAGTTTTTGCCGCAAGTGCGCGCCCCCACTTTGATGCTGGAGCTGTCGGATTTCCAGCCGCTGGGTTTTGACTTCGGAATCAAGCTCATCGAGTTTCCTTTTCATTTCCGTGACAAGCGGCGGCGATTCAGGCGCATCGTCGTCAGTAGTCCAAAAATGGATCACCTTTGACTTCAAATAATCGAGTTTCCAAAAGTCTTCGTCCGTGGTCAACAAAACGCGATTCTTCTGGAGCATCTCGTAACAGCACAGCGAAATGCAGTCAGTCTCACAATCCAAACTAAAGACGAACTTGATCTCCTTGTTCACAGCGTCATCCGTGTTCTCGCTTCACAAAGTCTTGGATTTCAAATGTCTCCATCGTCGTCATGGTTACACATGATCCGTCCCACCACACTGAATAGTGCTCATTACAAGGCGGTGCGTACTACTGGTACATAGACAGCTCTTCTTAGCAATGTGGAATGCAAATGCAACAGAATTTGATGTTGGTGTCTGGCGTCAATGTTAATTGTTGCTGTTGTACCTGTGGATGCTAGCTAGTAGCTACTAGTAGCTAGTCTGCTAGCTAGTAAGATGAGGATGGGGTCTCTTTGACGTCCAACATGAGCTCCATGTTCACAGTTCACAGAAAGATCGGTGGGGAATTGGGAGATAAATGATCACCGATTGAACCATCCGATTGATTCGATTCTTCACCTTATGATACCGGTGCCACCTACTGAGTACATGTATGTTGCACATGTAGAGACATCCAGCCGTGTAGTGGAAGTGCACAGAAAGTATCCCCTTTCGCCCTCATCAATAAGTTTATGCGTCTGAGGTCAGTCAAAACATCACAACGATCAAGCACGTCGTACTTGGGTATCTCTTTGTTTGGATTACAGTGGTCAAGATACGCTGACACGCTTTGCCACGTGCGGCACATCCCATTGGATTGGCTTTTAAAAATCGACCCTATTCTAATACAGTACCGTACGGTAGAAACATTGGTGAATGAACAATGAACTACTGTATCAACAACTCATTTGCTTGAATCTCAACACTAATAGCATTTTTAATAGAAGGGGAATCTGAGGATCCCGCAATGCCAAGCCCTTTTGGCCCCTGTAATGTTCCTCAATTTGTCTTCCCTGATCCAATGGAACCTACTCCTGAATTTGACTTTTCTTTGCTTTTTAATAAGCATGGTCTTCTTCCATAGTAACCTCCCTACTGTAAAGCTTTGCCCAACTAAGTTTTCAAATCTACGAGCTTGTCTAGCTAGCTAGCCAGTAGAATTCAATCTCTGACGTCTGGGAAATCTTCTTTTTTCCTTGTATCTTCATAGTAAGGTATAAACTGTATACCCCATGGCCTTCGTAGATGGTTGTTAGGATGTCGATAAATCACTTTTGCTCCCGGTGTTCTCCCCAGACTGAGCAAGATACTCTACCGGTTGGTCGGGCAATGGTACGATGTATTTGCGGTATGTGTTGTGATGGTGGGTGGTGGATGGACCAGATCGAAGCCAGTGCCTACCATCGATCTGTGGTAGGCACTGGCTACTAGTAGTGGTAGCCAGGTGGTAGGATTTGATGGAAACATTCAATTTTCAAGTCGTGCCCTCCCCTCTGTCCCCATCCTCATCTTAGCTCTCTCTAACCCATAGTAACTTTCCCGTTTTAGAAATAATCACCCCACACAATATGATAATGACAATGAAGCGCCGAACCTCCAATGACTTGGCAACCCTTGGCACTCAAGCCTTGACCACTTCGTACGATCAAGGAGGACAAGGTACGGGCACCACCGAGACGTCCCGACAACAACGACACGAACGACAGAAACAACTAGCCGCTGCCAAGGCCAAAGCCATCACCCAACGATACCAACCCAATGTCCAAGAAGATCGTCCTCTTGTTGTTGAAGGAACGGAGAAACAACAAGAGGCTCTTCGACCTGTAAACGCAGAAGACAGAGCCCGCATCGCGTTGGCCAAGGCTCAGGCCATTACGCATCAATGGAGTCAAGATCAAGTTCAAGAGGGACATGATAGTGCAACCCTTCGGACAACTACCACCCAGCAACCGGATCAGACACGACAAGTCAACCTCAGCAGAGCGGAAACCATCACCAGCCAGTGGAAGCAGAAAGAAAGCCAGCAGACCACCACAGCACCCCATGCGGCATTGCTACAACGACAACTGCCGGGTTGCCTAGCTGTGGCGACAAAGCAGACACCGAATAAGCAACCGGGACCACCGCTTCCCACCGACAAGCACATGAGCACCTTTCCTATAGCAAGACCCATCATAGCAAGACCCACCGCTGCTAGTAGTCCTCCCAGAGCACCTCCGAACACTTGGCAAGCCAAACTTCCGGAACAACAAATGGATGAAGAGGATCTGGCATACCTCCAAGGCGAGGGGTATCCTCTTGGTACGTTTTGCGCAATTGGCTCCACGTCTCTTTGCCTTCTTTCTATCAAACGTTGCGGCCTTGCTTGCCCTTTGTCTGTTCCACTATCTCTCACACATACATGTCCTCTTTTGGCAATAGGCCTCATCAAGGCCATGACAGACCTCAAAGCAGATTTCTTTCAACAGATCTGGATCATTGACAATTCCGAATCCATGAATACGAGGGACGGAAGCATGTTGGCCGATGTTTCCTCTTCGAATGGCAGCCACGGGACTTCGCGTCGCTTCGTCCATGGGTGCTCTCGCTGGGATGAACTCAAGGAGTGTGTCGTTTCTCATATCCGTCTCTCGGGAGCCTTACGACAGCCCACATCCTTTCGCGTAAGAACAGCAGGAATGCAAAAACTCGCATAGATAGACGGCACATTTGCTCCATCTCGCTCATCCAGCCTGTTGGCTTTCTCTTCTTGCACTGCACAGCTACTGAATGATCCAGGTTCGGCGGCAGGTCCACAGCAATTTGGTATTTGCGAATCGGCTCTTAGCCACGGCTGCATTGCCGAGCAAGTGCAGCACTGTCGAGACATTATGGAGCGCAACTATCCCGTTGGACAAACGCCTCTGACGCAACACATTCGAAAGATCACCGAGGAAATTCAAGCCGTGCGGTCGGGATTGCTGGCCAGTGGCAAACGGATTTCCATTGTCATTTGCACCGATGGGATCCCCACGGATGCGCCCAACCGACAATTCTTTGTGGATGCCTTGCGCAAACTCGAGACGATGCCCGTCTGGCTGGTGATTCGACTCTGTACCGGTGAGTTTCTCGTGTTGAGATGGATGTGAGTGTTTAGAACGGCATACATGTATGCTCACTCTGTCTCGTATCTAGACGAACCAAGTGTCGTGGACTACTATAATCAGCTGGATGACGAGTTGAAGCTATCCATTGATGTCATTGATGACTTCCAAGGAGAGGCATTAGACGTTTGCAAGCGCAATCCGTGGTTGAACTACGGTTTGCCCTTGCATCGAGCTAGAGAGCGAGGCTACCACGAGAGGGTATTGGATTTACTGGACGAGTGTCCTCTCTCCACCAGGGAGCAAAAGGAGGTTTGTGGAATTATATTCGGAAAGGAAAAAGTTCAACATTGCCCCGAAGCCGACGTGGATAAGCCTAGGTTTCTGGCGCACATGGATTCCTTGCAGCGAGAGGAACAGCTTCAGTGGGTGAGTTTTTGCTAGCTGGCTGGCTTGTGGATGGGTTGATTGTTGGTATGCACTGATGAGCGACTCATGGTTGCTTTCTCTTCTCCTCGCGCCAGGACCCCATTGATGAGAAAGTGAAGACTTGGGTTGATTTTACCGGAGACACAAAGGGAAAGTTGCGAAAGATGGGGAAAAACAGACGCAAAAAGACTTCAAGATTCTTCCGCTTGTTTCGCTGAAGATCGAGGACACTGCACCCGTGTATTTGCAGCCCGAGGGCAGTGCGTCGTTCCTTTTGAAAGACAAGGCGAGCATAAACCCAAAGCAACGCTCTCAAGCAGACAGACTGGCTCCGTGCCTAAACGGCTATCTATCTTTTTTAATCTCTAGCTAGCTACCTGTATCTGACTTTCCAACCGTGCCCCTTAATCGCTCTCGTCCAGGCTGTGCGCTGCCGGTCTTCTGCTGTGTGGCATCATCAGTAAGGTTATTGCGAGAACGACGAACGAGTACCAGTACCGAAATGAGGAGTTGGTGTGCGTGTTGGAAAATTCGATTCCACGGCCCGTGCCAGGCCGTGGAAAAGCACCTCCTCCTGTTCATTCACGGATCACTCATGACTACTTAAAAACCCGCCGCACCTCCCACAACAACACTCCCCCCGCCCTCCGAAGTCCGCGGCTGATCAAGATGACGACCGAAAACTCTCGCCAAGCGTCGACGCTTATCAAGATGACAGGCTTCAACGGATCATAGCACCTGGTAGTGACTGGATTTGGATAGGTCTCTCCCCGCAGTTTCATGATGGGTCAATCAATAATTGTCGTCGAAACGAAAAGGATCCTGAGAGTTGGTAACAGTTGAAAACGGACCCCTTGTTTTGGAAACCGCCCACTGGTGGTTCCGTTTTCTCCCCACCCACCATCAAGTCGCTTCATCATTCACTCATCATCATCATGAGCAGCTCATAAATTGAAGCTGCTTTGCAAATCAACATGCATTGGGCACCCGGGGCCTCCCTGGCTCTGATAGGTGTACCGCATGACTCTTTGGCTTTTTGACACCGCCGTAGGTGTGAGCAAGATGGTCCACAAAAGGACTGGTTTGTAGCATGCTGCTGAGAGACTCATCCGCAATACTCCAGGTGGGAGGTTGGTCGAGGTGGTGATCTGTAGGCAATGGAGGAGGGAGCACTCAGCGACGGTGCTGAGTGACTGAACCTTCTTTCTGTTCCATCCAAGATGATGGAGATGTGTTGGAAATTATTCTGGTGAGGTTCTTGTGGGATGGCTCCAGGTGAGGGAGTCCAAAGCAACTCTGAGGTTCTGGCACCCCCAGAAATGGGGGTGATACTGGTTCCCGAGAGTAAGTGTGAAAAATGACACTTGTTACCAACATTCTGGAATATAGACTCGGTGCAATAGTGGGCCTGTGAGATCCCTTCTGCTACCAGGTGTGACAGGAGCAGATTGGATTCTCATGTGAAGGCTACAGCGGCACAGTAATAGGCAGTTTGAACCCAAGGGATCATTCTGCCACTGTGGGGCACAAAATGCTCAGACAACAATAGCAGCTTCAATTTAATGAAAAGGAAATAATCATACTATAGCATCAAGAATCAATCAAAAACGAAGTGTTCCTTTCTTTAGTTTTCCCAATGACTAGCTCGTAGCTCTTCATAGATAGAAATACGTGTAGTCATTTTGGATTGGCTCTCCCTCGTTTTCTTGGCGGATTGGCGGAATTCCCGACCAATTCTGCTTCCTGGACACCAATCCGCATCATACGTTTACTTGGACGCAAACGACGACTGCACTCATTCCACAGGTGAAAAAAGCTGAAGAGGATTCCACACACAAAACCGGTGCTAGCTAGCTAGCTAGCTAGCCAGACACAGAGCTCCGACCAGGCCTACACAATCTTCTTTGTGGGTGCGGTTCAGCGTTCGCCTTTTCATTCGAATGTGTGCCTTTTCAAATCGATTGAATGATTCATCGGATCATTCGGTTCGAATTGTTGCGCTGACGTACACACGTACACGGTGTCAACATCCACCAAGATCCAACTCAACTCTCTTTCTTTTGTCCCCGCTCTTCTTGCGGTCAGTTCGTTCCACATCGTATTGAGTTAGTTGATTGATTCGATGTCTCGCTGGCCCTATCATAGTCTCTGTTCTCATTGCAAGGGTATCTGAACCTCTCTTTTCTTGAAACCAACGCACCTTCAGCCCGACCCACTTGGCAATCTATCTACTGTATCTATTGATTGATCCAGGCGCCAGTTGCCACCCACTTATAAAACAATCGTATCATTCGTAGGATGGATGCTCTTATCCAAACGACAACTTACCCGCATGTTTGGCCTGCAAGGGCAGTAGTACTGATAGCCTGCATGCTATTATCTTCTGCCTCGGCATTTATTATACCCCACCACCACCACAACAAACCCTTGGACACTACTGTCTCCATTATTCGTCACAGAACAAGCAGCGCATTACGACCTGTGGTGGTCGCCAGACTCCTGCCAGTACTAAAAAAGAAACCGGACGATGAGGAGGACGACGATGAAAGCAGTCAGACTGGTATGAACGAAGCCTTTCGTCAATTGGGTTCTCTGGATTCCTTGGGAGATCCTACCGAGGGAAAAGAAAGCACAGTCAAACTAGACGATCAAAGCAAACAAGAGCTCTTGAGTCAAGAAAACAAGGTTTCCATGGAACAGGAAGTCGAACTCTTCAAGGGATTGCTCAAGGATTCGGAAGAGTCAGATGAAGATACCTTGTATTCGGACGTGATCAAAGACATGGGCGGAACACCCAAAGAAGCTCCCAAGGCAAAACCACAACAACAAATTACCATTGAGGAATCGGGCACCACCACCACCGGTAGCGCCATTCCCCGCAGCGAAGAGGACACCCAAAAATTCATGGATCAAGCCATTCAAGAAGCCTTGGATGAAGCACGGTCCATGGCACCCGATGGAAAGAAACTCTCCGATTCCATTCTCGACGATGAAGAAATCATGAAAGAAATTGAAGAGATCTTTGAAAAGGGAAACGAAAAGTTGTTGGCCAGTTTGGAGGAAATTCGAGAAGAACAGGTATGTAGTAGTGTGGTAGAGTGTTTTTCTCATGAAACCTATTTGTCCTTTTTTGTCAGCTACTTACATGAATATGATTGATTATCAACCATTACAATATGCATCCACAGCAAGAGTTGGCTAGAATCAGCGCAGAACAACGTAGTAAAGTTGCCATGGACAACAGCCAGGATGAGGAAACGGCAAAGCGATTGGCAGCCGCAGAGGCATCCATGCAAAAGCAACTAGGTCGGGTCAACCAGGAGAGAGCCGAAGTGGAACAGGCAGTGGCAGACCTTCAGAAGGTCAAGGAGGAACTGGATGCCGAGGCATCGGGCAACGTGATCAAGCCCGCGGCACTGGCTGGAGTACTCTTGTTTTCGGTGCGATCTCTTTTAGACTTTGTGGCAATGGGCGGGATTGATTCCGAAGCCCATCTTACAGCTGCACTGATCCAAGGAGCGATTGCCTTGGCGTGTGGTGCCTATCTTGTCTTCGCCTAGCTACAGTAACTCCTCCTGCTAATTATCTGGCTATGGTACTGGTGCGTGCATACCATGGTAACTTGTCTTGAGGATAGACACAGCCTAAGAAGGTACTATGCATGCATGTATGCACGCAGGATCCACTGAAGAATCAAATGTGGGGAGCACATATTATGACACCCCCTCCTATTTGGTAACAAGCACAAGGCTATAGAAATGACAATACAGCATCTCAAATCTAAACGATACGGTAGTGTGCCATCGCCAGTGGAGTGAAAAAAGGTTGCAGGAATTATTTGTAACAAAGCACTTCACAATGGCATTGTTCAAGCAAGGCATCTGGACACAGGGACCTACCGGTACAACCGTCCGTTTTTGCTCGCGACGGACCATCTCCGTGTGGACAACCATAACACCACCAAGGCTTTGCTACCGTACTCACGCGGAGGCTGGTCTCGGGAGCGCCAGAAACGCTCGTCAACGGCGAGGATTCGATTGATTCGATTCTGTACGACATGTATGTGTAGACGGCGCCTTACATAGTTGGGAGAGGACCAGCCAGATCGATGGGACTTGCCCAAACTCGGGCTTCTGTCGTCCTTCCGTACGAGCACTAGCATAGATATCATTGCACCTCTTTCATTCTTCTTGCTCGTGGGCTCTCTGTTTGAGCCAGTCAGTCAGTCAGTTAGTTGATCACGACAGCGGAAAAGGGGGGCTTCTAACCAACTAACTAACTAACCAACTAGAAGTGAGTGGAGTGGCATGGCCCCTCTCTGTTTCGGACGATTGGCATGGTTTGGGTGGCGTTGCCGCTACGGCACTACACGGCAATTGAGTTGCTCGAGAGAGAGCCATGGGTTGTTCAATGTCTACTAGACTAGACTACAACGTTGGGTCGACGATGCGGAAGCTGTCGATTGAATCCAATCGATACATTAAGGGAAACAACTGCACGGGGAAACAACCAGTAGATTGATTGATCCGAGAAGTAAGCGATCGAGTTGATTCGATTCGAAGCGCGATGCTATATAGGTACGCACGGCCCCTCTCTGTTCCGGATGGTTTGAGGGGCGTTGCCGCTACGGCACTACACGGCAATTGAGTTGCTCGAGAGAGAGCCATGAGTTGTTCACTGTCTACTAGACTACAATGTTGGGTCTACGATGCGGAAGCGGTCAATTGAATCCAATCGATAGATTGAGGGAAATAACTGCAGGGGGAACCAACCAGTAGATTGATTGATCCGAGAAGTAAGCGATCGGGTTGATTCGATTCGATTCGAAGCGGAATACGGATGCTATACCGGTATATATAGGTAGGTAGCTAGCTCTTCATTAGTTAGATATCCACATCTTCTTCATCGTCATCGTCATCATCATCATCAAAGTCCAAATCATCCAAATCTTCGTCATCGACATCGAACAGTTCTTCTTGAAGCGCACCCTCTTCTTCTTCTTCTTCTTCTTCTGGATCCGTTTGTGCATTTTCCGCCGCCGCTTCGAGTGCTTCCAAATTAATGGCGGCACCACTGAATTGTTGAAATCCCGACAGCCGTCCCTTTTTCTCATTTACTTTGGGGGTACTCTTTTTCTTATTGCCCGCCGCAGCTTCGTCGTCCTTGTCTTGTTGTTCTTTGAGCGCGGCCATTTCCTGTTCGAATTGAATCTTCCATGCCTCAAACGTTTCGTTGGTGACAGGCGTTCCTTCGGCTCGTTTGCGTCGTAGTTCGAGATCGTCCCGTTCCGTTTGGGTCATGTCGGCATGGGCTTTTTGGGACTCGAATTGTTGTTGTTTCTGTTTATATATATAGTTGTGGACAAGTGTGTGTGAATTGTAGTAGTAGTAATAATGGAAATGGAAGGATGGGAACAGGAAAAAAGAGACAAACAAACAAACAAAGGAACGAACGAGTGAGAATGACATCCATCATACATATTTGTATAATAGGAATAGGAATGAATGAATTGTTGTAGAGTGACAATTATCCCCTGCTTGTCATGAGCTGCAAGAACGCCAGTCCACCTTGTCGGTGTTCTGCGCCACAACTATTCCAAGAGGGGATCTTGAGTCACGCCAGTATTTGTTTGTGTTGGAAGACTTGTTTTCAGACGGATCTCTTGTAAAAGTGGCATCTCGTCTGTGGAATGTCTTCCCACATGGATAGTCATACAGTACATACAATACAGTACACACACATGCAATATAGTATATGTATCTCTTACCGACTGCTCTTGTTGTTTCTTTTCTTGTTCTGCGTTTCGTCGTAACATTTGTGCGTGCATACTGACATCGTCGTGTCCTTTTTGATTGTGATCGACCAACCATTCCCGGAGTCGTTCGCAAATGGCAAAAATCGACGGCACACCTTCATTGGCTTGAGCTTCTTCTTGACACAAGTCGAGCAATTGCGTGGCATGATCTTGTGTCAATCCTTTTAAAATATGAATGTCACAAGACGGTAGTGCATCTTCCGGGTATGTTTCCGGGAGTGTCACTTGCAGTTCAATCCCAACGTGATTCTCGCCATCTGTTGTGGTGGCTTCGGGCCACAGTGTCACGTTCCATACCAACGGCTTACTGCTGTCGCCTTGCACAATACTGAATTGATCGTCAAAAATAGCCGCCAGTGCTTCGGCTTCCATTTCTTGTTCTTCTTGGTGGTCTGTCATTGTGATGATTGATTGTTACTATTGATTGACTTGTCTATGATTGACTAGAGTAACTACTCAGAGTGGTGATAAAAGGGACAGTAGTGATATCGCACTGGAGTCCTAATAACAGGAACAAGAGACCAAGGTTTGGATCAAGCAAGGAATCATGTCCATTGAGGAGATGTACGGTAGACTATGTGTGTGCCAACCATGCACGGATGTCGGCTGCGTTTGGATGTTGGCATGTGGAACGGACGCCGGACAGACAGATCTTTTGGAAAAGATACCGTGGGCTTGCAGCGTGGAATATCTAAAAAAGGCTGTCGGGCCGCGGGGAAGCTTGGGGTTCTCTGAATTTATTTATTTGTCCGCGCTTCTTCTTGATGGCACAGATAGAAGCATGCATCATCATCGCGGCACAAGATCTTCCTCGACTTTCTCTATCCATCTATCCATCCATCTGATCATCATTCACTCACCATGATGATGATGAAGAAGAAGAAGAAGCTTCTATCGACTATCATTGCAATGATTCGCATCATCATTTGGGTCCGTCTTTTTGCATCGGAGAACGATCCGTTTCATTGGTCGGAAGTGGGACGAGCATTGGACTTTGCACTACGGATCACTCAAGTTCAACTTTGAATTTTAAAATTGCTTTATTATTATTTACCAACAAAGCAAACAAAGCAACCAGCAGAGACAGACACATGACGACGATCGAGAGAAAACACCAAAAAGCTGTGGTTGCTTTTGGATCCATTGTGCGCAATGTGAGGCGTCGCGCCAAAAGCTTGGGTTCTACTAGCTAGCTATCATACGATGGACTCGACTCGACTCGACTCGACTCTCCCACTACTGGAACTGCTACAGTACTACCGTACTAGTACTGGTACTGGTACACAAGCAGAACAGACTTGATGATGATGAAGGAACAGTCATCCCACTACCCACCCTTCTGCTAGTCAAGAAGGATTTCTTCAGCAACTCCCACCCAAACCCCCTACCAGTTTGTTGTTCCTCCCAATCCAATCCACTACTGTATACGAGATCCTTAGAACTTTCTGTCTGCGAATGATAGCTATATATCAATGGAAGACCCTTTACATACTGGAATGAGAATGCTCCCTTTTTGTTTGTTTGGAGCGAGGCAATAACTCAGCTTTCTTTTTTGGTACCAACCAGATCTCCAACAACCCCACTGTGATGGCTGCAAGAAAAAAATTTGGTCATGCATGCCTTTTTCCTGCGAAGGGAGACATCAAAGATACAATCAATCTCTAGCGTACTCTCAGTCAGAAGCTGCAAACCAGAAGATCACCTGGTCTTGAGAGTGACAGCAGGATCAGAGGGAGTGAGTGAGTTAGCACAAGGAGCATGGGAAGAAACGAATTTGATTCAATCCAATCGAATAGAATAGAATAGAATAGAATAGAATTCAATCAGCAGGGTCGACTGGGGGCAACGCTGGGCAACCAAGAATGGAATATCTCGGAATTCCTTTCGTAATGGTTTAGAGATACTACCGTACAGGCTGAATGATGGCTCACACACTGATGATGATCATAGATAGACCTTGGTTCTGTCTTGTCTACATACATACATGTACCGGTATGATACCGTACTGTAGCTACTAACTAATATTAAGTAACTAGCTAGTAGGGCACTGTGAGCAGGAAATTCTGGGCACTGCAAAGATGAAACAGTACATCCAGCAGGATGTGTACATCAATCTGGTCTATTCATATCCAGCACCCAGTACAGCACCCAGCTTAAGCTTTCCACCAAGCCAAAGCTTTCCACCAAGCCAGAGTATATGTCCAAGCTTGACACCAAGTGTGACTCCCAGCCAGGCTCCTACCAAGTCTTGTTCAACAACTACAACTTCAAATGTGTGCCCAATTACAACAGATGGGGTAAGTGAGCTACATGTGAACACCTACATTGCTGGGGGTCTGTTTCCAACACTAACTTTCTCTGTATCCTTGAATAGGAACAACTTTATCTTTGTTTTGATTCTCTGTTGCCTGCCACTAGTGATGTGACTGTTCAAACTTTTGTCCGGGGTGATCTGGGCTCAAGCAATGAGTTCTATGATGTAATTGACCAAGATGGAAACAACTTGGGTCAAAACAATGGTGGGGGGGGAATGCTCGAGTACCAATGACCAGACTGATTTTGTTGTGACACAGGCCACATTCAATACTTGGGTGGCAACTGGCTTTGTCAGTTTCATAATGGATGCCTCTGCAGATGTGAACCCCATCTGCCTCCAGCAGGATGTGTACATCAATCTGGTCTATTCCACTAGGTAACCACAATGAAGGAGTCCAAGTTAGAATGGTGCGACACTGGCTGTTTCATTGTTGCCACTACTGGTAGAGGAAAACAAATAGCTGGAAATGGAAGGACTGCTTAGGCTCATGTGTTTGCCCTCATAGAGAAGAGCATGACCCTGTGGATTCGAAGATTCACATGCTCCTACCGTACCGTGCTCCCTCTGATCCTGTCATTCTTCAAGACATGGACCAGGTGATTTCCTGGCTTGCAGTTTCTGGCGTTGGGGTCCATCAGGAGGCACGGCTGAGGCGGCTGATGTATCAGGGAGATTGGACTTTTGCAGAGACAGATTCTCGACTACAGGGCAAATCCAAGATTCCGTTCAGTAAAGGCTTGAGCTTGGAAGGGTTGCAAGGCACTACATGTAGTTAGATTTTAGGAGAAAAGAAAGCGTGGAGAAAGACATGAGTGCAAAAGATAGATAAGCTTCCTTTTATTTGGGAAAAGCAACAAGGGTCACTATACAGGGCCCCGGTATAAACAATCGCAAAACAACGACACAGACGCCAACCACTCACTCGGCTTTAATATGAATTCGTCAGCACCTGCCATGAGGAAGTTGTCACGAAGCTCATTAGCAGACAAGCCAATGAGCTTGGATCTGACCCCTTTGATGCGCATGGTTTGGGCAGTCTCCGTGCCGAGCAGGCTTTTGGTCACAGATGCCATGTACTGATCTAGAAAAATGATGCTGATTTGTGGGGGTGGTGTGAGTCGAGTCGAGTCGAGTCCACGCATGCAGCTCGGAGACCAGCTTGCTGTATCCAGCATTGCGTTGGCGTACCTGTATTCCTGATCATTGTTGTGGCACATCTCCAGGGCCATTTCACCACTAGAAGCTTCGTGGGTGGTCCAGCTAGCCGGCGCAACCCTCTTCAGTGCCCTTACTGTCAGTTTCCGAATCATGGGGTCGTCGTCTACAAAGAGGATCGACAGTCCTTCGGGGAGTTCTTCTTGGTTTGCTTTGGGGGCGTCCAAAGGGCGTGGTGTCTGTTTTTGGTTGCTACTATTGTCGGTAGTAGCATTTGATTCCGACCCTCCAGAGTTGATCTTGAACGGTTGCTGTGGTTGGGATGATTGATTTGGGTCTAGCTCAGAGCTGGGCTTTTTTAAAAAGAGTGGATGTGATTGGGAAGATGGAAGAGATGCTGGGTTTGAGTCTGACCCAGAGTCGACTTTGAAGAGTGGCTGCGGCTTGGATGCTGCATTGGAGACTGACCCATCAGATTTGATATTTAACAGGGGCTGTGTTTGGGATGTTTGATTTGGGTCTGGCTCAGAGCTGGGATTGAACAGAGGCTGTGGTTGGGATGCAGGATTCGAGTCTGGCTCAGAGCTGGTTTTGAAGAGTGGCCGCAGTTGCTGGGATGCTGGATTCGAGTCTGAGAGACAGTTTGTTTTGAAGAGTGGCTGCGGTTGGCTTGGTTGAGTTGAGTCAGAAGAAGCGTCGACTTTGAAGAGAGGACCTGGTCCGATTGTTTCATCCTCGCATCCAAGGGTCATCGAAGGAGCCCCTTCGTCGACCTCCATTTCGCAAGTTTCAGAACTGAGTGGGAAGGCCACTTCAACGTCCAATGGCGGCGTTTCCATGTCTATGACAAAACGAGCTCCTGGTCGCTCAAGGAAACTGCTATGATATGTCTCGTCCAACGAGAGGTTCCCACCTAGTATCTTGCAAAGCTGCTTGGAGAGGTTCAGCCCTATGCCCGTCCCTTGTGACAATGAGTCCAAGCTCACTTGATACCTTGAAAAAAGTCTGCTGCGCTTCTCTTTGGAGACACCCGGACCAGTGTCTTCGCAGTACAACGTCACATGGCTAGTCCGTGGGTCGACGCCTGCTCTCAGTTTAATGTACCCAACCTCCACAAACTTTGCGGCGTTCCTTGACAAATTCAAGACTATTTGTGTCAGCCTGATACGATCAGTCATGACGATCAAGTTGTCAGGGCATTCGACCAGGACATCATAGTCAACACCGCGGTGACGCATTATGGTTGCCACTGGTTCCAGAATGTCCGTCTTGACATCTGTGGGCGCCTTATCCACTGTGATGCGGCCTGCTGCAGCACGGTAGATGTCGAGCATCGAACGCATGAAATCGTTGATGAAGTTGAGGCTGGACTTCACAGCTTCAATATCTTCCCGTGCGAGACGCTGCGACTCTGGTGTTGGATTCGGTTCCTGTAGCGCCGCATCTAGGAATGAGGTTGCAGTTATGGCCGAAGCCAAAGGGTTCCTGCAAGTCGGAACGGGTTCAGATTGGCAAAACAGTATGGTCTTTGAACTTGCCCTGCTCTATGATGCACTTACCTGATTTCGTGTGAAAAGAATTCATTGATGTTCTGCTCCAGTTTTGCCATCCGTTCAGACTTCTTGACAACCTTGCTTGTCATGACGTTTTGTCGCCTGTCCACCACACAAGAGTATGTGAGAAAGACTATTGAGGCGAAGGAGAAGATGAGAGATGCAATGATAGTGTACAAATGAGGCTCGTGTGTCAAGTAGGCTGATTCATTCTCCCTTGATGGATAGACGCGTATTCTGTAGCTTGTGGAGTTGCTGAGAGGAACCGCACCAAAGCCTCTCGTCTCAGGACTAGCTCGCTCTTCCAAGAAAATACCAACATCTGTAGACACGGCCATCTCATCGTAGTTTTTGTCATGATGGTCGCCCATGCCCAAGAGTATTGGAACGCCGCCGTTTAGGCGATAAGTGAATTCTTGGCCAAAGGAATTGCTCACGACGCAATCAATGCCTCTCATGTGGGAAGGTAGCAGGTTTGACAGGAGTATCTTCCAATACACATCGGTTACAATAATTCCCACTACGGAACGACTCTTCTCGTCGAAGGTATCAAACACTGGGTATACCAGCCACGTGTGCAAATCATCAATGAGATCTGCCACCCGATGTCGATACTGGCTAGACCGAAGCATCATTTCGTTGGCAGGTCTGTAGGGTGCAGGCGCCAATGCTGCAAAATTGATCACAGCTTTCTTTTGAGTGGCGACAATGTCCAGGATCCCGGGAACAACCAGACCAGCCGTGCCCAGATCATTGTTCAGCACATGCATGGACCCACTATGAAGAGGGCTGGCCTGCCACAACGGTGCAAACGGACCGGCACCCTCCGGTTGGTCTCTTCGGATTTTGCTAGCTCCTCCCGCAGGTATGTGGGGATGATATCCATCTGACAAGACGGTCACCAAGGGTTGGTCAGGTTTTGGTGGCAGTTTTGCTGCTTGTGCTCGTCTACTGCTGTTCATCACAGGAACAACCGAGCCAAACTCTGCGTCCTGCTGACTTCGGTACTCATTGTCCTTGGCGAGAGCCTCCAGAGTTTGGCCTCGATTTTCCAAGGCAAATTCTTCCCATTTTGGCCGAGTTTCGTCCGTGACAATAGGTGCGTAGTGCACCATGTGGGATCCTGATTGCGCCTTGATGTCAGACGCAATCATTTCGAAATTTGGGAGAGTCACACATGGAAACTGTGCTCCCGTATCCAATGCAAAGCTTGTAATCTGGTTGGAAAGCCCCGCCGTCCCGCTCATTGTATGCTCAACAAACGTATGAAACCCCTCAATGACTTGAGCCGCGCTGTATCCAAAGTGGAGCTCAAAGTTCTGTCTCTCTTGCCGTCGAATGTGTAAAAATGTGCATGTCGAAACCAGCACCCCAGTGCCCACCAAGAGGCCAAGGGTCAACACACGAAGCAAGTTCACGGCTTGTGTTTCTTTCTGAGCAAGATCTTTCACAACTTGGCATGTCTGAAAGTCATCTTCGTCAAAAAACGACTGCTGCGAGCAAGTAGCGGTATGATCGTCTTCCAATTCATTTTCTGGCGAGACCGTCTCATGCTCCGCCATCTTGCATGTAACGAAACTGTCTATTGCAGCCTCTACTGGCGTCTGATGACGGAAGGAGGTCAGGGGTATCCTATTCCCGGTGGCTTGCGATGTCTTGACGTCTTGATGTTGAATGCTGTGGCTGAGTATCCAAAGCTGCACGAACTGCAGTATACAGCCAACACAAGAACTTCTTTCCAGCCTGCGTCTTACTTCTTGCAGTCCACTGTGCCAATAGCCAGCAAGAGCCAGCTAATTCCAGGTGAGGGGGCCGTTCGGTCGGTGTTGCCGTGGCGGTGACACCAAGAACCAAGAGCCCAGGCGCAAGGTTGCCATGTTCCGCCACTGATCGTCAAAAGCGATGGTGCGTATCTACCTACGTACGACCTTTCTGAACGTCTTTTTGTGTCCAAAAGACGCTTGCATTTGTTATTCATAATACACTCTAACCTCAGTTAGATGGAAATAGTAGTTTTTGCCTGAATATTCCACCCCAGCAGCACCCGAATCTTACCTGGTACACGAATCTTCAATAAATCGACACAGTACCGGTATACAGTATGTAACTAAAGCTCTACCTGCAGGGCTCTGTTGTCCCAAGTTTGCTACACAACCGCACAACCGGGACGGTATGGTGGAAGAGGTGTACCGGTACCGTAGCAACTTGTTGTTTTTCAGAGCATGTTCTAACTAATGCATGCTGAAGCCACTTCCAACCTACCGTATTACATGTACATGTAGTATGCATACGTATTACTCGAGTATATCTTATGATAGTGGCACTCAATACATGTATCTAATAACTAAGGATGGAATATACTAATTAGTGCCCAAGGTACGCATGGAACATGCTCAGAATAAACCTGAGGTTCTTTGACAGGGGCAATGTCACAGAGGTCGGCACTGACAGCTGACCTAAACTATCAAATCAAGAAGCGGTAGGAGCTATGAAGAACTTCTCAGTAGATCCGGATGGTTCACGTAAGTTGAAAAGTCCACACGCCTTGGCAATGAAGTGTTTATGAGGCTGTTGGCGGGGAGTGCAGAGACACAACTGCCTACTAATACCTTTCAAACGACCTGGATGCCAACAATGAAGATGTAGCTATCGTACATGTATCTAGCTGGGTGCTCTAGATATAATTGCCCTTGTCGTCGTTCTGCCTCCAGCAAAACAAAACAGGCAACTGAGTGTGCTTGTGGGCCATGCTAAATCTTCGGTTGTTCGACCAATCGCTGCATCTTGTTTGGAAACAGCACCACTTTAACACTGGTTTCTTCAGCTGCGAAGTCCCGTCGCATGCCTCCTCTTTATTGGGGAAGTGTGCTCCCAGCTCGTACACAGCGCCGCCCGTAATAGCAAAAGGACAAGCATTTCAATCTGATCTGGTTCTCCACGAAAAAGCTCTCCCTAGTAGAGGAGGGTCGAACTCCTGGCCTTGTCGCACGCTCTCCAATTTTAATTGAGCTAAGGAAGAAACGTATTGCTTGGTGCTTGTTGCGGCTTCAGTCGCCCGCTCCGTGGAGGCAATCATCCCCAAGTCACGCTCTCCAGCAAAACTGTGCGTCTCAGCAAAAACTCTCCCTAGGAGGGTCGAACTCCTGGCCTTGCGATTAACAGTCGCACGCTCTACCAACTGAGCTAAGGAAGAAGCGAATTACTCCGCTCTTATCATATTGTACGGATTTTGGGTTCATCTAGTTGTTTTGTCAAAGCGAACTCAAATCGGAGCGGAAGATGAGAAGGAAGCAATGAACCAGACGGGGGGGGGGTTAGAGTTGCCATGAAGTCCAAGAATAGGTGAAGGCTAGCTAGCTAGCTGGTTGTTTCTGTGCTCAAGGGCTCTCTTGGCAGCATTTGACTGTCTCCCCTTTGCTGGAACCCTACGAGGTACTGTACCGGTACGTACGATGATTGAATCATTCAATTCAATCTTTCAACCCTCTCAGGAGGCCAGTGTGGCCGGTGAGCAGACTTGACTGTGGGAAATACCCGAGCCTTAGCTCGTGGGTAGTCCTCAAGCACATCTCGTCTGAATCCGTTATTAGACGTTCAGTTTTTTTTTCAATTCAATCTTTCAACAATTTGATGCCAAAAGGGGGCAGTCTAATGAGGATACCGTAGACGTTAACTACGTTGTGGAGAACAGGTTCTCGATCGCGAGACTTCCACTCGAATGGAGGTGTTTCACCTCGGATTGGGCATCCCCTTGGGTTCAGTGAATATCCAAGTCTCGGGCTCCAGAGTTGCACAGTTACAGAACGTGACATAAACTGGTACCACACCTACCGGTATCTCTAGAGCAAAGTTTCGTTTGTCATCCATCGGTCTTCAATCTTCACGACGATAGTACAACGCAACAGTACCATGGGCAACGGACATTCCACACAACTTGATGATTACGGGAGGACACCTCTTCAAAATGCCAGCAGGCACGGACAAATTGCCTTGGTGAGAGAACTTTTGGCCAAGAATGCCAACAAGGAAGCCAAAAGCATATACAGCCTTGCATTTTGCCTGCAAATGCGGCAGACTCAGCGTCGTAAGATAACTTTTGAGTCAGGGAGCAGATATTTTGGCCACCTCCGCGTCATACGGAGATACGCCGTTGCACTTTGCCAGCTGGCACGGACACGCACAGGTTGTGGAGGAATTGTTGGGTCGACACCGAGTGGACATTGAAGTCAAAAATCACGGAGGGTACACGCCGTTGCACTGTGCCAGCTACGACGGACGCTTGAAGCCCTTACAGCTCCTGTTAAAAGCTGGGACTTCAGTAGATGTTTGCAATGATCTCGAGACGGGAGAAACGGCCCTGCATTATGCATGTCGCTACAATCGGGTTCCTTGTATCCAAGCGTTGCAAAAGTTTCATGCCAATTTGAATGCTACCATGGCCAATGGAAACACGGGCTTGCACGAAACCAGTCATTGTGGTCATGTTGAAACGGTCCAAGAGCTCCTGCGGGCGGGAGCAGATATCAGTCTCAGAAACAAGGACGGAAACACTGTGCTGCACGAAGCCAGCACCAATGATAAGGACGAAATAGCCGTGGTTCAGATTTTGGTTCATGACAGTGATGTGGAGTTGGATGCGGTGAACCTTGCGGGGCAGACAGCTCTGGACTTGGCCCGATCCGTGAAGAATTGGAATGTTGCTCGATTTCTGGAACGGGGCCCCAAGCCAAAACGGCTCAGACTCTCGTCGACCCATCATCAGCCGTTCTTTGACGTATTTCTCAGCCATACTGGAAAGCAGAAACTAAGTGAAGTGGACACAATGAACCGAACGTTTGCCGCGGCAGGTCTGAACTGCTTCTTTGACCAACAAATGCGCCCCCTGGATGGAGATCCGACTCGACAAATGCAATACGCGTTGGAAACCTGTCGACATGCCGTCGTGGTGATTTCAGAAGAGTTTTTGACCAAACCGTACCCTTGTGCCGAGCTTCGATATGCCTTTTGTCGCATGAAGCGGCTTCGGAGATACTATCACTGGGAATCGCTATGGATAGTTTTGTACTGCATCACGACTTCGTTTTACAAGGAACGCATGAGAGAGGGCAATGAGAAAGCAAATAATCATGGAGCAGGTTTGTTACCAGATATCTGCAGTAGCCAAGTGCTGGTCCAATGGTCCGAAGACATGAAGTTGCCCTGGTCGGAACTGTGTGTCAGCAGCAAAAACCAGCTATTGGAACACGACAGCGAAGGGGGTGCTCTTGAATCATGGAAAATGTTCCTACATGATTATCATCTTGCGAAGCATAAGACGACGAATGACCCATTCCCTCTTGCCAATGATGTGTACAAGTCAAAGGGCGATTTCGACGACGAAAGGACGCAAAGCATGGTTCCTCCAATTCAACCCACCTCATTTGGTCAATCTTAGCCCGCCACCGTTTCAAGGCCTTCGCAGCCAAACGGCTGTTTGCTTGCTTGATTGCTACCGAAGAACAACACTTGGTAGAGCGATGATGGTTGCACGTTGCGCAGATACATGTTTGAACTGTAATGTGCTCTGCCCTTGCCCCTTTTGCATTTACACTACCAAGTTTTTGAGCTTTGTGGGCCTATCTTTCCCTGAGCACAAAATCTCGGAAGTGTCCGTATGAGGATGTATCCTCGCGAACACTCGAGCTATCTTGTCTCGTTGCTTTGTCATACGCGACGGCAGGGAGTGACCCTTTCAGCCTTCTTCAGCAGCAGACAGGCAGGTGCGAGCTGGCGTCTTCCTGTTGTTGTTGGACTCCTGCCGGCGGGGCCTGAGATTTTCCACCCCCAGTTGGTGGCACTAGTACCGTACAGTCGTACCAGGTACCGGTACGGTTCGTAACGCCGAGCGCCGGAGGTGCGTACCTCGTACCGTACCTCAAGTGATGCCAAAGGCGGCTCGGAGAAGACCGTGGCGCTGAAGGTACTCGAATGTCATATCTTGTTGAGTTTCTATTATTTGATTATTAACATTTTAGAATGATGGATCGGAGCGTCTACTGGCTGGTTTGGTTTGGTTTGTACAGTTTAGTTGGTTGCTGCCAGTGTGCAGCGCCCCCCCCATGATGGCGATGTATTCTGCGTTCGTGTCGAGTGCTTGCAAGTTGCAAGTTAGTTAGTTAGTTACCCCTCCTTTGTTGTTGTTGTCGTTGGTGTCATTTGCTCTTCCACAGCTTGTTGACGTCGATGTTGTTGTCGTTCTTCTTGTCGTTTGATTTGATCCTTGGCACGCGTCAATGTTTTCTGCAATCGGAATCGAATGCGTTGAAAATCCAAATAATCAATCCTCCACTTGAGCAGTGCATTATTGTCGTCCAGAAATTTACACCAATCCCCAAAACACTCTTGTGGAACATATTGCAGTGGCAAAAATCCTCGTCGATCCCGGGCAAAAAAGAGTGCCGGAGCATGTTGCATCACATGCAAGACAATGCATTGCCACGCACGAGCGCCATGATTTTCCAAATTGGTTTTGGTATACCAACACAAATCATGGAGTGGCGTTTTATTCCAATCGTCGCGGACCGTCAAGGATGCTTTGACGTCGTGCAACATGTAATTGATAATATCGACATTGCCGCGTCGGAATGCCAAATGCATCAACGATTCGCCTTGTCGGTTGCACGCATTCATCACTTGCGGGCCATGTTCTGCCACAATCTGTTTGATCGTCGTCAGATCCAATGCCCGCATGGCCGTGACAATGGGCCGTGTGTAGGCGTCAATCCGTTGTTCGGTAATGAGATCAAAATACGTATCCCAAAACGCCGGTGGAATCCAATCTTTCATGCGGGCGTGTGGTTTCTTTGCGACAGGGGCATTGGTGTCATCGTGATCGGTGGCGACGGTCAACTCGGTGGTGGTACTGCTCTCGACCAAAATGACTTGTTCCCACAATTGTTCGAGCATGCGTGTGGGACTGTTCTTGTCGCGACTGCTGCGTTCGGTTTTTAACATGTCCCCCAACGCATTGGCACTCCGGGATTTGCGGACTTTGGAACGGGTACTGTTGCTGCCGTCATTGATGAGGGCAGTAGTATCAGGTTCGTCTTGCTGAGGTGTCGTTGGCTTGACGACAGGAGTCTCGGCGACTGTGTGCGCGTCGGCGTCGTGCTGCATAATGAGCTGGGCACTGTTCATGCGTGCCATGAAGGAACGCAGGGAATCTTTTTGTTGGGGAGTGCTGACCATGGCGGCGGCCACGGGAATATCGAGCTCCAACAGATTGGGAGCCGACTTTTGATTGCGACGCATCCCACGAGGCCGTGGTTCGGCAGTGATCGTACCGGACGACGATCCAATGGATCGACTGCTCATGGCTCGATTTCCCAATCCCAGCATGACCATGGACGAACGAGGAGGTGGACGTCCGTTGGCAGCGGCTTCGGCTTCCATGCGTTCAATCGTACTGCCCAACGAGGAAGAGTCCGAACTATCATCATCCTCATCGTCACTCTCTTCATCCTCGTCACTGTCGTGTTCATCTTCACTGTCCGTCTCTTCGTCTTCTTCTTCTTCTTCTGACGATGATAGACTCTCCGTGCCAACGTCATCATCGTCCTCTTCTTCTTCACCCAGTAGAGCCATCTTATCGTTACCGTTCTTCTTCTTATTCGTATTCGTATGGATGCCCCACAGATCCTCCTCTGAATTGCTCACCGAGTCAAACAACATAAAACCACTATCGGGCGCGTTGGTCGTCGTCATGCTCACTACACAATACTATACTATACTATAGTAACCAACCTTGATGTATGAGTAGTAGAGAGAGAAGAGGAGCTTGGAAGTGGTAGCAGACGAGGTTTAGAGGAGGACTTTGGTTTGGGAATGATCAATCTATGACGAGAGCAATGCACTACATTCGCTTGCTACAGTACCGCGGTTCACTCTCGAATGATGAGGTGTGAGGAAGGTGACCAGCCGTCTGAATGATACGATGATTCAGAGCTAAAAGCCGTGTTGATTGGTCCACCTCAGCCTTGCAACTGCAATCGATAAATATACTATCTAGAGCTAGCAGTCGAGTACATGACTCAGTATGGCGGAAACAGTACTTATATTTCTTCACGTTCTTTATTAATTCTATTAAGCACCGCAAGCTTGCAAGGAACCGGAAAGCGTCTTTTTCATACATACAGTGACGTGTTCTTGGGGATGATGCTGCTGCGTCAATGCGCGGTCCGCGGTGCATTCAACGTTCCACCGTGCTTTTACAACCTCTTAATTAAAAGCTTCTACGAAACAATAATTCTGAGTGTCATTCTTGATGACCCAAGGAACTATTTTAAATAACAAGGCAGAGAAAGTTGAACTTGAGGCGTAAGTAACACTCAATGGTTAATGCTTTAGAGGAATTATAGTTTTTAAATCATGTGAGTGCCGGTACAAGAAAAAGAACCTAGGACTCTCATGAGCGGGCTTAGAGGAGGATGACCGTTCACCGGAACTCGTTCTTGTATTGCAATGCAAGGTGCCTCACTTTTTACTCCAATCCATCTGCTCGACGCCAAGCTAAAAAGAACCCATTGCATTGATTGATTGATGGCCAGAACAATGGCCAAAGCAACAGCGATGGCTATGGCTAGCTAGCTAGTCACTGGCCAGATACAGTTGCTTACCGTAGCTTAATGACCAGATACAGTTGCTTAGCTTCATGATATATACAAGCTCTTGCAGCAGTACAAGAGCAAGATGCTGTGCTTGCTGCCGAGTGGACAGAAGCGTCTAGCTAGCTACTACTAGATAGTGGCGAGCTAGCTAGAGGCTAGAAAAGATTTCCTAAAGGACAAAAAGACGGCTTTAGGTACTGCTTCTTGGCCAGCTGGCTGTGGACTGGGCGACTGACTCTTGGAACTTGCTCTTTTCTTTCAATTGGCTGGTAGCCAGCATTCACTCGGCGATTGATCAGGGAGAAGCAAGCAAAGCCAAGAAGCATTGCTGCTTGCTTGCACGATCAAAAGGCAATAGCCAAATGCCTCTTGCCTTTGCAGTTGCCTCTCAATGACCGGCCCACCGCACACTAGTCTTCGCAGCTCTACCAGCAAGAATATGGGTGGCTTCAAGATCCTGCTCGAGCCTACTTGCTAGCTAGGGAGCTAGCTTGCAGACAAGAGCAGCGACATGTCCAACTTGGGCTGCAAAGAAGCGATGTTTGATTCTAGCTAGTGCCACTGGCAACTGAAACAATGCAAACATGAAACACACGCACATTATAGAATAATGGTTATGGTAGACGCTGCGACAAGTTGCTCCCATTCAGACTCCCATCCAGACTCAGAACCATGGAATCATTCAGTAGTTGAGGTGGGATTGAAGCTGTCAGCTGGTTGCCAGTGAAGTCAACCATTTCCAAGGAGATCAAGAATCCTAGCTCACTTGGCAGCTGTCCAACCAAGGAGTTGTTGGCAAGATTGAGCTCCACCAAGTTTGTCAGCAAACCAATTTCACTTGGCAAATCCCCGGAAAGTATGTTGTTGTTGATCTTTAGCGATGTCAGAGCAGTCAATAGCCCCAGCTCCGTAGGAACACCACCTCCTAGCTGGTTTCCCTCCAATCTCAACGTGATCAGTGATGTGCAGAGACCCAAGTGTGATGAGAGTTGACCTGTCAGCTGGTTATCGTACAGGAACAAGGCTGTCAAAGCTGACAGACGTCCAAGCTCTTTTGGCAGGGTGCCAGTGAACAGATTCACAGGCGTGCTCAAGGAAACCAAAGAAGTCAACAGTCCAAGCTCTGAAACAAGGGGGCCAATCATCTGATTGGACGACAAACTCAACCTCTCCAAACTGGTCAGGCGCCCAAGCTCTGGTGGCATTTGCCCTGTGAAAAGGTTGTCATTGAGGGCCAAGGTTCTCAAAGCAACCATCAAACCAATCTCTGTCACAAACTTCCCTGTCATCTGATTGCTGTATAACCACAAAGACTCCAGAACACTCAAATATCCAATCTCTGAAGGCAGTTGGCCATTGACAAGGTTGTTACTCAAGCTCAGCTCATTCAGAGCAGTTAGTTGCCCCAGCTCTCTTGGTAGGGTGCCAGTGAGCTGATTCCTGTTCAGGAATAAGAAACTCAGAGTAGACAAATTTCCCAGCTCTGAGGGGATTCTGCCATTTAGCTCATTCCCCCGAAGCCGCAAGGATGCCAAGGAAGCCAAGAGTCCCAGCTCTGACAAAATAGTACCTGTGAAAAGGTTGTCATCCAGCCTCAAATACATCAAATCCATCAAAAATCCAAGCTCTTTTGGTAGGGTCCCGGTGAGCTGATTGCTATGTAACCAGAGTGCACTCAATTCAGTAAGGAGTCCAATCTCAGAGGGGAAGCTTCCTGACAGCTGGTTCTCATAAGCCCAAAAGGAATTCAGAGCTGTTAAGCCCCCAATCACAGAGGAGAGTTGTCCTGTGAATTGGTTGACACTGAGGCTCAGCTCTTGCAGAGCACTTAGATGCCCAAACTCAATGGGCAGTGATCCAGTAAACTGATTCCTGTTCAAGAATAATAAACTCAGAGTAGACAAATTTCCCAGCTCTGAGGGGATTCTGCCATTTAGCTCATTCCCCTGAAGCCGCAATGAAGCCAAGGAAGCCAAGAGTCCCAGCTCTGACAAAATAGTACCTGTGAAAAGGTTGTCGTAGAGCCTCAAATCCATCAAATCCATCAAAAACCCAAGCTCTTTTGGTAGGGTCCCGGTGAAATGATTGCTATGTAACCAGAGTGCACTCAATTCAGTAAGGAGTCCAATCTCAGATGGGAACCTTCCTGACAGCTGATTCTCATAAGCCCAAAAGGAATTCAGAGCTGTTAAACCCCCAATCACAGAGGAGAGTTGTCCTGTGAATTGGTTGACACTAAGGCTCAGCTCATTCAGAGCAGTTAGTTGCCCGAGCTCTCTTGGTAGGGTGCCGGTGAGCTGATTCCTGTTCAAAAACAAGAAACTCAGAGTAGACAAATTTCCCAGCTCTGAGGGGATTCTGCCATTTAGCTCATTCCCTTGAAGCCGCAATGAAGCCAAGGAAGCCAAGAGTCCCAGCTCTGACAAATAGTACCTGTGAAAAGGTTGTCATAGAGCCTCAAATCCATCAAATCCATCAAAAATCCAAGCTCCTTTGGTAGGGTCCCAGTAAGCTGATTCTTGAACAGAAACAAGGAGGTCAGAAACTTCAAAGTCCCAAGCTCTTTTGGAAATTCTCCTGTCAGCTCATTCTCACTGATCCTCAATTCTTCCAATCGAATCATGTCTCCAAGAAATGAAGGAATTTCACCAGAAAGCTGATTCTTCTGCAACCACAGATAATCCAAAGACTTCAACTGAGCAATTTCCGAGGGAAGCTGGCCTGTGAGTTTGTTCCTGTTCAATGCCAAATCTGTCACACGAGTCAATAGCCCTAACTCGGAGGGGATTTGACCTGATAATTGATTGTCATCCAAAAATAATGTTACCAAGTCAGGCAAACGTAGGAGTTCCAAAGGTATTGGACCTGTGAATTCGTTGCCATCCAAGGTCAAATATCTTAATCCTGAGAACTCTTGAAGCTTTGAAGGGATTGGACCGGTGAACGAATTATCAGCCAGATCCAGGTGTGTTAAAGCCCCCATAGTAAAGAGTCCTGAGGGCAGCAAAGATGTTATCGGAGTATCAATTCCACTGAAACTCAACTGAAGCAATGTCAATGAACTCAACATTGTGATCTCCTGTGGAACATAAGGTGTATGACCGGAAAGCTCAAGAGAATCAAGTCGGAGAGAAATCAATCTCCCAAGAGAGTCGCATGGAATTTCTTGAATCTTATGGTTGTATTCATCATCATCAATATTCTCATATGGTCTGTATACACCATAATCAAACCACCCAAGCCCATTGGAGTACCATTCACACTCATCCTTTGTCTCATCCAACCATCGGTCTTGAATAAAGGCAGGCCATGCTTCCCCCTCGAGAGCATAGTAGAAAGTGGCCATGGCAAAGAGCTGACTTTTCCTCCATTCTGGAAGGACTGTAATGTTGGGGTAGTCACCCAGCCAACGCCATGCTTTCCATTGGGGTGTATCGCTGCCATTTTTGAGGCTGGCTATTGTGTCATCTGGCAGACTCTCTAGCAACACCTCCAAAACTGTCGTAGGGGCAGACGATGGCGCCGGTGACGGCTCCATGGATGGGGAGGTTGTTGGCACTGTTGGCATAGCTGCTGCTTGCACTTCACGGGATGAAGGGCGCAACCCAAACCCGAGACTGAGACCAATGATCGATAAGGAACACAAAACGATCGCAAGCCCAATGCGACGACACTGTGTCTCTTTCATTTCTTTCTCCGCTTGCTCTGCCGCTTGTTCTTGCAACATGAAATCATCTACTTGTTGGGCTTCTTGGTAATGGCGTTTGCTGGATTCATCCATCACAGCCGTGGCGACAGCCAACCCATCCACATTGTCCACATCGATTTCTGGTTCATCGCCTCTACGTTGACTCTCCACGTCAAAACTCCGAGCGGAGACTCCAATATTATTTGCCTCTTCTTTGGGCGACTCGACTAGTGCCTTTGTACTTTTCTCTCGCGGGTGCGTCAGCGTGTTCGTGGACCTTTCGGAAGAAGCGACGGCGATCTTTTCACGAAGGCTTTCAGCATCGTCGGCCGCGTTCTTGTCGTCCAGCATCTGGGGAGCTTCTCTCTCGTCGTTTCTTCTTTGCACAGCCGCAATGCTGTTCCTGCCAAGTCCTTTCTTGGTGGCAGTACTATCACGGTGGTTATTATTGACAACGCTGTTGTCCATGGCTGATACGCGATGAGCACCAGGCTGCATCTCGCCATTGCCCGTATTATTTCCCGAAAGAACTTTGACAGCCTCTCCCGATGCGACGGCTGCATTATTTGTGTCGTTGGAAGCACCTACTGCTTCTCCATGTTTCGTGGCCATTCTGGCAGCCTCTTTGACTGCCTTTTCTTCGGCTGATCTTCGCAGCCCACGTTGAATAGGGTCAGTGCTGGTAGCATCAGTCGAGGCACCTACTGCTTCTCCCTGTTTCGTGGCCATTCTGGCAGCCTCCTTGACGGCTTTTTCTTCCGCTGATCGACGCAGGCCACGTTGAATAGGGTCAGTGCTGGTTGCATCAGTAGTAGCACCAACGGCTTCTCCCTGTATTGTGGCCAATCTAGCTGCCTCCTTGACTGCTTTTTCTTCTGCGGATCGTCGAAGACCACGTTGAATGACCGCATCATTATCAGTACTAGTACTGGTAGTAGTCACAGAACCCGCAACAGCAGCACTATTAGTCACATTGTGGTTCTTGGCGGCCTTTTGAGTTGCTCTGCGGTCCTGACTGCGTTGCAAGACGGCTCCTGGAAGGACGGCTGCGCCAGTAGCGGAATCCCTGCTGGCTCTAGCAGCTTCCTTGGCAGCTCGTTCTTCGGCAAAGCGAGTCAAGCCACTCTGTAGTGTTGTTGCATCTTCCAAACAACAATGGTCATCCACGTCAATACTTGTCACTGTATGTCTGGTGACAGGAGTCTTGCCTTCCTTGGCAGTACTAGTACTATGAAAGGTAGCACCCGGAACGGACGCTCTCGATCTGGCAGGAGCGCCTTTGGCGGTCTTTTTCTCCTCCCGGCTCATCGACGATCGCACCTCTTCCGACGGCTTGCCATTCAATACTTTGTTAGGGCTGTCATCATCCCCATGCTCCTTGGTGTTTTTCATGTTTTATTGATGATAGAAGAATCAACCGTCTCGCTTTCTGTCTGGCTTGTGGCTTTCAACGTAGTTGCTATTAATAAATGTAGCAGGGAGGCGTGATCAGTCTTCTTGCCATCTACTACCCTTGCTACCGTAGCACGCTAGGGTAATAAATGCTGGAGTAGGTCTCGATTGAGCAGCAAATGCGAGGTTCCTGTTGCGGGTTGAGTTGCGAGGAACGAAGAGATAAGAGCTTTCCGCTTGCAATAGTGAATGGTTATGGGAACGCACTCCGAAGCCGATCCAGCAGAGCCAAATGTGTCAGAATGTTCCAGATGTCCAAAGTCCCAATGCTACATGTAATGCCAATCGGGGTTCACTGTCTCTTTGGCCTTTTAAAAAAGCTTCGGCAAGGGAAGTCCCTAAGTAAGTACGCTACCTGGTCACTCAAGTAATATATGTGTTAACATGTTGTCATGCCCTAAAAAGACATTCCAGCAACCTGGCACCCCGCAGGACAGCTAGCTAGAATGACTTCCTTTTTGTTCTTTAGATTGGCGCTGGTAGGTGCAGGGTGCAGGGAGAAGACTGAAGCCCAGTGACCGAGTCTCACTCCAAATCTACGTACAAGGACCCAACCACCTGGTGGGAAATGCTACGTGCGGCTCACAAACACAGCTGGAAACCCCAAACGCAATAGACATCTACGAAAGGGGTTTCTTAGAGTGGTACGGTAGGGAGGTTACGGTCTAGCTAGCCAGGGCGAGACAAAGAAGAGTTGGCATTCAGCACTGTCTATCGATTGCTTGCCTGCATCTGGCGGCCATTCTGGTCCTCAGCGTGGGCGACAAAGAGCTTTGGGCAGGTAGCACATGCAACGGTGCCAACTGGGCTGTTTGCCTTCCTGTTTGAAAAGCTCATTTGGTACGGTACACCATTTCCCACTAGACTAGCTAGAGAATGAGAAGTGAGTGCCTCGGAAGCTGTTGTACAGTCTGTCTACTGTCTACACTTACTTACTAGCTATCCAACTATCCATGATCCATGATACGTCCGTGGGCAAAGGAGGAGCAGCCTTCTTTGCTGGTGCCCAACCAGAAGAGAGCCTACCAGGGTTCAAAACAGGTGGAGTTCTTCACAAAACCAAGGCTACCTAATTTCGACAACGCATATTGAGAGATTGGTAATGAGAGATCCTTTCCCAAACATCATGAGAGGATTTGCCAGAGTCTCTTAGTATGGATAGGTGGATGATGGATGATCAGAATGATTATCCAAAAGGCTAGAATCCAGTTGTGCCATGGCTGCATCATTGACACTGCCAGTAGCTATAGCAAGCGTCATCTGGTAGAGAAAGACTAGAGTGTGGAGTGATTGATTGTGATTCTATAATAATATAATACGTGTAGAGTAGTACAATACCAATGCCTCTCTCCCTGCTTCTCCCCAAGCCAAGTGCCCCCAATGGATTTCATTTGCTCAGTCGTTGCTCTCATGCAGTTCAGGATCTTATGCGGTCGTCCCCATGGATTTCCACTCCTGTCACCGTTCATGTCATGGCCTGCAGAAAGCAGACAGGATCTTATGTGGTCTCCAGCTTGGATTCCAACTCCTGTCTCCATTCATGTTGTCGGCTGCAGAAAGCAGACAGGGTCTTCTGCAGTCATCCCCATGGATTCCTACTCCTGTCACCATTCATGTCATGTCATGTCATCACCAAAGCAGACAGGGTCTTATGCGGTCATCCCCCTCCTGTCACCATTCATGTCATTGCCTGCACAAAGCATGGGTTGGCAGCTCAAGATAGCATTGGCAGCACTACGCCCACTCCACAATCTTCCACCACATCAATCACTTCCCACCACATCCAATCTTGTCGTCGTCCAAGTACCAACACGTCTAGTAGCGTGGAATGCTTGGAATAATAAAAACTCGCAGCAGACATGCAGTAACACATTCCTGTGGTGTTGTCGGGTTGAGCCTTGCCTGACGGATGCTTTGCTGCTTGTTTTGAAAGTCGTCGTAATTTAGCAATTCCTGGAGCTGGTCGAGACTCGTTTCAGCGTCTTGATTCAGATCACGAAACCAACGGGTCTTGGTGCCTCTCCAAACCCTGCGCAGGGATTCAGTATCCCCAACCTCGAGCTCACGGTAGAAACCTTGGACGGTTTCTTTAACACTGTTGATATGCTGTTGCTTGGTTGTTTCCCCTTTTCGTTTGTCAGGGTGCCGTTGCAAACTGAGCTTTTTCCACATTTTCAAAAGGCCAGTGAGCGATAAACCAAAGCGAGACATGCCCAAGCGACTCAAAGGGCCCGCGAGCCGTGCCCAACAGTCAGTCGTACCCAGGAGACTTATCCACGTAATCCCATACAACTGAATGCAGTACAGGAAGTAATCGTCAATGAGCTCGCGGCCTTCGTTGATAGGCAAAAGTTGCGGCAATTCTTGATCGATGCTTGTAATCCGCCAATACATCCAGAAGAAAACCACAAACACTGTACACAACGCAACCATGAATATCAGGTCCGCCATGAAACGAGAATTAGAGTGTGCGGTCTGGAGGACGTCGTTGGAAAAGCCAGTGAGGATCGCAGAGATCTCATGAGAAAGAGAGCGCGCAACCTGGGGGATGCCGTTGCAAAAGTCTGCTAGGTTCGCAGTGTCCCACCAAGAAGAAGACGGAGGTGTTGCCTTGGGGACCCATTCCACAAACGTAAACCCAACACCGACAAAGACAATCTCTCGCCGGACGCCAAAAACTTTGTAGGCCGTCCGAATCTCGGCACCGTCCGGTAGATTGTAACAGAATCCTCCACAGTGGTTGCCTTCATACACAGCTCTGTCCATCTCCCATTCAGCCGGGACAATTGGCACCGCCTCCAGCTCGATTTCGGAAGTTTTGGTGGATGGAGGCGCATGCGGAAAGAATGTGCGGGACAGCCAGGATTGGGCAATGGAAATGGCAGAGTTGTAGGGGCCCTGCGCACTGGCAAGTGTGTCATGCCATTGTTTGCTTGCGGCAGTGAACAAAGTGTGGCATTTGAGGCTGACAAGCTCCAGAGCAGTTTCCAAAGGATGCGGAGCCGGCTCCATATCAAAGAGGGAGAGCACGTCGTCATAGGCATGTTGGAAGTTGCCTTTACGACCGGGACGTGTTTTGTTGCCGTGGTTGTGGTAGGTAGCAGGAACGTGGAACCATTCGGGGAACGTGTGGCTGAGTGCCATCCAAAGAGGCTGAGCTTCCCAATGAGACATCTTGTCCGTGATGGTATCCAGCTCATCATTGACAATGTCACTAAAGTATTGGAGGTCTTGAATCTCCTCCTGATGCACATGGGCGAGATCGACGAGCATCACGCCGGCTTGTTTGCGAACCATTGAATCATGGGCCGCATGGTGTTCGAGAAAAGAAACCTTGATAAGAACAAACGCCAAGAGAACGGCGAAAAGGAGGTCCTTGATAGTCATGGTGAATGAACGATCACAACGTTGCGGCGTTGTTGTATCACTCTTGCAGTCTGGTTTGCTGAGTACTAAGGCGAGAACCATAGTATTGCAGTTGTGATAATGCGATAATGAGAGCGTTCATCCTGCAACACCATCATCACACGATTGTTTCCATCCACGCCCAAGCGTTAGCGTGGATATCAAGGTGTCCACCATTGTCAACAGAGTGATAGATTTCGATGATCAGGTTGGACTCAGCTCCTCCAACGTGATTTGTTTGTGGCGTTGAGCGTGATGAAGGACATCGAAACTTTGTCGATCGAGTTCCTTCAAGCCTCTTTAGTAATGACGTCACTAAGGGTTCACCTAGCTAGAGCACGGATGACCACACTAAAAACTTCACACCGAGGCACCTCCGCAGTAACACCCAATTAGCTAGCACGAATGACCACACTAAAAACTTCACAACGAGGCACCTCCGCAGGGAGCTATTAATAGAGCTACTACTAACACCCAATCCAGTTTCTCTGCCTGTTTGCTCAAATCGTCAGCTGCTTTCACTGCCGGACAACTAAAGCTTATTCTCGAATCCACGCAATATCAATCAGCGAATACTTCAAGACATTTTCAATGAACCAATGGTTGTGCCATTGAAGCCACTCTGTGACATTGATTGGTTTCCAAACATCTTGGATGTAGTGGTACTGATAAGGCGATAGCCCATTCTTCTGGAACAACTTGAAGATTTCTTCTGTGTGCTCACATGTTTTCATGCTGGGGGACCATTCAATTTCAACATAGAGAATATCTAAGGTGTTCAAGTAATCGATGGCACCACCCAAAACTCTGCACTCAGAACCTTCCACATTGATCTTGATGACTGCAGGGCGATTCACAGGCAAAATGGTTTCCAATGAAGACAGGGGGACTCCTGGAGCATAGTCTAAACCACGTACAGGGGTGCTGGATGATGATTCTTTGTCTTGTGAATCATCCTCTGGATTCACACCAACCCCACCATAGTTCTTGTTGGAAACTTTCCCAAAGTCAACAGTTGTTGGATGGTCCATGAGGGCAACATTGAATACAACAATTCTTTCCTCAAAGCCTTGGTTCATGGAGATTGATTTGCACAAGCGCTGGTAGTTCCTTTGAAATGGTTCAAAGGAGAATACATCTCGTCCCAATGCAGCTGCATGCAAACTGTACATGCCAATGTTTGCACCAATGTCAAGGAAGAAGGTATCTGATGGTGTCTGTGCTGCCATGAATTGCATAAACTTGTTCAAAATAGCACACTCAAAACAGCCCCAGGTTCGAATACGCTTGGAAATCAAGTCATTTCCAGAGTGCACATTCATATCAAAGGCTGGAGCTACACAGGAACTGTGCAGGGGCACGTTCACTCCAGGATCATCCATGGTCGCCACCGCATCAGCACAGTCCAGGACATGCTCGTGCTGCTCCAATAATAACGAGTTCTTGTTCTTCAAGTCGTTGGAGCCTGGAGTCTTGACAAGGTCTCCTCTGCCATGATACTGGTAGTAGCACATACCATTGTCACCCTGAAAGAAAATGTGTTTTGGAAACAAGAGCAGCAGTACTAGCCAAATCAAGTGGCAAGGACGGAGATGAAGAAACCTCCCTGCTCCTGTCAGTCCCCACGGAAAGGATTTTGGATTGAGCCCTTTGTTCGTGATCATTGCTACCGTACTCTTTGGAGCGGTTTGCTGGCGATGGTTTTTTTCTTTGGTAGTACCGTACGAGACCTCAGCCAGCCGAAAAGTGTTATAGTTTTTGCATTCTTGGGAGTGAGTCGAGCTCCCTTTCATCCCAACAAACGCGACCGAACCAAGCCCGGTCAAGGTCACTCCCGGCAGAAGGTTTGAATGCGGTAGGTGAGGGACTCGCTCACGAAGCAAAGTTGAGCGACCGAGACGCGAACGTAAGAGGGTACGAGTAGCTGCCGACAAAATAAATAAAATAGCCCGCCGACACCTGGGTTGCTACCGTACGGTAACAACCTTCTCTTGATCCCACATAGATTGAATTTGAAGTAGCTTAGCTAGCTAGCTCGATAGCTACCGTAGCCACGGGATGCTTCAGTCGGAAGCCGGAAAGGTCTAGCTAGCACTTTTCTTTGCTTAAGCCTGGCCCTTGCTTGCTTCCATAGTTAACCTCCCCACTCTAAACCCCCTTACTTCTCATTGCACTTTCCGGCACCGGTTGCCCGGGTTGCCATGGTACATCGTTACCTTGCACAGTATGGTGCATGTTCCGAAATACATGTACGGTTGACTGCAGCAACTCGTGATTTGTTACTGACGTCATTAAGAGCGCACACTTGCTTCTACCAGCTCCAACCGATGGATGATGGATGGAAACGATGATGTTTGTGTGGTCCACCATGTTGGAGGTATTTCAGAACCAAAGCAAACGGCTTCTGCTTCCGCCATACCATACCATTCATACTACTATACAGAGAGGAGTCAGGTCTACAGTCAGTTTACAAAAGAAGAATGCAAATACTGATAATACGACGGACGTTGCTGTGGAGGTTCCTCCTCCTCGTTTGCCTGCTACTGCATAGCTCGGTTGCGTTTGTCAGCCGCCCCAGCACAACATGCTCAAGTACGACACACCTCTTTGTGGCCAACAACAATAGTGTTCGACCCAGTTCTGGCGTCACATCTGGCTTGATTGCCACGTTGGCAGAACAAGCATTACGGCGGCGACTCCAGGGCCAAGCCTATGTGAAATTTGATGTCACGGCATCTTCTTCCGATATGCTCCTCCAAGGCCGCGTAGGGCCCGTCTCGGTGCGAGGTCGAACGTGGAAATCCCCTCGTGGTCTGACATGCCGGGCCATTGAAGCCAAAGTGGATGTGTGTGAATTGGACATGTCCAAAATTGTGGCTCAACGAAAACTGCTGCTGACACAACCCGCCTTGGGAGAATCCTTCATTGCCATGAATGCCCACGATTTTGGCAATTTTCTTGTCCATCCATTGATCCGACCACCGCAAGTACAACAACAAGTCGACAGTACTACTACTACCAATGGTGAATCGGTAGTGATCCAATTTAACAGCGACCATGTCACCATTGATCCCGTTGCCAAAACCGTCTGTTTCCAAGGTGATTTTATGAATGAAACTTGGGAATTTACACTCTCACGAACCAACAAACAGGCCGTGGTAACCACCAAAAAGTCCACTACTACTACTAATGATAACGACAACAATGATAATGCCATGGCACTCTCCCAAGCCATGACCAACTTTTTCAATCATTTGGAAGTGGAGTTGGATGGTACCTTTTTGGCTTACAAGGACATGTCCATCACGGACAAGGGAGCCAGTCCCAGTCTCATGCTCAAGCTAGGCATTACCGTGTACAAATTCCCAGCACCCGGAGTGCCATTCTAGTGTAGTCTAGCAAGGCTGGTAGAAAAGTAAACGAAAAATGCTAAACTAACGAAACGAAACGAAAAAATCACTGTGAAGGAATGATTGTAAGCAATGACATTATCCTCCATATTACAACAGTTGCTGCTGGTGGTGGTGGTGGGTAGCCAGATGACCACAGAGAGTCGTTCATTGCAAGTCCTCCAAAAACAAATTGGTTGTCTTTCATGGTGCTACAGGCCTTCTCGTTGTGGAGGGGGGGGGGGAGCCTGCTTGAGAGCTTGGTTGAACGAACACTTTTCAGTGTCCGTAGTGACATCCAGCCAGTCACGAAAGCCACAACTGACTGCGCAAGCCACACAGTTGACTGTTTTCTTGTGTGGTACTAGTACTGAGTACAATGTCATGTAGCTAGCTAGCAGCTGGTACCGGTAGACCGAGCAAAGCTTCGGTGCCCGGGAGAAAATCTGGCCAAGGCTAGCTTGGATGCTCACAATCAATCTGAAGGATGCATCGCTCTTGGTGCAGGTCCTCGCTGGCGTTCATTGTGATACTGTAACTTATTAGTAGAGGACCCGCGTAATCTACGGGCTCGTAGTGGACAATTTGAGCCACAGTACGGAGTAGGAAAGCCCTTTGCATCACTACAGCCAGTTTCAAACCACTCATTTATGTCTCCGTGGATCCGCAAAGACAAGGCCTTGGCCCCTGCGTTTTGTCCTTATTTTAGTTATCTATCTCCCCTAATTCACGGAATCTTTTTTTAGCTAGTCTTTAGTTCGGACTCTTCCTCTTTGCCTAAGGAAGCCTGGTCCTCGCTGGCTTTCATAGATAACCTCCATGCTCTACATGTAAACCCCCCTTTCTCAATTTTTTCAAGTCCACTATGTCAAATGTCAACTGGAAATACCCGGGCCTTAGCTCATGGGTCGTCCTCAAGCACATCTCGTCTGAATCCGTTATTAGACGTTCAGTTTTTTTTAATGTCAAATGTCAACTGTAGCTTCCTCGACTTTTCTTAAATCCATGAACATTTTGGTCAGCTCTGGAGATAGTCTATGTAGTCTAGCTAGCTAGAGGCGGCCATGATGCCATTGTGAATTTGTGAAGGTACGCCATACCAGCACGGCAGCCACTTTTAAGCATTGCTGTGGTGCTGATCCTGGGACGTACGGATCATTTTGTCAGCTCTGGAGGTACGAGTAGTCTACCGGTACGTGTACTTCTAGCTAGGCTAGCTAGTGGCGGCCATGATGCCATTGTGCATGTGTGAAGATATGCTGGAACCCCTTATTACCAATGGTAGGGTACCGGTACTCTTACGCATTCAGCATTGCTTCTTCCGCTCTGACTCTGGGACGTACCTGTACTGTAGGGTGTAGGGAACATGGAGATAGACTACATGTACGTGCAATGCTATGGCGGCCACGACGCTACAATGCCATGATGTAATTTGTGAGGTTGCGGTACTGGTACCGCTGCTGGAACAGCTGCTGGAACCCCCACCGCAATTAATAGTCCGTTATTAAAATACCTTCACTCTGCTAAATAGAATAATAGATCCCAAGACTAGCTAGAACCTAGTCCTTTAAATCCACAAAGAACATAATGACCAGAACATGACTGCAAAAGTGCATACATTCAAGTCGAGAACTAACGTGTAATCTAGGTTGCTCAGCTGTTGCATGGAGGGGATAACACGTCGAACAACTTACAGTCTCAGTGACTTTCTGTCGAAGAAATTAATTAGTATTGTTTGCTTAGAGTGCTGTTGAAACGTTGAAACCATGACCAAAAGCAACAGCTGTACAAGTGGTAAACCTTTGCCTTCTGGCTTCTGGCCAAAAACGGACGCAGGGAAAGCTCCCTCCTCTTTTTCACTCCACTCGCCCACCCCCCTCGCCTTTCGCAGCCGACTGTCCGATCCAAGAGCGACATCCCAAAGCCAAGCGAACCCCCTTCTAGCTAGCACCAACAACCTCCACTCCATCGATCACATCAAGGCATCTGAAGTGTGGCTCGGCGTTTGTCATTAGATTATACATTGCTCTCGACGCTAGCTATAGCTTAGCCAGACTACGAAGAATGATGCTTCGTCTGTGGATCCTTCTTCTTGTCTTTGTGTCCTCCATGGGGGCAGGTCCCACTACTACTCGAGCTGATGATAACACTCCTTCTTTGGATGTTGATACAAGACACTTCGAAAGTCGGTTGGTCCTGACCCATCGACTGGACGTCTCGGACGAAGAATACCGACAGCTACCCAATAAATTACCAGTCAAGACGGGGTCTCTGCTGTTACCCACGAAAACCAACGATTGGTTTTCGGCACAAGATGTTGCTAGAATAGAATTTCTGCTGTTGGATACCCTCAACCACCACCAAGCCAGCCAAAATCGGGACCAAAAAACACCGCCGAAAGAGGGAGAAAGAAGTCTGTTGGTCGCGAGATTATCGTCTGCAAAAGCGGAACCCCAGAGTTTCCTGAGATTGCTGTCGTCATCACAAGAAGACGCCAATGATGACGAGGTGGTCCAAGTCCACGTTGAATTGACCTACAGAATCCTTGGAGTCTGCCAAGGTGCCGGCTGCGCAGAAGCTCTCCAAGAAGAGCATCAAGATGACATTCTGATGACTCTGGGGTTTCTATCCGGTAGTAGTAGTCACCCAGCAGCAGCGCCACGACAGGACGATCCAGCCACGAATCACGCAGCAAGACGGTTGCGAGGACAAGGACTGGGCCTAGTAGAAGTGGAAGGACTGGGCCTGGAAGAAGCGGAAAGTTCAATGACCAGCAACAGTGGATATCGGGACTTACAAGAGGCCTTGGTTCGGAGGGCGCAGCTGTTGCTTTCCAGACAACAACACAGCCATCATGCTACACCAAAAGGAGGATCCTGTGATGGCCATAGAAAAGAGTCTAGTGCTTGCCTGCAGAAGAAGAAGAGGTCCACATGGGATCTTCTACAAGACATCACATCCATCCAACCGTCCAAGAGGAAACACAGAAACCTGCAGAATGAAGAGGAAGACCTGATTGATGTGGTCGAAGTTGTTTGTGATCCACTGGTACAGCAACTGGAAACAGCTGTTGCCATAGATCTGCCGGGAGACTGGAGTGCTTTGATTCAAAGCAATAGGACCCTTGCCACCGGTGATGTCAATGTTACCATGACAGCTTCTGCCCTCCTTGAAGGAGCCTTTGTGCGCACATTCAATCACATCATTTTTCCTCTCTGTGACTGGCCCCATTTCCGCAAGGTCTGGGGAGCAGAACCCCTCACAACAGCATTTGATCCCTTTGGAAATGTCACCTCAGTGACTTTTGAGGTACTTGCTGAATGCAGGAATTGTGGATATGGAACTCCTCTGTTCCACTCCTACAATGATACAAACACCACTGCTGTGTTGATACCACTCAGCACCTCAACAGTTCGAACTCGACCATCAAGCTTGGTCCGTCAAGAGTTTGGATTGACAAATGAAGGCTGTCTCTGTCCTAGACCAGATGACACTACCGAATTCCGTGCTCCCACCTTCGATGAATTTGTGGGAGCTTTCATGTCGGAAGTTGCCAAGATCCACCTTCCTCCGGTGGACGACATGGAGCTACAAGAGGTGCCATGTACCTCAGATGTCACCGAGTTTACTACTTATGTGTACGTTGACTTCCAGATGAACCGCAGCAGTGATTTTCTGACACTATCAGAGCAAGATCGAATGGTGTTGGAGAACAGCTTCAAGAATCTTTACAACCAGCTCTCCTTCCAGTCTTGTGATCCATATTTTCGAAGTGTCTCAGAGGCCCAACTGGAGCTTAACACAAACACTGCCCTTGTTCGGCGGCGGCTGCAGCAACAGTTGGATCTCAACCTTGCCTTTGTGGGCAACTCAACAAACACTAGCAACTACAACCAAACAACCGCAGTCCCCCCTCACAAGAACCCCAATCACACATCAACCCCCCTGTTACGAGCAACAACTGGGTCTATCTTTGCAGTCACAGGCCAATGCAGAGGATGCCCAGTGACCAGCAAAGGGAATTTCTTGCTGTTTGATGACACCATTCGTCGACGATCACTCCTGTCTGATGATAACCACCAGAATGCTCTCCCCTTGGCTGTACTGGAACGGAATCTACAGGGTGGCAGTTCTTTGTGTCTCTGCCCTCCGGCAGGACAACGGATAGAGGACCTTTCAAAGGCTGATTTTTTGAACTATTTTGACGAAGAGGTTGCGCAGTTACAGTATGATGGTGTGTTGGAAACAGTCACTGGAGTGGAAAATCTCCAAGAGGGACAAGATGTGGATTGTGCAGAGGAGGTCAGGACCTTTACTACTACTGTCTTTGTGGACATCAGTGTCAATATTGATAAGATTGGTGAAGCGGAGAAGCTGTTATTGGAGGACACCTTCAAGACGAGCTACAATGGGTTAGCCTTCTCTGTCTGTGATTCATACTTCAGGACTGTCATTGATGCTAGGCTGGAGGAGCAAGATGCCACACCATGGTACAATGGCAGAAGGCTTCAAGAAATGCCACTGAACACCTCCTTTCCTTTATATGGCCCCAGCTCCAACTGGACAATACCGAACAGCACTGTCATTCCCAACACAAATCAGTCAGCATTGCCACTCCGGAGCCTGGAGACCACCACAGTTTTCTCCATCACTGGACAGTGCCGGGGATGCCCTGTTGCTCGCAATGGTCATTTTGCTTTGTTCGATGACACTCTCAGAAGGAGGAGTCTCCAAGAGAGAACCACTTTGATTTCCGTGGAAGATGGGCGTTCTCTTCAAGGTGGGGGTGACAAATGTGTTTGCCCAGCTGGGGTTTTGTCCGGTGGGGGTGGACCTGTGTCGACGAATGACTTCCAACTCGTTTTTAATGATCAAGTGGAGAAGGAGAAACTAAACGTCTTTTTGGAGGCAGTCAATGTGACTGCGGACCATGTGATGGAAGGGCAGCATGTGGAATGCAGTTCCGATATCACAGAATTCACTTCTTATGTGTACATTGATTTGCAGATGAATCGGAGTGGTGATTTCTGGACTCTATCAGAGGAAGATCAGCATGTGATAGAGGAGCAATTCATCAGTCTCTACAACCAGCTAGCTTTTCAATCCTGTGATCCATACTTCCGCAACATCAATGCGGCAAGACTAGAGCCCAACACAGACACAGCTCTGATCAGACGGAGACTACAACAAAACTGGAATCTTGCATTTTTAAATGCCAACAGAACCTTCACCAATATGACCAACTCTACCACGACACAGCCAGAAGAGCCGTTCACCCACAATTCCAACCAAACAGCTTTGGTGGGGGTTGTAAGGGCAACAACAGGAGCTGTGTTTGCTGTCACAGGGCAGTGTAGAGGTTGCCCAGTCAGCGACAATTCCAACTTCAGGCTCTTTGATGACTCTTTCCGTCGACGATCTCTCTTTTCAGTTGGCACAGATTGGCTCCCTGGCCAGAATGCCCTTCAAAGGAATCTTCTTGGTGACTCAGACTCATGTATCTGCCCCATGGAAGGAAACCGAATTGATGAGTTGTCATTGGCTGGGTTCATTGAGTACTTCAATGATCTAGTTGTCCAGCTACGGGAGGATGGGTTGCTAGAAATTGTGTCTGGTGTTGAACAGCTCCAAGAGGGACAAGATGTGGATTGTGCAGGAGAGGTGACGACCTTCACTACTACAGTGTTTGTGGACATCAGTGTCAATCTTGATGAGATTGGTGAAGTGGAGAAGCTGCTCTTAGAGGACACCTTCAAGACTACCTACAATGGGTTAGCCTTCTCTGTTTGTGATTCTTACTTCAGGACTGTCACCGATGCCAGTCTGAAGGAACAAGATGTCACTGCCTGGAGGAATGGCAGACAGCTTCAGGAAATGCCACTGAACACCTCCTTTCCTTTATATGGCCCCAGCTCCAACTGGACAATACCGAACAGCACTGTTATTCCCAACACAAATCAGTCAGCTTTGCCACTCCGGAGCCTGGAGACCACCACAGTTTTCTCCATCACTGGACAGTGCCGGGGATGCCCTGTTGCTCGCAATGGCCACTTTGCTTTGTTTGATGAAACCTTTAGAAGGTCTCGGAGACTGGAGGAAGCAAATGCTAGACTGAATTTGGAAGCTGGCCGTTTTCTTCAAGATGAGGGTGACAAGTGTGTTTGCCCAGCAGGTGTACTGCCAGGTGAGGGTGGACCAGTGTCAGCAGCAGATTTTGAAGTGGTCTTCAATGAGCAGGTGGAGAAGGAAAAGCTCGACGTATTCTTGGAAGCCATCAATGTTACTGTAGACAATGTGATTGAAGGACATGCAGTTGAATGTGGATCCATGCCCCAGCAGTTTACAACTGAGGTATTCTCAGATCTCAGGGTCAATCTTACAGCTCTTTCACCTGATGAAGTGGTGGCTTTGGAGAATGAGTTTCGAAGGACTTATCAAAACTTGGCTTTTGACACCTGTGATGGGCACTTTCGTAAGTAAATCATGCAACATCTGGCCTTTGCAATTATCCAGCCCGCTAAGTCATGCCCTGCTGCTGTACAGGAATGATTGAGAGTGTTCAGATGAATGTTGCTGCATCCAAGAACATGTTTCCTGCTCGCAGGATGATTGAAGTATCCAACAGTACATCCAATGAAACCTCTTTCAACAACACTTCTGAGGCTGATGTTGCCAATGCTTCAACCACAAAGCCAACCAGAATTAGTGCAACATTATTCTCTATTGTTGCCAATTGCAGGAACTGTGATGTGTCAGACACAGGACACTGGAATCTTTTTTGATTCTGGGACCAGGAGGGCCCTCTCCAAGGACTGCTCAAACCATAGCCATGAATTGGCAAGAAGAAAGCTGGGAGAAAATGGTACGTGCATTTGCCCCATTGGAACTGAGCCTGGGATTGGGCAAGGACCAACAGCTGAAGACTTTGAAGAGGCCTTCATTGCAAATGTGGACATTCTGGTTGAAGAGGGCATACTATCTTTGTCTACTGTGGCTGATCCAGCAACAGACGTTTTGGAAGGACAGGAGGTTACATGCAGTGCTATTGATCAAGAATTTCGATCAGCTGTGTATGTGGATATTGGAGTCAACCCTGCTCTGCTTTCTGCAGAAGAGATTCAACTCTTGGAAGAGGCCTTTGAGGCTGCCTACAACAGCTTGTCATTCAAAGCATGTGATGGATTCTTCCGCGTTGTTGCGGAGGTTGATCTTGTTGTGGATGCAGGTGTTGGTCCTGTAAGGCGTCAACTTGAACAAGCACACCCCTTTGTCCAGGCCAGCTCAACCAACAGCAGCCTTTACTCCAATTCTACCTTGAACACTACAGAATCTTCTGGTTATGGTTCTGCGCATGCCATCCACACAATGAACACAACTACCAACCAATCAGAGACAAACCCCCCTGAATCCAACACGTTTGCCTTGTTTATGATCAGAGGAAGATGTCGAAATTGCCCACTCTCTATCAATGGGGTATTCAACCTGTTTAACACTACTGGTGGTCAGCAAACTGAGCGAAGAGCAACATCCATGCACAGGACAGAAGCTTTGTGGAGAAGGAATCTGGAAGAAAACCTCAATACATGTATTTGCCCTCAGGGTTTGGAGCCTGGGTTGGAGCCAGCTGTTACAGTTGAAGAATTCATTGAAAGGTTTGTTACTCAGATCAATGATGCCAAAAGTGATGGTTCAGTCATCTCAGTGGATGATGTCATAACCATTATTGAAGTGTCTTCCTGGGATGGGAGGACAACAACACTGGATGACTTTACCTTGCCTCCAGTGGTGCCAACAACCCAAGAGCCAACAGTGGCAGTCAGCATGGTGCCAGGCCAAACTCCCCATCCATCATCGGAGCAGTCAAACAATCCAGGCTTCGAAACCCCTCCAGGAATTGCCAGTTTCAATCCTGGTAGTACTCCAGCACCACAGGCATGTGCCTCTGAGGTAGTTCTATTGGAGGAAAACTGGGAAAAAGCTCTCAGCAGCAATGGTGAAAGTGTGACCAAAATTGTTGCTGTTCGAATGAGTTCCAGCCTAGAACCAGCACTTCCGACTAGAGTGCAAGTACGGTTCATTCTCTATGTGATTGAAGAATGGATGGCAGGTGACAGGTTCTATGTGGATATCATGGGTTCCACAACCTATTTTGAAAATCTGGAACAAACTAATAGCAGTGGGTCTCTCAATGTTGTTGGTGGAACTGGCATCACCTGGGAGATGGAACAAGTTAGCTTGGGTGTGGGTGGAGAGAGCGAAAGTGTACATTTTACCGTGCCACCAAGGCTAGTTTCTTCTGGGAGTCTTTCTCTGGAGTTTGGGATGGTATCCAGCACTACCTCAAGTGCTATTGCTGGAGTGAATAGTCTGGTAGTCACAGCATTCTACAACTGCACCATAGATGACCATGTTGGTGACAGTTTGGAGCAAAACCTCACAGCAGTCCCAAGAACTGCAGAACCAGCCACAATGCCCAGCCCTATACCAACCCGTGAACCAACAAGTATTCCAA